CAGACAGGTACGTTCATACTCAGACAGGTACGTTCGTACCCAAACAGGTATGTTCATACCCAGACAGGTACGTTCATACCCGAACAGGTATATTTATACCCAAACAGGTAGGTTCATACCCAAACAGGTAGGTTCATACCCAGACAGGTACGTTCATACTTAGATAGGTACATTCATACCCAAACAGGTACGTTCATACCCATAGGGGTTTATGACTACTGACTACTGACTACTGACTACTCGTACTGAATACAGATTACTACTAAAAACTATGGACCCTTGCTTGATGAGGAGAGATACATACGTACCGTACGAGATTTACTAGTATGATTCGGTACGTACCGTCCCTTCTACGTGGAGGTACGTACTACTCGTATTAGGATAATAAAAGTGTTACTTCTACTACCGTTTTTTGTTCGTTTGGTTTGATTGATTGATTGGCATCCGTGCAAAAGAAAACAAAAACACAGCGCAACACCAAACTTTGGAATGGACGGCAACAGCAACATCGCAATCTAGAAGCCAAGCCGTGCCACGCCGGATCGAAACAACGCGGCAATGGCTTCCAAGAAAATTCACGAGCACKAGCACGAGCAGAAACCCGGCGGTTGTTCCTCAGAACAACAGGGAGGAACGCCACCCTCGGGACCCGTGGAGAGCGAAACAGAAACAAAAACAGAAACAGAAACAGCTGTAGGATCCAGCACCGGAACGGAACCATCGCCACCAAAGAAACCGCAATCTCAACCACAACCGCAACCGCAACCACAAACCCAGAATCCCCATCGCAAACCGAAACGAAAGCACCCCCTGAAAATGCCGCTGCGAACCAGCCCGGCAACCAACCGGATCATTTGCAGGTTCCACAACTACGACGCCCGCCACGGCTGCAAAAAACACAACCACCGAACGCACCCACAGAACAGCGGCGGCGAGAAGGTTTGCGGCGGAACCCAAGTCCCCGAGAACGATGCTGCTGCCTCCTGCCCGCTGGACCACGAAACCTGCCACGTCTGCCTGGAAACGGGGCACCCGGCCCACGAGTGCCTCCACCTCGACAACCCCTCCTCGGAGGTCTGGACCGCATTCTGCAGGCTCACGCTCAAAAACACGCGGCCCGAAGACTATCCCCCCCACAAAACCGTCCTGGGGGACCCCATCGTGTGGATCGGCGACGCCTACGGGTGCGGATCGACCGGCACCCGAAGGACGCTCGAAGCCCCCCCCCTCGAAGGCTTCGAGGAGGGACGGGACGACCTCCTCCTCCGCTGCGGGGCCCAGAAAAAGATCGAGGCGGCCTACCTGCTGGGCCTCCCCCTCGGATCGGTGGTGGTCGACGCCGGGGCCCACCTCGGCGACACGGTCCTGACCCTGGCCCTCTTTGCCCGGGCCAGGGGCCGGAACGACCTCCGCTTCTGGGCGGTCGAGCCCTGCCCCGAAAAGTGCTCGTTTCTGGAGACCGCCGCGGCGGCCAACCGCCTGGGGGACGCTCTGGGGGTGGTCTGCGCCGCGCTGGGGGAGGTCCCCGGGGAGGCGGAGCCCGCACCGAACTCCAAGGACCGGGCCCTGCGGGAGGGGAGCCTCCGGTACGTCTATCGCCGCAACAGCGGACCCGAGACCGGGGCCCGAAAAAACGAACCCGGCGGGGCTCCCTCCGCCGATCAGGACGACAACGAGAACGACAACAAAAACGACAACGAAAACGACAACCACAACGAATGCCCGAACCCCCCCGCACCGACCGAACCAAGCAGGAGTTCGGGCCAGGGCACCCGGGTGATTACCCTGGATTCCATGTTCGACCGGCTGACACCCCTCGGCATGCTGCACATCGACGTCGAGGGGTGGGAGGCCAGCGTCCTCCGGGGCGGAACCCGGCTCCTGGCGTCTGCCCTCAGCGGCAACAACGACGACGACGGCGGCGACGGCGGCGAATCTCCCCCTTCGTGCGTGGTCATTGCCGAGGCCTGGACCGAGAAGGAGTGCCTGCGGAGGGGGGTCTCCGGGACGAATCCCGAAGCCAGCATCGCTCGCGTCATGGAAGTGGAGCTGCCCGAATACCACCTGCAGCAACAACAACAGCAACAAGAACAACAACGACACGGTGCAGAGCTACAACCGGGGTTCGAGTTCGTCCGGGCCGACGACATTGTGGACGTGGAACGAAACCTTGTCTATGTTCGAAAAAAGAAGGGGATGCGTGCAAGCTAAGATGCAGGGATTATTGCTAGGAACTCTTGGGCAAGCACCGCAGCCGGTTCAATCCATGCATTCGACGCCCCAGCGATCCCTCGCCGGAATGGTTTTGTTGGATTGTTCTAGACCGGGCCGCAGTCGGTACCGGCGCCTTCCCAACCAAAGATGAATGGTGGTGGCACAAGAAATGTCGCTCGACACTTGGGGACCAGCTTCTTGCAATCTACGGGCGAAAGCCTCTTGGCTGAGCAAGAAGCCTGCGGCATGCCAAAGGTGCCCCGCTTCACCAAGATGCGTCTTGTGCACGCACACGGTGCGCCACACCTAGGTTACCACTCCCAAGAGGCAAAAGCATCCCGGATTTCAAAACCGGTTCTCCCAGCACTCTCTCCCTATCCCATCCTTTCACGAAGCTCGAGCCAAAGAAATCACTTAAGCAGAGCGCACCGAGAAGGTCTTTTGTTCCAGAAAAGGCAAGATGCTAAATACTAAGTGCACTAAACCATGTTGACCATGACGTTCTAAAAAATTATATCAGAATTTTGGTGGCGTTTTCTGCAAACACGAAATGCTACACACTTGTACAGTAGCACCGAGGCGTGTTTTGATATCGATTTGTATTTTTTCGAGTCATTGCGATTCGGTTGCGACATTGCCGGCCGGAGTGCCGAAAGCAGGGGATCTCTTGCATATCTTCCGTTCGTTGCATGGGTGGTTCTGGGTGATTGTGCCATGGGACGCTCGATTCGATTCGATTCGATTCAGTCCCTCTCCTCCCTTCCGGTCCTTCCGTAGAGGAAGCGGACAAACCCGAGGCTGGAGAGGAGGCCGACGGACCCGCAAAAGAGGCCAAAGCACACCGCCATCATCGAGGTGTAGACCAGATAGATGGCAACGGACAGGCTACCCGCCAGCGACAACCGGCTGTCCATGAAATAGAGGCCGTAAAGGAAAAAGTAGAAACCGGCAAGGGCCGGGTTCCAAAAGGACCTCCACCACCACCGGTGGTCTTCCCGACAGAGCTGGAAGAAGCACAGGCCGATGGCGACCAKGGCGGAAAGGGCGGCCACCGACAGCATCGTGGCCGGCAGGTAGAAGGCTTGGGGCGAAAGGTAGGCACAGCCGAGCCAGAGGCAGGACAGGACCAGTTGCGATTCGGGCCCCGCGATGTTCATCGGAAGGGTGGCCCCCACCAAGACCAGGAGGTAGTACGCGGCCCTTGCGGCGAGGGAGGCATTGGGAACATCGGCAGCATCGGCATCGGCATCGTTTTCGTCGTCGTCGGACGCCCCGCCCGTGTCTTTCGAGGGCTCGGGGGCCGGTCGTGCCCACGATGCGCCATAGGCTCCGAGAGCGACCATGGGGAAAGAACCGGCGGTCCAGAGCAAAAACAGGGCACCGATCGTTGCCTCGCTGGCCGCGGTGGAAGCACGGGCGCCTTCCACAAAGGCGTTCAGCACCAAAAAGGCCGCCAGGAACAGGGCCGGCAGTCCGGCCGCGGTGGCAAAAGCGCCTGCCTTCTTGCAACACCCAAAGACGCCGCAGAGCAGGGACGACACCGCCCCCCCCACGAGGCCGCAGGAAGCGTACAGGAAGAGCAACAGCGTGAGGACCTGCCCGGGCACCGCAAAGCTCGCGGCGCCGAGCGAGGAAAGGACCAGGGTTCCTCCGAGGGCGCAGCCGATCTGTGCGCCGGTTCCCACCAGGGCCGACAACACCACCGGGAGAGTCCTCGGGGGCAAAAACACGCTTCTCCGGACGGCCTTCCAGCCGGTGGTCGGGACCGCGGGGGGTTCTCCGGGCGAGAGGTCGTTTTCGGCATCGTTTTCGTCGTCGTCGTCTTCGGATGCTGGCAGCCGGTCGTATCCGCCCCCCGCTCCCTTGCCACCGCCGCTCCCTCCGCGGAGGCTGCGCACCACGAACGCCGCCACCACCCCGGCCACCACCAGGACCTTGGCGAGGGAGTGGATCAGGCCGTACCGGTACAAGTCGCCGCCGGGTGCCCCGACAAAGTGCACGTCCCACCGGTCCGCCCACGCCAGGTCGTTGTTTTCGACCCACTCGACGTCGTAGCTGTAGACAACATCGAGGTGCCCGCTTTCCCCGGCGGACAGCGAAAAGTACCGAGAGATATCGTTCGCAACGTACGGCCCCCGGCAGGTATACACGTCCCCCGAATCCGCATCGCGTTTGTGGTCAATGGTGACCGGGTGCACATCGAAACCGGTAATGCGAATGGCATTCCTTTCGCCGCTGCCTCCCACCCTGCGGTAGGTGACCAAAAACTTCAGGTGGTTGTACAGGAAGAATTTCTCGTCGGCATCGTCCTGGTAGTGGATGTGGTCGCCGACAAAGTTGCCGTTGAGGGTGTCGCGGCCAAACGCCGGAAACTTGAATCCCAGGGGGACTCCCCTAACGGCATAGTTGAGCTCCGCGCTTCTCATCAACATCGGCAGGCCGTCCATCTCGAGATACATGCGGTACTGGTTGTTGATCAGCTCCCTCGTCCGCACGAGGTCCTCCTCCACGAGCCGAACGAAGCACAACGGGGTGCACTCCTTGTTCTCCCCGGCAACGAACCGATATGGGGAGCGCCCCGAGGCTCTCTCGTATCCCAGAAGCCGCGGCCCCAGGGCTTGGAAGGCCATTCTCATTCGGGGCTGAGGGTACCGGCACACGGGAAGGTTCTCGTAGCGCAAGGGCATCAGGGTTTTCCTGGACCGGACCAGGTCCATGCGGACCGGGAGTGCCTCCCCGAGCAAATAGTCCCGGGGGGTTTGCCCGGGAAAGAGGATCTCGGACAGGCTCTTCTCTTGTTTCATCGACCGGAGGCGGTAGTTTCGCATGGCAATGGCCTCTCTGGTGTTGGTGACCTCATCGAATCCATCCCGGCGCATCGCTTTATAGGCCGACCACTCCGACCACTCGACCTCCTTTCTCTCGCGACGGTCCAGGGGCCTTCCCTCCCTCAGCTTGGAAGCAATCGCCGGATCGAGCCTCTGCCAGTCGGTCCTAAGGTGGATCGTTTCGGCCAGCAGCGCCAAGGGACGGGGATTTCCCGGGGATGCCCTCTGTTTCGACCCATTGCTGCTCTCCGGGCGGGGCGAAGAGGCTCTCCTCTGTTCTTCCCTCGGACCGCTCGCCGGCACCGGCGTTCGCCTCGCGCGCCAGCAGCAACACCCACAGATACAGGATGAAACGGCAGACCTTGTGCATTTCCGAGGTGTCTGTGTCGTGTTTCGTTGTGCTATGCTATGCTATGCTATGCTATGCTGAGCTGTGCCTTGTGTTTGCCAGCCACGGGAGTCGGTTTGTTTGTTTGTTTGTTTTTTGTGTCGAACGATGCAAAGCAGAAGACGTGCTGCTGAACATTTTGTTTTTCAAAGGATTGGAAGAACACGATGGAACATGCTCTACAGCAACACTGAAACGACACAACACAACAAGACACGACACGGCACATTTATTATGGGTTTTGTTTCGTTTCGTCGCGGCGCAGTAATCAATTTTCAATACCGCTTTTGGTGTTTGGCACGTGTTCGGAAATAGAAAGTACCTATCGTACCTAACGTATCTAAAGTAAGTACATTACGCAAAAACGATTTTCCCAATTAAGAAAAAATACTCAGTCATAATTTAACATCACCCCTGGATCGCAAACACACAACTCAGGAGAAAGCATCCGGCAGCCCTGGTCAGTTGGTTCGACGAACCGTACTCGTACCATACAAAGCAAAAAGCACAAACAAACGAAACACGAAACACGAAACACGAAACACGAAACACGAGATCCGATCGACACCATGGGATCGAACAGGGCCGGCGCTGCAATTCCCGCTTCCACCCGCCTTTTCCGCCTCGCGCTGCTCGTGCTGGCGGCGGTCGCCCTGGCGGAGGCCAAGACGAAAAAGAAGATCGCCCTGGTGACGGCGGGCCTTCCCTGGAGCTTTGGCCCGTACCAGTCGCAGATGCACCAGCTCTCCCTGCTCCTGCGCGACGGAAAGCTCTCGGGCAGCGACGATTCCACCGAGTACGACATCTACTGGGTGGCCGACACCGTCCATATCCCCTCCGGCGTCTACCGGGGCTACAGAGATCTCCGCCCGCACATCGGGAAGACCGTCCCCCCGAAAGAGGACTTCCCGCTGGACCACATCACCTTTCTGGGCTGGGACACGCAGATGAAAGCGAGCACGCTGAACCAGCTCGCAAAACAACACGGGATCGACCTAATGATCACCCTCATGGACATCAGCCGGCTGGTGCCCGACGAGGCGCTCAAGCTGCCGGTCGTGGCGTGGATCCCGCTCCACTCGGCCACCGTGGAGCGCTGGACCAGCGACTACTGGTCGCTCCGGTCCTACCACGGGATCGCGGGCCTGGCACCGTCGGGGGCGGCGGCCATCGAGGACGCCGTGGGAAAGAGAATGGAACTCGGCGACGCCGGGCTCGAGGCGGTCTTTGGGAAGGGCGAGGTCGCCTTTGTCCCGCACATGTTCGACAGGGAGGCCCTCAATGCTTCGGCGGACAAGGGCCTCGGGCTCCTCGGTCGCAACCACGTGGCCCTCGTCGATGCCGAGCTCACCGGAATGCCGCCGATCCTCGACCGCGCCCGGCCGGAGGCGCTGGAGGCCGGGGGGGGCCTCTTCGAAACCGACGGGGAGAACAGGCCCGACCCCCGCTTTCGCTTTGTCGTCCTGCTGCAGGGAGGAAACTACGACAAGCTGGACCGCAAGGGCTGGGACACCTCGCTCCAGGCCTTTGCGCGCTTCTACCACTCGCTCGACGATCCCTCGGGGATCCACCTCCTCATCCACTCCATGGAGAGCTACCTGGTCGCGTCGGACAGCAACAACGAGGAGGACGCCCCGCCCATGGTGCTCCCACAGGGCTACAACATCCGCCTGGCCCTGCACGAGCTCGGCCTGCCGAAAACCGCCTACACGGTCGACCAGGCCAAGCACGCACCCGAGGTGGTCGCGGCGTACAAGAAACGCGCGGACGTCTGCCTCCACCCGTCCAAGGTGGAGGGCTTTGGAATGAACGTCATGGAGTGCCAGATCGTCGGGACCCCCGTGGTCACCACCAAGTACACCGCCATGGAGGACTACACCAAATTCGGCCGGTCCGTCCCGCCCCTCCAGACCATCCGGAACCCGGATCAGCTCTACAGCATGGCGATGCCCGACGTGGAGGGAATCGCGGAGGCCCTGGGAGAGCTCTACCTGGAGCACAAAGCCCTTGCCGCCGGGGACGAGGGCTACAAGAGGCGCCGCGAGCAGGAAATCGCAAGCTTCAACGACTGGCTCGAAACGACCTGCTCCCCGGACGCCGTGGCCGACAAGTTCGGGGAGCTCCTCCCCCGGGCCATCGACGAGTTCTGGGCCCGGGAGACCGCCAGGGGCTTGCTCCTGACCGGGGCCGTTCCCACCGAGGGGGCCTACGAGGTCTCCTCGGGCTACCACGCCACGATCGCCGACTGGGACGCCCCCTGGACGCTCATGTCCCCGGACGGGACGGTGGTCACCGCCCCAGAAGAACTGAACAAGATGGCGTGGATGATGCTCCTGGCGGACAACTCGTCGTCGTCCCCCGCGATGGCCATCGTGGTGCCGCCCACCTACGAGGACGGAACCAAGGCCGACGAGCGCCTCTTTATGGAGGGAAAGCTTCCGTTGCTCGTCCGGACCTATGTCCTCTGCTCGCTGCAGGGGGCTTCCACGCGGTTCAGCACCCTCATGGCGCAGGCCATCAACGTCGCCGGGAACAGCGTCAAGAGGATGCCGGACGGCGTGGCGATGATCGACCGGAACACGAAAAAGGGGGCAACCACCGCACCGGAAGGCCGAAGCGAGCTGTAGCCGTGGCGTGGCGGCCCGCAGCGCAGCGCTGCGCTAGGAGCCCTTTGCCTGCCCGGGTGGTCTGTCTCTGGAGCGGAAGGCCGCGTGGTGGTTCCGTGCTCGTGTTCGGCAGGACGACGAGGTTTGTAGCCACGCCGTGTGGCACGCACAGTCTTCGTTTACGGTAGAGTTCGATCGCAAAACACACAGCACACACACACACACACAATGTATTTTTCTAGGTTGCCTTTAGTAAAGTGCTATCGGGATTCTTGACAATCCAATTCAATCCAATCGAGCGCAAGACACGCCTCGACGTTCCTTGCGAGGTATTCGTACACACCAGAGCGGATGGACCAACAAACGTCGTATTGGTGATCTATCTGAAAATCTTCTTCGGGTCTCCCACCTCTGGCATCCCTGTCTCAAATTCCACAAGTTCCGTTGCTATATCCTGGGCAAGCTTTATTGTTCCTTGTACACCCACGTGTCAAAGAGTACTCCTCTTTTGCACACACACACACAAGTCCAAAGACTGACTGCTGTTCTGAAGCCGGTAAAGAAAAATTATCAGATCAGCCGTCAATGTCTTGCTCAATGCTATTCCTTGCCTGCGCGTGGGAGGAAGCGAATCCGGAACACCGGCTTGTTTGCCGTATCTTTCGTTCTCGTTGTTCTACGGACCTACGAGAAGTCGAATCGTAGAAAATTAGAAAACAATGGAAGATTGGCGTGTCGCAACCGGTCGACCTCCGCTCTGAAAGACATAGGATCTTGTTGAACCCCGCATTGTTAAGCTACAGAAAAAAATACGAATCTCTATAGTATTACACAACGCCTCAGCACGCCACGGCAGGATGCACCCAGCCACAAGACAATCGCAAGGTCGAGTTGGGTGCGGTGAGATACGAGCGTGATTTTTCTTTGTTTGGGTGCCGTGCCATGCGTGACGGTTGTTTTCCGCGACGCCCGGTTGTTTTTCTCTCGAATCGAATCGAAAACGGCCTAGGCCAGGTTGGAGGAAAACTGCAGCTCGGATTCTTCTCCCGATAGGAGGTTGTAGTCGGAAACGAATCCGGTCTGTGGCCGCCGCTGGAACCGACTGGGAGCGCTCCCCCCGAAAAAGGGAATCTCGATCGGGTATCCCCTCCGCTTGCGATCGAACACGACGTAGCAAGCCCAGCAGACGCCCATCGCCAGGAGAAACTTGAAAAAGGAGCCGAGAAAGCCGCCCTTCTTCTTCCGGTTCCCGTTCTTGTCTCCCTCCTCCTTTGGGACGTACTCGTTTTTCTCTTCCTCCCGCTCGGCTTCGTTGGCCCCCTTGGCGGCGGCCTCCTTTTCCTTCTTGGCCGTTGGATCGTTGTCCACCGGCTTTTTCTTGTTCTTGTCGCTGTCCTTTTTGGTTTCCTCCGCTTCCAGCTCGCACTTGAGGCCCATCTCCTTCCAGGCCTCCTGTATGATGTGCTCCTGGTTGAACCCCTCGCACTCTTCGACGTCTGCCATGCAGTTGGCAAAGTACTTGAGGGTGAGCTCGACGTCGTCCTCCGGGGTGCCACTCAAGAGGTAGCAGTCAAAGAAATCGATCTTGATCGAATGGAGCTTGCCGCCGTACTTGGAGCAGAGCGAGTCGTAGTCCTTGAGCATCTCGGCCGGGTACGAGGCCGACATCGTGTCCTTCGAGGTCATGCCCATGCTCAGCGATGCCGCAAATTCGTGGCGCATCTCCTGGAGTTCCTTGCCGGCGGTCTCGAAGAACTTGCCCGTCTTTTCCATGCACTGTTCCTCCTTGTAGGTGATGACGATGACGGCGCCGACCCTGCAAAACAGACACAGAGTCAGGAGCAGCTGGGCGATTCGGAGGTTATTAGTTGGCACCATACTATCGGTAGTCTGTGCAAAGATTTAATGGTTGTGGCGTTGGTATCCGTGTGGTGTTCCACTTGTTGTGGTTTTTTGTTATGTGTCATGGGTTGTGTGTTTGTTTCGTTGATTCTTCGTTGATTCCCTTGTTGCTCCGTTGCGTCAGTAGGTCTTCTTAGGCGAAAGACGGTTTCCGTAAGATTACGTACAGTATTGTACCGTGCGTTATTTTACAAGACAGTCGTTCGAACTTCGGGTGCAGTATTCGGGACACTTCTGTGCGGTTTCGTACGATGGAATACGATGTACCGTATGGTATCCCTGTGGCATCGTACGTACGGTACATTCTCGATTCTCGTAGTCCTCAACGATAAACGTAACATTTAAGGTTACCTCATCAGAACGAAGCCCTTGTTTCACTCGACTCCGAAGGAAAAATCTCTACGGTGCGCATAGTACAATATTAGGTCCGTACCCGTAGTTTCGGTGCGCAACAAAATTGGTTGTGCATGCCGCCGTGCTTCGTTCAGTTCGCACGATCCAGTGCCGTTTTCGGGGGGAGTTGCATTTCAATCGGAATTTCGAAATTTGTAGGTACTAGTATATGATATCAAAGATACTATAGTATCTCCGGTCATTTTCGGGCGGCTCGGTCCTGTCCGGCCTCGTTTGTTCGAGGGCCAGCATCACTTCTACCTTTGCGAATACCAAGTACAAGGTACGAGTACGACGGTTCAAACCAAGCACCGTGGACATTTTCAAAATCACAGAATCTAGCTTGGGTCGCTTGTGCTTGTTTCCCATCATTCCAAACGAGAGAACAGGGAGCAACTGCGACCTGTCATCACCAGCAACGCAGCTTACGGTACAAGCCGACAGCCAACGCAACAACATCCACACCATTACTCACATCATTATCAGCAGCAACAGCAACAGCAACAACATCACACAATGGGAGACACAAAGCACATCGCCAGCGTGGTCGCAACCTACTGGTTCGTGTCCATTTCCATGGTCTACCTGAACAAAATTCTCATGTCCAGCGAGGCGGTGTCGATCGAGGCCCCCCTTTTCATCACGTGGTTCCAGTGCATCGCCACGGCGCTCATTTGCTGGGCCGCCGGGCGTCTTTCCATGTCCATCAAGGGCGCCTCGAACCCGGACATGCTCCCGCTCACCGGGGACAAGGGCAACGGCAAGTCCAACAGTTTCTTTGCGCAGTTCCCCAAGGCGGAGTACAAGCCGTCCGTCGGACAGAAGATCCTCCCCCTCTCGGTGATCTTTGTGGGCATGATCACCTTCAACAACCTCTGCCTCAAGTGGGTCGAGGTCTCCTTCTACAACATTGCGCGGTGCCTCACCATTGTTTTCAACGTCGTTCTGAGCCACCTGATCCTCGGGACGCCCACGTCGATGCGCACGGCGGCCTGCCTCCTGGTGGTCATCTGCGGTTTCTTTATGGGGGCCAAGGGAGAGGTCAACTTCACCTACGTCGGAACCGCCTTTGGCCTGTGCTCCTCGCTCTTTGTCAGCCTCAACTCGATCTTTACCAAGAAGGCCCTGCCGATGGTGGACAACGACCACTGGAAGCTCACCTTTTACAACAACGTCAACGCCTCGGTACTCTTTCTGCCGCTCATTGCCTACCTGGAGGCCGGGGTTCTGTACAACGCCCTGGACAAGCAGATGGTCTCTGGTCTCTTCTGGGGCGCCATGATGGTGGCGGGCGTATTTGGCTTTTCCATTGGAATCGTGACGGTCATGCAGATCAAGGCCACCAGCCCGCTCTCGCACAACATTTCCGGAACGGCCAAGGCGGCCTTCCAGAGCATGATGGCCTTTTACATCTGGAAGAACCCGGCCACCTTTATGGGCATTGCGGGACTGTGAGTTGCGTTGCGTTGGCACCGCGAGGTGCTGTCGCGTTCTCCGCACGATCCACCCTTTCGACTTGTTCTCACGAAACTTCTTTCTCCTCTTTCCATTTGATCGCTTTCCCTACCATTCTATACGATTCCTCTTGCACGACTAATTCGAACCCGACCCCCTAGGTTTGTCGTCCTCGGAGGGTCCCTGCTGTACACCGTCGTCAAGATGAGGGAGGGCAAGAAGGCACCCCCCTCGTCCGAGATGGAAATGAAGAAATAAGCGACACGGACACGTATCCACGCAACTCAAACGCAATGCAGACGGAAGGGGCGTTGCATTTTGTTTCTTTGAATTCCAACCAACGAAACCAAACCAAACGAATCCAGACCAAACCATGCGCTGCAATGCCAAGACCAACGAACCGAATAGACTCTGGCATTTGGTGGCCAAAGTTCCTTATCTAGTAGACATTCATTCTTACCACAATTTTACTTTTAAAAAAACCTATACTGCATTGGTCGATGATTATACTACACTCGTTGTGGATGCCACGCTCCGCACCCTTGCCCGCCTACGACGACGATCGGCAGCGTTGCAGGCCAAACCCGCACGCGGACACCGTCGCCAGGCACAGGACGGCCAGGACGGCCGCCCCCAGAAAGGCCCGCGTCCGCATCTGCCGCCAGTACAGGGTCCGCCGGAGCGACCGGCTGTTGGACTCGAACCGAAAGGCCTGCTGGTTGAGCCGGTCCGTCTTGTCGACCAGCAGCTCGATCTTTTCTCCCCGCTCCAGGACCCGCTCGATGTTCTGGACCATCGTGTCCCTCACCTCGTCGATCTGGGACTTGACCGTCCCGATGTTGTCGATGGACCGGTCGGCCTCCTCCGTCCCGTAAAAGTCCATCCGCTCGCCCAGGACCGCCTTGAAGCCCTCGTTCATGGAAAAGGCAATGGCCTGCTGCGCCTGCTCCAGGCCGAACTGCTGCAGGAATCGCTGCTTCACGTCCTCCAGAAAGGCAAAGGGGATCCGGTGCTTGCTCGGTTCGTCCGACATGCAGAGGTAGCAGATCCCGTTCTCGACGACGTAGTGAAAGACGTACTCGTCGTACACGTAGGTCATCCTGCCGTCCTGCGGGGGGATTTTCTCGAGCAGGACCCGCGTGACGGTTGGAAAGTTGCCCGTGGCTGTGGACGCGGATGCGTTGTTGCATTGTACATTGGGTTGTTCGCACGCGTTGTTTTGTTTTGCATAAAACGATTTTGTTGTTGTCGTTGCCGTTGTTGTTGTGTGTTCGCAGAGTATTCGGGAATTCCGCCGCGATCGATTGGTTGATTCCATTGTGGTTGGGTTGATACAATATAGTCATTCCATGATGGAATTCCATATTCAACAAGAAATAGTATTCGCGAGAACATGCGATGACGATGCATTCATTCGTGGATTCAAAAAAAGGAGAGTGAGCAATAACTCGAATAGAGGTGTATCGTTGCTATTTGTGTACTTCGTTACCTCACGACAAACAGAATGATTTCATTCAACAATTACTGCAACAAGAACTTACTCGAGGCATTGGTGTTTTCGGCCAGAACCGTCTGTTGTCGAGATACGAGAGCGTATAGAATCGTCATGGTGCTTTAATAATGTCAATAGTTCGTGGATTGCTTGCTCGCTTGCTTTGTTAGTCGTTGTGGAATCTAGTCGCTATTGCGCTGGTGATTGTTTGGGGAATCGAGCGAGTGTTCGATATGCCGTGAACAAAGATTGGTGTTTGTTTTGTTTGTTGAGATCGGATTCGATAGGGTTATTGCTATTGTTTGGATGTTCTCGTTCTTGTTCCATTCGGTTTCCAAACCAGTATGAGGAAGGAATGTCACGGTACGGTAAAGACTCCTACGCACCGTACCATACTCGAGCGTCACGAGCAGCAAACCAAACGAAAACATACTTGCTCGACGAAGTTCTTTTGGGTGATGCCGTTTCTGTTCCTCTCCTCTGCCTAGCCTACAGGTAGGCAGATGGTAGGCACGTAAGTACGTACCAGTACACATAACAAGAACGAATACTGTACGTAGTAGTACTGAAAAGAATAGGAACGAACAAAAGGACCGACCCAATTCATTCGCCTGTACAATATGTACCTACGAGAGCTGGTATGTACATACGAAATACCTAAGTAGGAAGTACCTTCTTGAAGTTGGCTCAGTTGTAGTTTTTGTTTTTGCATCGGAGGCGGTCTCAAACACGAACGTTGCGGTACGAGTACTTGGTGAGAAAACAAAACACAATGAATATTGGTATCATTCATAAAATCCTTTTAAAGCTATGCCTCCTCTTTTATCTGATTGCCGCCGCTCCCATCCCTTTCGATTGGTTTATTCTGATTATTCTGGATGATGGAATTCAATTTGCTGTCGAATCGATCAAATGCAAAGGTCAGCTTCATGTTGCGGAGGCTACGCTTGAATTTTATTGGGGGGTTCAGCTTGTCCATCTTCTCCACCTTCCAGTGACCAGCATAATAAAGCTTATTTTCGCTGTTTTCTGGTTGTTTAGGGACATGGAAGATGGGAATGCTCTCTTTCCATTTCCCGACCTTATCGGCTGCATCCTTTCTTCCCTCTCCGGTTGCAACGTACCAGACCTGCGGCTGATTGTTCTGCTTTGCCAAATCGTTCCACTTATCGCTCAGCACAACAGCGTGGACCTTGCCAGACTTCCTACAGACATCAGACCGCCCAAACTTGCACGATTCCATGTACTCGACCATTCTGTTGTTTTCGTTTAGCTCCTCCCGGGTCCGGCCGATGGAACAGTTCGACCGCTGCTTGGGGGGTAGGTAGACGATTCTAGCGGCAGGGGTCTTGGACTTCTTTTTCGATCGGGATCCACCATCGCTCGAGGGGAAAGGCAGAAAACCACGAGTCGTTGCGTCAACGTTCTTCTTTACAGAGGATCTTCTTTCGTCGCCTTGGCTAACGATGCCTCCGTTGCTAGTTGTGGACAATGCCCTGGATCGTTTACTTCCAGACGAACCTACTTTCTTGGTAGATTCCCCGCTATCCTCGTCATCAGTATAAGTTTCTTCCGTGAGGTCCACCATCACTGATTTTGCGGCCTCGTGATTTTCTTCTGCTGCATTTGATTCGGCCCGAAGTTTTTCTAGCTCTTGAGTCAAGTCTTTTAGGTGTTGTTCGGAAGCAGCTATTTCCGCTACCGAAGCAGCTATTTTCGCTTTCGAAGCAGCTATTTCCGCTTCCGAAGCAGCTATTTCCGATTCTGAAGCAGCTATGCTCGCTTTCCAAGCAGCTATGCTCGCTTTCAAAGTAGCCATTTCCGATTCTTTCTCGTTGCCCTTTTCTTGCCGGAAATCGCTTACTTCTGAGAAAAGGTTTTTCCCGGGGGTGACAGTGGTAATTAAGACTTCTCATTCCGTCTGAAATTGTTTTTCCGAATCTACTTGTTAGCTATCACTCTKGACCAAACCAAAGAAATGTAGACTTATCAAATCAATGTGAAAAGAAAATTTGCAGCAAAATATCTGAAAATTCTATAGCTTGATAGCCAGAATATCTTGTAGCAGTTTCAACTTACACTCAACGGATCCACGTTCATACCGTACGGTACCGTTGTTGCCTCTAAACGTTTGAAACATGTATTCTATATGGATCGAAATCACATGACAAATGTGAATGCACACGTGAATAAAAAATGCGATTAGACAAGTTCTACTCACATTTCTTCACGGAATACCAATTGTTTTTAACTGCTGGATTTTTGGCTTTAGTGGTAACTCGCTCACAAGACAAAAAATGGATTCCAACAGAAATATGCCGTGCATTGGACCATGATGTAGCGCGTGCCACAGATAAAAGCACTATTGACGCACTAGAAGATGCAGTGATTTTCGAGAAGAACAAAATTAAACTACAAGCCCGGAACTCATTCCCTCAGTAAGAAACATATTGGGTGATTCCCGTTATTATAGAATTGCTACACTGTTAAATCTAGCATTTTTATTACTTCCATTGACGGGAATACAAATTTCAATTTCCCCTTGTTGGGCTACGGTACGTACGTATCCATAGTAGACTACGCAATCGGTTTTTGTAGAGTACTCGCGAGCAAAAGTATCGTGCGTTACCAAAAAGTAGAAGTGCGGAGTTATGAATGTTTCCTCAAACTTGCCTCCTGTCAGAGAAACGAGCAATCCGTAGTGATTCGCTCTGGTATCTTTCTCTCAAACGTTCTGATCGTTTCCTTGGGGATGAAATGCTATTGTTGACTACGAGGACGCCCTCTGCGTTCACGAGTGACATCCTCCGCTGAGCATTCGAGGCACAAGTATTTCTTCCTTGTTCATCACTCGCAGAGGTCGCATAGGTCGTAGAGGTCGTCAAGGTCTTACGCATCAAGCGCCTCAAATATCTCTTTGAGTGACGGCGTGTGCTCGCGTCATCCCTGTTGTGATTGCTACTGACCTCATCACTACCACCAATGCAATTGCTGCGGACCTCATCACTACCACCATCGTCTTCCAAGTGGTCCACTTTGTTTGGTTTTGCGGCTTCGTAGTTTTTCTTTGCTGCATTCCTCCGAGCCAGAAGAGTCTCTTGATTCAGGGTGGCACGTTCGAGCTGTCGTTTCAAATCGGCTATTTCTGCTTCATTTTCGTTCACCAATTGTTGCCGGTCTTCGTATACTTCCCTGACGATACGTTCGTGCCCGGGATGTCGGTAGTGATTAGGGTTGCTCATTCCGTCTGAAAATGCTCTCCGCGCCTGTTATTTGGCATCAAACCGGATCAATAGAAGAAAGAGAAACACGAGGGTGAATCGTTGTTGACAACCTTGTCAACAATACGAGAAAATTGTTCGCCAAGAATCAAGACGAAAAAAATTGAAGCAATGCTATCGGAAGATTCCGAAGCGCGCCAATAAACAAGGTCAACATACCGTATGTATCATCTTATCCAACCTTTGAATGCAGTAGGATTAATAGTACGTACCATGTGCGCGTCGGGTGAGCTAGAAAATTTGCATTACTGGTAAGTTACTCGTCGTACGGAAACATACGGTACATGGAGCGCTGACGCACTTTTTATCACCAACCATGATCGACAACTCATCTGTTTCCAAAAGTTTCTACGATACCCAAGTACCATACAGTATCGTACGGCAAGTATTCGTTCAAAAACGCAGAAATCTTGACACCACCTATCTCTCGAGTTCGCGTTATGAAAGTACCGTACCATTCGTTACTTTCCCACTTGCAGCAATGAAACGAAAACGACACAAAGAAAACACCATATTCTTTTTACTCAGAACAAGCCCGAAGCATACTCCTTCAAAATAATAGTCCGAAATGAAGTTCTTTTTTTCTGCCGCTGCATCCGCGATCCTTTTCCTGCTCCTGTTGGCGTCGACAACGCCTGGCGATGCTTTCTGCTTCCAGCAACAACCGGCGCGATCGAAAAGGACGACGTGGTTGGCGGCTCGATCCGATCCAGAAGACGCAAACGAATCCGGATCGAGCAGGAGAGCCTTCCTCGCCATCGGCGGGAGCGCTGCGCTCGCGTCCATGGTGGCTGCGCCGCAATCCGCTTTGGCGGGGATCGACGTGTCCGGCCTCCGCGTCGAGGGGGGCGGAAACAGCAACCCCGTACTGAGAGAGCAGCTCAAGGCCATCGACGGGTCCGCTTCCGGCCGTGCCAACCAGATACGTGAGATCCAGGCACAGGCCTCGGCTTCGGCCGGACCCAAGCTCACCAACGGGGTGCCCGTCAAGATCGAGGAGGAGGTCGATCCGAGCGTCGCAACCTGGCTGTACCGGACCAATCCGGGGCTAAGCCCTCGCCTTTCGAGGAGCGGAGCCTTCAAGAACCTCTTTCGCTGCGACGACCAGGTAGTCGGGCCGAGCGGTTTGTCCTCCAAAAGTGTGGGTGTAACTTTTGAATTCCCCTCCGATTGGTTGCAGCTGGACCGATTCCTGGGCGGAATATCTTACGTCGACCAGAGGAACGGGGATCGTTTGTACCTGTTGAAGACGAAGCTTCCAGAGGGAGAACGACTGGCGACGGTACCAAAGGCCTTCTTCGGCACTTCTATATTCGACCCGAGGGGTACCATTGTCAAGAGCCAGGGAGTCGAGATCGACGAGTACAAGGTCACCAGCGGACAGATGCTCAGCGAGTGCCCAACCGACTCGTGTTCAACGCACAAGCGGTTCAAGATTCGGTATTCGACCGTGACCGGAAACGGCCTCCGCGTCGAACGGAGAGCTTTGTTGGATGCGTATGAGATGACCGCAAGCGGCGACGTATACATGCTCATGACCTCATCGAACGCCGTGAAATTCGAAGCAAAGGACAGCCCCGAGCGAAAAACGGTCGAGGCCATCGTGGACTCTTTCCGCATCGACGTCTAAGGAAATGCAGCATTACACGAAACAAATCCGACCACAGCAGCATGTGCTCCATCGCACGAAACAGAAGGGGACGAAACGCGAGATCTCGAAGAGCAATCGTTGTGGAATCGAGTGGCATCGACCGCAAGAACCAAACATGACACCCCCTAGGCAAAGAAAACAAACCCGTTTCATGACCTTGACTCTATTGCAGTTATCCTGCGTTTTTCACGTACCAGGAATAGAAGCCGTTTAATTTTGATGTATCGAACCTATATCTGCATGCCAAGCCTTGTCTTGGTAAAAAAAATGAGGAGACGACGCTTTAGGTAATTTAAAAAGCGATTTCATCACACTAGTAAGCAGAGAAATTTTTGTGAGGTTAGGAAATAATATCAACAATATTGAATAATATACTGAGACATGCGACACGGGGTTGGAGTGTGTATCGAAATATGGTATATTGCTCTCGCCAATGCGAAAGCTTATAAATTGTACAGGGTGTTTTGGCTGGATCAAATACCATTTACTTTTTTATTTCTGGTTCGACGCCGGTGGAATATAGCTTCTTTTCCCACCTGCTCCTCTGGAGTATCTCCAACGGCACGCAGAATACAAACCTTAGGACATCATTTTCCGCTTAAACAACGAAGTAGGTTCTCTGAAACATTGAGTTAGACCCAGTCGTGATGGCATTTAGATCTGCGGCTCTTAATTCACCGTCACTCCATACGATTTGTTAATATTGTTCCTTTAGTATGCGTTATCATAATTATTCTACAAATAGCGATGCGTCTGCTCGGTCAAGTTCGGGTGGTCTTGGGTGGCGGTGTGTACCGTTCGGTGTGGGAAAGTTTTGTGTATCGCCAAGAACACGATTTGTTTTTCGAGTTTTGTCGCTACGCTACGAGATGGGCCGGAACCAGAGGTCGTGTTCGTTGTCGTTTCCCATCATTTCAATGTCCCCTTGTCTCAGCTGCTGGCGGCCGCTCCTCCCCGACCATTTCTTGTGGTAGACGGCCCCAAACCCGATCAGGCCCAGCACGGCACAGACGGCAAACGCCGCCGTGATCATGCTTGTGCCGCTCGCGCTGGTTTGCGCTTGGGTTTGCGCCTGCGACGCGCCGTGGAACAGATTGCCGCTGCCGCTGGGGGTCGCGTGCGGTGCCCTTGTCTGTGGCTTTGGCGAGGCCGCCGGGGGCTTGGCGGTCCCGGAAGGCTTTTGGTCGTAGTTTTTGTTGTAGACGTCGTTGTGCTCCTGGTCGTCGCAGCCGGCTTGGCAGTTCAAGCCGAGGACCTCCTTGAAGAAGACCCGGACCAGCACCATCGGGTCCATGTACGCGCAGCTGTCCGTGTCGGCGACGCAATTCCCAAAGTTATAGACGTGGATGCACCCCTTGCTCTCGCAAGTCACGTCGCCCCGGGGCACAATGAACCAGGCACCGCCCTCGGCCTTGCAGACCCGCTCCATCTCCTCCGATGCCTCGGCCGGGTAGCCGACCTTTTTCGGCTGGTGGATGCTGGGACTCAACTGCGCCATGGCCTGGTATTCTTTTTCCGCCCCCTGGAGGGTTTCGGATCGATCGATAAAACCGGTCGAGTTGGCCATGCAGGCCAGGTCGGATTTGTCGAGGCCCAGGGCCTTGGCCAGGGATTCGTCGTCGGGATTGCCGGGCCTGCTGCTCGAGGATGCGTTGCTGTTTCCGTTGCCACCGTCTTTGTTGCCGCTGTCCTTGTTGCTACCCGTGTCCTCGTCATTGTCTGTTTCGTTTTCGCTGTCCTTGTTGTTCTTGTCGTCGGTATCGCTGTTAGTATCATTGTTATCAGTCCCGCTGTTGCCAGTATTGTCGTTGCCAGTACTGTCGTTGTCAGCATTGTCGTTGTCAGTACTGTCGTTGTCAGTACTGTCGTTGCCAGCACTGTCGTTGCCAGCATTGTCGTTGTCAGCATTGTCGTTGTCAGTACTGTCGTTGTCAGCATTGTCGTTGTCAGCATTGTCGTTGTCAGCATTGTCGTTGAGTTCTTGCTGTTTGTCGTTGTCGTTGCCTTGTTCCTTTTCGGCATCCGTCTTTGCCCGGCACTTGAGGCCCATCGACTTGAAGACGGACTCGGTGAGGACCAGCGGGTCCATGGCCCTGCACTCCACCGTGTTGGCGAGGCAGCCGGCCAGGTTGAGGAGGAAGAGCTCCCCGCTTACGCCCATGGCGTCGCAGGCAAAGTCTTCTTCGGCAATGAGGGCAAAGTGGCCGTCGATCTGCGATTTCGTGCAAACCTTGTCAAAGGCGTCGACGGCCTCTTCGGTAAAGCCAATCATCATGTGCTCGACGTCGGTCATGTCCGAATCCATGGACTCGGCATAGGCGATGCCGGCCCCCTGGAGCTCGGGGAATTTTTGGTTCATCGACTCGGTGTCCTCCATGCACAACCGGTCGTCATCGGACAGCTCGGGGCCGTAATCGCTGTTGCCGCCGCCTTCTGCGCTGGCACCGCCATCCTTGTTGTCGTCGTCGTTGTCGTCGTTGCCCTCGCCACCGCCATCCGTTTGGTCGTCGTCCGGCCAGCAGGCCATGCCCCCGTCGCCCTCCGCCAGGTCCTTTTGCAAAAAATGGACCGGGTCCACCGAGAGGCACTCCTCGACCTTCGCCAGACACACCCCGTAGTTGAAGACCTCCAGCGCCGCCGTTTCCGTCCCGTGCACGACGCAGGTCAGGTTGGCGAGAGGGGGTCCTTCCGTCCAGTGGCCCCTGCCGATCTGGCAGGCCGCCTTCATCGCCGCAACGTTGTCCCCGGGGTAGCCGATCACCATGGCTCCCCCGAGGTCGTCGTTGCGGTCCTCGTGCACGGAAGAATGGTCGTAGGTGGCCTGGGCGCTCTGCAGGCCGGGCCGGGACTTGTAAAAGGAAGCCGTGGCGTTCAAGCAGGCAATGTCGTCGTCCGTGAGAAAGGGCATCTGGGTGATGCTCGGGCCGCTGCCGGATTTTTGCGCGTCGTTGCCGTCGTCGGGGCCCAGAAAACCCTGCCCCTTGTTGTCGTTGCTGTCGTTGTTGTTGCTGCCGTTGCTGTCCTGGTCTTCTTCCCCCGGGGAGATCGTCTCGCTGTTCCCGCCGTCTCCGCCGTTTTCGTGTTCTTCGTCGCTCCCGCTGCCGCCACCCCTACTGCTTTCGCCCGGTGTCCGGCACTCCATGCCCGCGTTCTTCCAGACGGTCTCCACCAGGTCCAGCGGATCGGTCGATTCGCACGCGGCCGTCTTGGCCAGGCACTTCCCGATTCCGTAAAACTCGACGGCCCTGCCCTCCACGCCGAGGGCCGGAAGGTCGCACTCAAAGGCGGCGGTGTCGAGGGCCTGCAGCCAGATGGAAGAGTCTCCCTCGATCCGGCCGCAGGCCTTCTCGTAGGCCTCGAAGGCCGGGTCGGGAAAGCCAAAAGTCCAGGTGTCTCCGTCCGTGTTTGATTCCAGCGAGGCCTCGTATTCGTCGATGACATCGTCCAGGGAGACGAGGTTGGCGGTCGCTCTGGCGCAGAGATGCGCATTGTCGTTGTCGTTGTCGTCGTTGGCGCAGCGAACGGTCCCCCACGCTCGGAGGAAGACCGTTGCGACAAGAAGACAGGATCTTTTTGGCATTTGCACCATGGTGTGATGTAGAACCAAATTGAAACGAATCGAATCTAATCCAATCGAAACGAAATGAAAGGGATGTGTCGTGTATCCTATTGGATTGGTAGTGTCGTTTGTCACGTCTTTTGATGCACCGATGTGCTATGCGGTGTGGAATAATATATAAAATAACCCAGAGAATTACGATCTGATTCCTGTTTGATTTCGACGGAAGAGACCGGAACACGGAAAAAGCACGTCCCTCTCTCACGGGTTCTAGTAGAGATCAACGTTACTACACTAATTCTCCCCTCGAGCTTTTTTAAAAAAACAAATGCAATACTTAATGTTACCGAACCTTGGGTTTCCGTTTCTATATTGTTTGTGCCCTACTGTACAGTAAATACAATACAAACGATACAGTGCCGTACGAGGTACGACTACGTGGTATTTTTGAATTGGAAGGAGGTGATGTTGGGTTGTGATGGGTTGTGGTATGTCGGCTGTATTTTACCGCAACGGCTTGTTTGGTTCATCCACTATCCACTTGTGATTCAAGCGGCGCCACTACGGAGATATTACGAAGGTTAACGTACGTACCATACGTACTCCGCGTTACTAGTAGACAGTACCGTTGCTACGGTAGTACGGTACATACGTACTTATTCAGATAGCCTAGCCGGTTTGCCGTACGGTACTACCCACTATTGGTATCCTTCATACTTTAAGCCCATACTAGGAACGTACTCATTTGTGATATTAACATACCTTTTGAATTTAGATTAGATACTAGATACAATACTGTATTTCGTACCGGTATTTGAAATACTCTATGAAATACCGCTTACTCACTGTCTACTCATGATTTACTTGATTTGTGTGTTACTGGCTCGCAATCGCAAAAAAGAATTTCTACTAAGATATTTTCATTTTCATATTCCTACTTGTTTCGACTTTCCTCTCGTCTCCTCTCGGTCTCAGTTTTCGGAGAAAGAATTAAGACGAACACCCGTAATCATCAACCGGTCAGGCACCGCGTCCCATGGATGCAGGGTGATGAATTTCTTGCATTCCAGATCGCTTTCAATTAAAGGACAGAGATGAGCCGTCACCAACAGCAACAGCAACTCAAAGAAATCTGGGAACAGCTCCAAGACTTTACGCGCGAAAACCAATCGGAAATTGCGGATTTGGAACACCGGCTCGAACGCGCCAAACAAAAGAGAGAGTCCCTCCTGGCTCGGGTGGAGGCGGCGAAGGCTAACTACGAAGCTGCCACTTCCACTTCCGCGTCGGCCAGTGACAAGCACGTAGTGGACCTGCTGGACGACGACGACGACGACGACGACGGCAGAGAATCGACCCCGAATTCCTATGCACGAAGCCCGGTAACGAGCAACGAAAAAGGATCCAAGGACAGGAGTGCTCCGCGATGGGAAAGTCCCGGCGCCCGGCGCCAAGCAAGAAGGCGTGCTTCGTCTTGCGAAGAAAATCGCAGGCTGAAACCACCGCCATTGGGGCACCGCGAAGTCCTTGACGTGTTCGGCTGTTGCAGCAGCGACGACGAGGATCGGACACAAACGAGGAATGCCCCGAAAAACGGTGCAGAAAAGCGCACGACCCCGGACCATGTCGGTGCGCGAGGGGACCGAGCGAGCAACGCACCAGCAACGCACGGAAACCAACGACCGAGAGCGCCGCCGTCGAATACCGGTGCGGGCGATGAACGAAAAACTGCGGCCGGGCCACAATCCGACGCCCGCACTACGGGGTTGGGAACAACCCGATCCCAGCCCGCGCCCGCTTGGAGCACGGGAAGCAACGGCAGCCCAAACGAACGACCCGTGCTTTCGCAGCAGACGCCCTCGGGCACCAATGGTGGAGAAACGCCACGGGCTGCCGAAAGCGGGGCCCGGTCCTTGCCGAAACGCACCAGGAAAAGGAAATCTGCGGACACGGTCCGCATCCTCTACCGGCCCCGACCGGAAGACGTACCGCCCGAGCGGTGGCTGAACTCGTCCATCGGACGGACCCGGGAAGAACTGAATTCCATCCGTGACATGGTCCAGTACATGGGCTCCTGCAAGTTTGGTCAGTCCTCGGTCTGCAGCAAGTTCGGCAGGGTCCACGCCATCGTCATGAGCGACGAGTGGAACGACCTGGCCCAGCGGAACGACGTGCTGCAGAACTGGTACGTCGGCCTCGGGCCGGGGCGGAAGCGGCTCGCCAGGCTCGTGGGGGCCTGCGAGTCGACCATTCCCATCTTCCAGGCACCCAAGAAGGAGCACAGGACCCCGGAGATCTTTTATGTCGGGCACTACAAGGTGCTCGGCCTGCAGGAACTGGATCCCACCGTCACGATCAAGGGGATCGAGCGCGACATCAAGCTGAGCTTTGCCTTTGATCGGTTCGACGGGCGATTGGACGCCATAATCCAGGGCGGACCCGTGCGGAGCGGTTCGACTCCCGGGCAGTGGCAGCGTTGAGAGCGGTCAAGTCCTTGCGAAAGGGCACGAATGGGTGCAAACGCCATAAATGGATACAATTAGTATTCTTGCAAACTATAAGTAGTTACAAACCTTTTCCGTGGAGTATGAACTAACGATACATTGCGTGGTGTGTTTGAATAAGAAGCAGGTGATATTGTTGTAGGAACCGGCTCATCGTAAAGAGTGAGTCTATTCACTCTGGTGACAAACGAGCAAGATCTTTGTCTGCAACAAGGCCACCCGCAGAAGCCCGAGGAAGTGCTACGGGTTTGGAACAAAACCGGCACCGGGCCTCCTCTACGAGCGGTACCGGTAGCAACGGCAGCCAAAAACGAATTTCCATTACCATGGCAAAACGAATTTCCATTACCATGGCAACAGACACCTACGGCTTCTGCTAGCACCTTTGGAGAAGATACTGCAATTGGTGAAACGTCGCAGACTCAAAGCGATAACCGATCCTTGTCAAAACGGAACGTCAAAAAAAGAAAATCCACTGGCCCATCCCGCATCTTCTACCGGCCTCGCCCGGAAGACGTACCGCTCGAGCGGTGGCTGAACTCTTCCATTGGTCGGACCCGGGACGAACTCAACAAAATCAACGAAATGGCCCAGCATGTCCCCTGTAAGTTTGGTCAGTCCTCCGTCTGCAGCAAGTATGGCACGGTCTATGCCATCGTACTGAACGATGAATGGAATGACCTGCCCAAACGGAATGATATGCTACAGGATTGGTTCGTCGGGGTTGGCACAAGGCGGAAGCAGCTTGCCAGGATGGTAGGAGCCTGCACAAAGCCTATTCCTATCTTTCATGCTCATAAGAAAGAGCACAAAACACAAGAGATCTTTTATGTCGGGCACTACAGAGTACAAAGCATACAAGAATTCAACCACACTGTTGTGGTCAAAGGAACGGAGCGCGACATCAAGCTAACCTTTGCCTTTGATCGTTTCGACAGGCGTCTGGATGCCGTTATTCAGAGAGGTCCCGGGAGGAGCGGTCCCTCGAACCTTGCGGAAGAGGATGAATGGGTATAAAAACTTTGATGAATGGATACAATTAGTATTCTTACGACCTACTAATAGTGAATGCGTTGTTGATTGGCGGTTGCAACCGTCGATATCTTTGCACCGCACTGAATGTCAAAAAAAAAACAGATCACAGTTCCGTGGTCTTCCACCTAGCGCCGCCGCAACAGAGGGCTGTCTTCAATGGATCCATACTTTACTTGGTCGTCTTCGTAATCAACGTCGTCGAAATCGAACGCCTCGTCGAGGGCCGTGATCGACAGGGTCTTCTTCAGCCCGACGTTGTTGGACTGCGTGATCCGCCTTCCGATGGCCGTCTTCTGGAAGTAGTGGTTGAATCCCTTGTTGAAGCGCATGCCGAGAATGAACCCAAGTGCGGAACCGACGAGGATTCCAAACGTGATGATTCCGGCCAGCTCCCACCAAGTGGGTCCGCTCACGTTCGTGACGGTGCCAAAATATGCCACGTCCCAATCCACAAAGTCGTCGTCGGTCACGGTGCGGTTCTCCTCCAGCAGCATGGCGACTCCACCGAAATCACAGGTTACTCCCGACAACTTGTTTTTGTCAAAGAACTCCATGATCATGTCGTTGGCGGCATCGCTCAGTTCCTTTCCGGTCATGTCCACCACCGATTTTTCCAGGTCAGTCTCCGTTCCGTTCTTCTGCTCCAGAATGTACTTCACCGCCTTGAGCAGGCTGTTGTCGGGCATGTCGCGCTTGACCTGGCAGGTGTAGGCCATCTCGTCCTCGCTCCGGCACGCGTTCTGGATTTTCGGGTCGTTGAAGCTCCCCTGCGGTATCCAGCCCTTCTCGAGGGCCAGCAGGTACGACCAGTGCGGCTCGTCGACGTCGGTGCGAAAGTTCCAGAAGTAGAACCCGTGCCCGACGCCGGAGTAGGCGCTGATCTTTTTGTAGGCCAGGAGCGTCATGACGCTGTCGGTGTCATCGTAGTGGGACGGAGCCTTGGGTGGGGCCTCCACCCAGTCGCGGCCCGTCAGCGGGTTCTTTTCCTTGATCCAGTCGCGGCCGACCGGGCACATCCCGAAGCTCGGGCCGCTCATACCGGTTCCGTAGGGCCCCTGCATCGGCATGGTGGGATCGATCGGGGTCCCCGGCTGGTAGCCCTCCCCCATGTAGGGAGGCGAGCACGGGATGTACTTGCAGGGGGACCGCGGGAATCCCGGGAGGTTGTCGTTGAACCCGTTCAGCCACATGGCGCAGTTGCTATGAAAAAACAGCAGTGCGGAATGTGTGAGCAATCGAATCGAATCGAATCGAATCGAATCAATCCAATGGATCATGTGCAGGGACCAACCATGATTGCAACCAACCATCGAACGAGCACAACATGAAATAACCCCCTCTTTGATTGGGATCTGTAGGAACATTTGCAACAGCGAAAACTTACTCGGTGGCCAAACTCCATTCCCCGACAATGACCGGGCCAAATTCGCGCTCTAGATTGAGGATGGCCTGTTTGTTGTTGCATGCGTCCTTGAAGAAGCCGATGCGGGAGTCGGGATCTTTCCAGGCCTGGTAGATGTGCGTGTCCAGCGCTCGCTCGGGACATCTGTAGCACGGAGAACGAATCGAAAAAAATAAGAAAGGAGCCTCGATGCCGTTAGAACGCGATGAAAAATCGCCCGGTACACTATCCTCCATGTGTGTTTCTTTGATACTACGGAACACTTACCCGGCCATGAAGCCGCCCCAAACACTCGCATCCAATCGGAAGGAGTCGTGCATTACGTATTTCCAATACGGTGCGTTTTCTGCGAATCATGGAACATCGATGGTTAGAAAAAGGGAAAATGAAAAAGTGGAATTTTTGTGTAGGTAATGGAATCGGTCCGTCACTTACTTTTGACGATCAGGTATCCTTCCCAATAGAACCTCTGTATAAGGAATAGACAAAGATGACGCGGAGACAATTATTGAGTATAACGAATACGTTCCATACCATGATCTTTCCTCGCTTCCGGCTTGAACTCGTAGACGACCATTGTGCTTTATACTCACCTTAAGGACCTCGATAGGTGTGTACTGCCACGGTTCGTTTACGGGCTTGGGATTTTGTAAAAATTTGTCGTTGTAGAAATTGCGCAAAGGGTGAGAGAAAGCAAAAAAAGATTTTCCCAGTGCCGAAAAATGGTTGCATCCGAACACCTACCTCGATGCCCTGGACGGTCGGGTGCGTCTTGTACCGATCCACAATCCTCTCGATCACCTCAAGGGAATGCCGAATGTTGTCGTAGTTGATCGAGGAATACGACGCCGTCTCCTGGTCGAAGGTTCCGATCCATCTCGCGTCGCGAATCGGCCAGTGCTCAAAGGTGTGGTCCTGGGTGTACTCGCGGTTCAAGGCCGTCGTCCACTGAAAACCCATGGACTGGCCGGAGTTGTCGAAACCGTTCTGGCTGTCCTTCATGGTGTGGATATCGATCAGCACGGACAATCCGTAGGAATACGCCCTGTGTGACGACGACAACGACAATTCCAAGAAAAACATTCGTTAAAAATCCAGAAACCAACAAAAATCCTTGCACCGTCCTTCCTTCCGACACATTTTTGTTCGACTCACCAGTCCAGGAGAGTGTCCACGTAGTCCAGTGCCCCATCGAAGCACCCGTCTACGTAGGGCCCGTACGGCTTGTACATGTAGTCCCCGACCGGGAGGCGGAGCGAATTGATGCCGGAGTTCGCCAGCTTCTCGATGATCTCTTCCGTCACCCAGGTTTCCCAGTGCCGGCGCAGCTGGCGGTTGGCTTCTTTGGGCCCCAGGACCTGGCAGAAGGTGTAGGTGTCCATTCCGATCTCGCTCTCATTGGTCCGGCCCAGGAACTGGTAAAACAGCGACGGGGTGATCCACGGCTCCAGGACCATCCAGCCGCCGAGGTTGACCCCCCGCACCTGTGTGTTGAAGGGGGTCGAGTGCTTGTCCTCCACGCAGGTCATGGTCTCGTTCATGGCGATGAAGTGGGGGTACTGCGTCCCTCCCTCGGGTACCTTCGAAGATTCCGTCGCGCTTGACCATCCGATCGATGCGGCCAGTGCCGTCGCAAACAGGAGCAGTTGTCCGGTGGCCATCCTCATTGTGGTGGTTTTTCCTCGGGCATGTACAGAATGTAGAGTATTGTTCGTTACTGCGTAAGTGAGAATTTGATGCTGTCTGATCTGGTGTTTATGGTGAATGGTTCGCGATCTTTAGTTGGCAGATACCGGTAGATTGATAGAGACACGGGATGGAAAGGAAGGCTTGTTTGTGCAACTACGGCATCCTGCGTCTTTTTTATAAACCAAAACCAATCGATTGATCGGTGTCAACGTCACTTTTCAGCATACCGGAGGAAAAGCCAAACCGCTAGTACCAATTTCACGTAGGATAAGTAAACGGAATTATTGGCGCGATGCGCAAATAATAATACAACTACGAAGTTCTACTGGTACCCAAGCAATAAATAGCGTTCTAGAACCAGTACTTGTACTATCGTACTACTCGTACGTACTGTTAATCATAGCCATAATGAATCACCCATCACCCACCCATCACCGCACATTACTCACGACTTCCGCGATTCGTGAACCTCAAAGAGCGAAGAAGAACGGTGAAGAAGAATCAAGAATTCAAGTTTTTATCAAAATTCAGATAATTGCTTCACGAAAAATGGTGAACGTCACAGTAGATTATGAATGAATCTTCCTACGATATGTCAGTACGGAAACCTGCGGCGGGAGTCGAATCTCAAATTCCTCCCAAAAAAGAAACTGTTTCAGTCCAAAGCACCACAAGCTCGTAGAAGTACTAGAGTAGTATTTGTCCTATGCAAAACTAGTATCCCTGGCAGAAGTGGTCCAACAAATAAGTAGAAATGGATTCCAAGGTGAGTTTCCAATAGGATTTGCAAGCGGTGCCTCCTCTAGGCAATGCCAGCTGCACCATCCCATCTGCACCATCCCATCATATGTAAACAAGAAGAAGTACTGCTGTGATTTCGAAACTGCAATTTGCCCGTATGTTTTGCAGCCACAACAAAGTTAGCTCAAACAGCTTGATCCTTCACATAATTTACTGAAGTTGGCCTTGAATCCACTTTTCTTCTTCTGCTCTTGTACTTGGTTTTGTCTCTTTCACTGCCTCTCTGCCTACTGATTTCTTCACTTTTGCATTTGCTTGTTGTCTGGACAAAATGATTTTTCTTTATACCAGATCCAATCTTATCTCATTGCATTGTTTTTCAAAAATGTTTTCCAAGCAATGTTGCATGTCAAATCCTTTCTCTGTTGGCTTCAGATCTTGTTATTGCTTTTGTGGATAACTTGAGGGTTTTGCAACACAAGGTGTTTGTTTTGTTCCTCCTTGGGCTCTGGCTTTTGCAGTAGCATCTTCCATCACTTCAGCCCCTGGTCACATGATGGACTCTGAAATAGTACTGATTAATATTGAGTTAAGAGTTCATTCAGTATTTTACACAGCCAGTCAATGAAAGAGGCACCAAAAATGTTGTTGTTGTCTACTCCTATGCTCAGCAGTCTTTTAATTCACCAAAATAAATAGTACAAAAATGGAATGGGGACTCAAATGTTGTCCTTGTGTTTAGTCAGTCTATTGACTCACCGAAATAAATACTAGTTGGGGGCTCAGGGCTCGAATGATATTTCTTGTGGCAAGGCCTTTAATTCACCAACATAAATAAAAAATACAGAGACTCACAGTTCCTGCACTCCCTCCTACAATCAGCTCATTCTTTTGGATATCTGTGATGTGGATGTCCCAGTGCTGGATGTCGTTGATATGGATTGAAGGTTCTAAGTTTGTATCAGATAATTCATTTATTCTTGTTTCTTCTCCTGTTCATTGACATTCAGATGATATAGATTGGGGGTTTGGTTGTTGTTAGATGTTGCCAAACAACAATATTATAGCTTCTGGTCTGTAAAAAGTTCTGGAAGAACTAATGTATGGAGATAAGGCTGGGATAATCTGCTTTAAACTGAGTATATAGCATATGGTCCACTCATTGTTCTTCAAAGGAAAGGTCTGGGTTGGGTTCTTGGGACTTGGACTTGGGACTGGGACTGTTGTTGCTGTCTTGCACCAATTTTGGAAATAGCAACATTGTTCATCTGGAACTGGTACATGGAGGAAAGGCTGGGGGGAATATTTCTAGGTGTTCTTCTTCAAAGGAAAGGTCACAGTTGGATACTTTGGGGCTTGGGGTGTTGTTGATGTTTTATACAACAACAATAGTAGATCCTCATTCACACCACCAAGTCAATAATCCATTTGCTCAATAAAAAAAGATAAACCACCATTGTTCACTCAAAGAGGATAATCCACTCTTTACATCAAGTGAATAATAAATTTAGAACTTATACCAAGGGGATAATCCATTGTTATGAAGTGGATTTTTAATTTACTATATTTCATTTACTACACCAAATAGATAGTAATCCAACTAAACCAGTAGATGATAACTTAAACCAAGAAGTGAATAGTACTAGTATTCTTAAAAAATTCTTAATATTATTTTGAACTCATGAACTAGAAGAGGCACTATATGTTCAGAACCATAACTTCTCCTGACTGGGGAGAAGAATGCTCCTAGCTGCTCAAAGGGACAGCACCTCCCTCCAAGGAGGGGTTGTGGTACATTCCATTTATACTAGATGGATACTACTAATTCATTTTATTTCTGTTTACAACACAACAGGTGGATGATCCACTAGGACCAATGGATCATTTATATAATTTACAGAAAGTTGATAAGGATCCATTTACCCAAAGAGGATTATCCATTTACACCAAGTGAATAATCCATTTACATTAGGCGCAATCAGATAATTCTTTTACTATACCAGCATTCCATTCACATCAAGTGGATAATTCACTAACACCAACAGGTTATTTTATACCAAATGGATAATCCTTTTAGAGCTAATTAAAGCACTAACACAAAGTTGATTATTTATACCAAACGGAGAATCCCCTTTAACCTAGTGGATGATCCATCTACAGAACATTGCCAATTCATTTACACCAAGTGGAACACTTGCACCATGTTGATTTCCTCGCAGTGGATCATTTCACCCTTTGAATCATTTGCACCAAGTGAGCTTACACGAGGCAGAAGGTTCGTCAAACAGTTCTTGTGTTGTGCTTTCTGCACAACAACAATGCAATGACTAAAATAGTGCTAGTACTTGTAGGCTCTAAAGTAGCAGGTATCTTTCGATGACAGAGTTCAAAGTTACAGGAGTAGAATTGAACTCGAAGTGACACATTGTAGACCGAATGATATATTGATTTTACTCTACGGATGCAATCATTGAAGCATTTAGATCCTAATATTTGCTCCTCTTTGCTACCGCTATATTTTTTTCAGCGGTTCGAGCGACCGGCAACAGTATCTAGCAAAGAGGGGTTTATGATGCCTTGCAAAACAGAAGAAGAAACTCATACGGAGTACCATGCAACGATTGATCTCTAATTTCTAAGCACCGGCGGATCGTCGGTGTCCGTGCATCGTTGCTAGGATCGCATCCATTGTCCTATTCACGCTGCGGGCATCCGCCGCCAGGAGTGTGAGGAGTTGTGGTGCACCTTGCAAAGCACCACCGGCACCGACGGACGGTCGCCATCATCCGGCGGTTCGAAAAGCATTGTGGGATCGGAAGAGAAACGGTTTTGCCTCCCGGACCCAAATGCCCGCGTCCTCCGGGGCACCATTTGTTTGTTTCGCAGCCGATGGATGCCACCGCGTTGGCTCGTTCCAACTAAGTCCGGTCCCCCACCACTCTTCGATCCGGGGACGCCATCCAACGAGAGCTACAGCGTGTTTGCAGACACACCGACCGACCGACCGACCGACCGACCCGCTCGTTCCACGATGGGTTCCGAGCCGCTCCGGATCCATCCGTTTCCTTCCCCTTTCGCAAGGTCCTTTCCGCGGTTCTCACGCATTGGCGTCCAGCTCAAAGCCCTCCTTGTCGAGGATCCTCGGGGTCATGGTCTCCGCATCGACGTCGACGGTAGCTCCCAGGACCTTGAGAAAGGCGTTGTGGTGGACGTACAGCTTGGGGAGGCCGTCTCCGGCCGCCTCGGCCGGGGGCTTGGGAACCATCTCCAGGGTGGACTCCCCGGTGTCCGGGTCCCTGGTTTCCACCTCGACCACCTCCAGGGAGACGCCCTCGTCGTTCTCGTGCAGCTCGTCCTCCGAGGCGACGAACCGAAAGGAAAAGACCATCCGGGGCTGCCCGCTCGAGGACTGCTGGTAGTCCAGCAGGATCCCGGCCCTGGGCGGTTTCTGGTGGGCCAGGAGCCTCCGGAAGAGCGTCCGGGCGGCCTCGGTCAGCCTTACGGCGGCGGTGCGGGGGACAAACTTTTTTCTCCCTTTGCGCGGCCTCCGCTGGTTTTCCCCTTTGGCAGCAGCAGCGGGAGGGGTTGCGGTGTTTGAAGCATGGTCCGGCGCGGCGCTGCCAGCGGCCGATCGCGCCGCCCGAGACCGCGAATGCCAGCGTCGTCGATCTCCGCCGCGAACGGATTGCGAGAACGAGAACGTGAACGGCGGTGCCGAGGATCCCCCGCCGTCTTCCTCGCCGAGAGCGGGTGAAAGGGAAGCACCGAAAGGGCGGCAGCCACTGGAACGCAGGGTGGAAAAACGATGGTTGCCGCAAACACCGGACGTTGTTGTTCGGGTGGTATGGTGGGTCACACCGCTGGCAAAGGGAAAGCAGGGACCTTCTTTCCTCACCAGGAAGGCACGGGCGGGGTGGTAGCAACGGCGGTGCATCTTGTGTCGTGTCGTGTTGTGTCGTGTTGTGTTGTGTTGTGGTTTGCTCTGCTCTGCTCTATCTGTTTCTTCGTTTGCTGGTTGGAGTCAAGTATTGTACTGTGTGTTTTGTGTTTGTCAAGTGAGATAATGTTGTTTTGGGAGTGTCTGTAATACCTTGGGGAGGGTGTTTGTTGCACAGAGGGCTTCGAATTGAATGCGTTGCCGATCGATACTTTACGTACGGTACTCGTACGTACGGTAGGTTCCTTCGTGCGTTTATTTTGTGTGGAGAAGAATACTGTATGTAGAACATACAGATGCGGTACCACGGTACTTGTACTGTATGGTAGGTGGAATGCGTCGTGAGTCGTGATAATTGTTTCGTGTTTGGGGTTTAGGGGTGTACCTCCTGGGTAGACTTTTACCCCATTTAGGATTTACGACGATTCGACCATCTGTTTCGGGGCAGAACTCCTTTGTTCACAACCACTGCGCTGCGGGGGAGTCAAAATTGGATTGGACTGCACAGTGCAAGCCTTCGGCGAGCCAAGCTGTCAAAACCAAAACTTCTTCCCTCTGGTCGCAGGCATCAAATCAACGCATCAAAATCGAAAGGACACAAGATTTTCAAAGCACCGGTATTTTTAAGTACAAGTACTTATTGTTCACAAAAAGAACGAAGTTTCCTACCGTTTCTTTCGAAAACAACTACCCACACAGAGAAATCTAATCTCGCTGCAGCTACACAAAAGAAACGAGCCAGGCTTCATCGGTTTCTTTCAGTCGTCTACACCAGAACCAACCACAAGATGAAATTGTCCCTGTTCTTCTTCCTCTCGAATCTTCTAATTGCCGATGCCTTTGTGGTTCCCCGGCACCACGAGGCAAACCCGCGGCAATCTCCGGCAGGGATTCTCCGGCCCCGGTCGCTGGCCCGAGCCGCGAGAAAGAAGGCGGCCTCTCGGGAAGAGGAGGAAGGCAGCGGCACCACCGGTGCCGAGGACGCCTCCAGGAAGGCCGCCCTCCGGGGCGTCCTGGGCCAGATCGAGCGGACCTACGGCCGGGGATCCGTGGTCCGCCTGGGGGACGCCTCCCACATGGCGGTCGAGGCGACGCCGACCGGCTCGCTGACCCTGGACGTGGCGCTCGGCGGGGGGGGATACCCGAAGGGGCGGGTGGTGGAGATCTACGGCCCCGAGTCCTCCGGGAAGACGACCCTGGCCCTCCACGCGATCGCCGAGTGCCAGAAGAGGGGCGGGACGGCAGCCTTTGTGGACGCCGAGCACGCCCTCGATCCCGTCTACGGTGCGTTGCGATTGCGATTGCGATTGTGTTGCGTTGCGTGTTGGCATCCATTCGTGGGGTTTGTGTTGCGTTGTGTTGCATCGGGACTGCCTTTTGCAGCGTTTCGCGTCTTGCGTGGGATTGTATGAGTGACACTCTATAAACATTTCTTTCTCGACTAGGATTCACAAACACAATTCTGCTTTCGTTCTGCGCAACGATGTTCGCATTCCAACCAACCGACCAACCCATTGCCGTGTGCCCCGTGTTGTTGTTTTTTTTCCTTCTCTCTCTCTCTCTCTCTCTCTCTTCCCACAGCCAATTCCCTGGGCATCGACGTCGACGACCTGCTGGTGAGCCAGCCCGACTGCGGGGAAATGGCCCTCGACATTGTCGACAAGCTGGTGCGGTCGGCGGCCGTCGACGTCATCGTGGTGGACAGCGTCGCCGCCCTGGTCCCGCGGGCCGAGCTCGAGGGGGACATGTCCGACTCGCAGATCGGCCTGCAGGCCCGGCTCATGTCCAAGGCGATGCGGAAGATCACCGGGTCGCTCGCCCTCAGCAAGTGCACGGTGATTTTTCTGAACCAGCTGCGCTCCAAGGTCGGGGTCATCTACGGGTCCCCCGAGGTGACTTCGGGGGGGAACGCTCTCAAGTTCTACTCGTCCGTCCGCCTCGACACCCGCCGGAAGGAGGTCCTCCCCGAGAACGCCGGGATCCGCGTCAAGGTCAAGGTCGTCAAGAACAAGGTGGCGGCGCCCTTCCAGATCGTCATGCTCGACATACTCTTCGGGACCGGGATCGATTCGGAGGGGTGCGTCCTCGACGCGGCCCTCGACCTGGGGATCGTGGAGCGGAGGGGGAGCTGGTTTTCCTACCGGGGGGAGAACCTGGCCCAGGGCCGGCACAACGCGCTGGAATGCCTCAAGGCCAACGCCGAGCTGTATTCCTCCATGGAGGGGAACGTCCGCACGTCCCTGGCCGGCCTCGGAAGCGAGGATCCGGAGACCGAAACCGGTGCTTCCGACGACCTTGTGCCCGGTGGGGCTTCCGGTGTGCCCCCGGTAGAGATTTCGGCGGAGGGATTCGAGTAAGCGGGCGCAACGAATCTCATCGACGTCCGCGCACGGATTTCCGATTCCTCGAGGGACCGAACGGAGCGACGGCACCACCGTGGTGCGGTGTGTAGAGTCGGGAAAGATATCGAAAACGAAAATTGAATGGAATTGAATCGAACCAAACCAAACCAAACCAAACCATACCAAAGAACCAAACCAAATCGTTCGCTGTATTCGCAAAAGAAGAATTCCCGGACGGCATTGGCATTGCGCGATTGGAACGGACTTGTTCTCTTTGTTTCGGTTGAAACGTCGGTAGAAAAGAGAACGCTGATGAAGTGAGTCGGGTACCGAATCCGATTCTACACAAACAGAGCGATGCAGGTATTGTGTGCAATTCACCTCGAATCACTTCCGGAGAGATCGGCTAGTCGCAGCTACTCATTACAGTACAATCTAATTCCATGACACTGTTATAATTCTTGGGCTGAAAATAAGACACAACAAATAGGTATTGACTACGCGTCGTTCGTGATTTATTTTTCCTAGTTTTGTTTTGTTTCGTTTCGTTTCCATTCGTTTTATCTCGAGCCGAGCATAATTCAATCGTTATGCTTCGATTCCATTCGATTGCGGTTTGTCGTTTCTGCCTCCCGCGGCTGCTCTGTTGCTGTTGCTGTTGCTGTTGCTCTGTTGCCCGCCTTGGTTACCGGATCCCTCCCGCCGTCCCCAGCTGCCTCTGGTTGAAGCTGGCCACCCTCGCCCCGATGGCCTTTTCCAGGTGCCCCGAGGGAAGGAAGGATGGGTGGTCCGCACACGAAGGGTGGCCGGAAAAAGACAAACCGCAAAAGGGGTTCATCACCTCCCTCTGGTACAGCCCGTAGAGGTCGGCCAGGAGCCTCCCCGAAGCACGGGCAATCTCGGGAGCGGTGGCGCCGCCCCCGCCGTCCTCGACCACCAGGAGCAAGCGGATGTTCGTGCTGGTGGAATAGCCGTAGACCAGGGATTCCCCCCACGGCAGCAGCAGGCCCAGAAAGTCGCTGTCGCTCTCGGTCCCATTGCTGTTGCTGTTGCTGTTGCTGTTGCTGTTGCTGTTGTTGTTTGCCGCCGTTGCCGGGCTTCCGGTGCCCCTGGCCTGAAGCGTGTCCCGGACGGGTTTTTTCTTGCCCGTCTCGGGCTCGAAAGCCACCTGCTCCAGCCGGTCGAGGGCCGCGTGGAGGGCGAACCAGACCCTGCCGGAGGCACCACTGTTACCACCGCCGGTGTGGACAGCAACGGTTGGCTCCGGCGCGGTGGCTTCCAGCCCGAAGAGGTCCGAGGCCTCGCCGCCGCAAGGCTTCCCGCCCGTTGGTTCCTCGCAGGGGAATTCCCGAACGTAGAGGGGGGAGTTGTTCTTGCCGACGATGGCTACACCAATGACGGATGCCATGCTTGCAACAATGCTGCGTTTGCTGGGTCGGTGGTGGTGGTGGTGGTTTCTGGTTGGTTTTGTTGCGATGTGTTGTGTTGCGTTGCGTTGCGTTGCGTTGTGTTGCGTTGCGTTGCGTTGCGTTGTGGTTTGTTTTGTTTTGGTTTGTTTTGGTTTGTTGTGTTTTGTTGTGTTTTGTTTTGTTGTGTTTTGTTGTGTTTTGTTGTGTTGCGTTGGAGCCTCGTCGCTTTCGTGGCCTCGGGGGTTGGTTCGTTCGTTCGCTCGTTCGTTTGTTCAATCGATCGAACCGACGGTGCAACAGAAATACTGTGGTGGTTGCTGTAGTGTCTGTTCAATTGTTTAGCAATCCCAATATTGTGATTATTTTTGAAAGTCTCGTACGGTTCTCGGAAGTGCTGGTACGGTACTCGTACTCGTACTCATACGGAACAGTACAAACGCGCACGAGACGCATTGTGTTGCCGCGGGGCTAACACCAAGGATGCAACGGCCAACAAGCACGGGTGACTGTGTTCTACGCGGAACAGAATCGTTACTATTTGCTTGCTTGCCTACTAATTGCTTGCCTACTAATTGCTTGCTTACTATTTGCTTGCTTACTCATTGCCATGTTTTGAATATGTATGGAATACGAATGGACATGGAACAGAATCTGAACAGAATATCTCCGTTGATCACCGAAGACCGTGCGAAGGGGACAGAGTGGGGATGGTTTTCTTTAGATCGCGGCCATGGCCAGGGCTACAGCTGTGGCAAGTCCTGCTACGAGGTCCGCAATTGTCCACACCTTGGGGTCTGCTCCGGGAGCAGCAAGATCCTGCAACCGGCTGAGATCGTCCACCTCGTTCTGGATTCCGATAGTGATCGAAAACCCAAATTCTTCCGACTCGGTTTCTGCGTTGCTCTCTTGAAGACGACGTTTATAAGTAGTTTCATACACGAATGGATGATAATTGAAACCTCCCAGAAAAAAACCGCTATAGATCTCAATATCGCTGCATTCCCCGCTGTTTCTATTCTTGGTAAATTGATCTGTCTGCTCAATCCGACGAGGAAGCTCGGGGTAGTGAAAGACATCTACCGACCCTCCAGATACATAATTTGGATTTGAACACACACAGTCAATAACGCCTTCGTCAATATTCAAGCACTGCAATCCATAATACCAATAAGATTCCAATTCACAAAGGTCGTAACATTCCTTAAACGCGACTCCAATGGGTAGAGTGTGAATGTAATGGACTTCTACATCGTTGTCCAGCGAGTAAAGGGCATTAGCTTCCGCCCACAGTCTCGCCTCTACCGTGCCTTCACATTGGATTGTACCGGCATCGGCACCGACATATCCTGATACTACAGTACTAGTGACTACCGATCCAGTTACTCCTCCTGAAACCTTCTGTCTTTCCACCCCTATCCCCTGGATCCACCCTTCAGACACATCCCCAGACCATTTGACATCCGTCAATCCATCGGTTGCCATTCCGTCTTCAATGATGGTTTTTTCGTACTGGCCTTCAACCTTGCAAACCATCTTCTTAATATTATCGACATAGTATGTATGGTCTACTTCCATAATGTCAACACAAATCCTAAATTTTTGTCCAACCTTGTAATGAGTTGCAGACGGTGTACCCAGTCCTGTGATACCTTGCACGCCAGGGACGCCACACAGGAATGCCTGAACATCCACCTTGTCAGATACTTGTATGTCTGTTAACGACGTGACGACATTGTCGGAATCGTCCGCGAGTTGACCGGAGGCGGAAAAGGAGCCAACATATTCTCCGTTGTGGGCGTTTATAGTCATCGGCAAATCGATGTGTGACACAACCTCGTTTGTAACGGGATATTCGATTCCAAATCGAATACAGAGTTTGATGTCATCATCGTTGTTGTCTTCCCATTCCTGTAGAGGGAGTTCTATGTCCACGCGAGCTGACGGAAAAAGAGACTGAGCTAGCTCGAAAAATAGTGAAGCAGCAACAGAAACAAACCATTCACGAACCGAACCACTTACTTATTTCATGATATGCATTCTTAGGCATTTCAGTATCGTAAGCAATCTGCGGAATCGGAGTCTCCGAATCGTTACTTGTTACACAACGATTTTCATCCGTGTAGGAATAAAATCGCGCTACTAAACTGCAACCGGTACACGGATCAGAAAAATGCTCGAACCGTAAAGAGAAGGTAATAGAGTTGTCGTCCTTCACGACATCTTCGAATAAATCTTGCCGAAACATGATACGAAAATTCGAAAGAGTAGGTGCCGGAGTAGGTCTAGGTGTGGGGTCAGCAGGTTCAGGTTTCTCTGAAGGTGGGGCAACAGGTTTCTCTGTAGGTGGGGCAACAGGTGCACCTACAATTGCAGCTGCCGGAGTAGGTCTAGGTGTGGGGTCAGCAGGTTCAGGTTTCTCTGAAGGTGGGGCAACAGGTTTCTCTGTAGGTGGGGCAACAGGTGCACCTACAGTTGCAGCTGCAGGGTTCCCCATGCTGTTTGTTGTTGCCGAGAATAAAACGAAGAGGAATAATAAAAGGCGCATGGTTTTGAAAGATATCGAATATGCCCTACGGTTCGATGGATACCTATGATTAACAATAACGAAAGAAAAACAATGAATACAGTAAGAAGTCAAAAAAAACAACGTTGTTGATGAAAACAAGCAAAGCGAAAAAAAAAGTGCTTTACGAGTACCCGTACTGTAGGTAGCGTACACAGGCACGTTCGGAATCAACCCTAAATGCAATGCAACTTGTGAGTGCTGCAAAGGGCGTTGGGGCGTTGGTCCCACGGGCGAAACCAATGCGCATAGGAAAATATCCAAGCAGGGAAGTTGATTCATTTTTTCTCTGTCAACGACAGATTTTTGTTTTTGACCAACGGATTTTCAGAAGCATAAATAAAACAGATTGTAATCGCGGAAAGGAAAACATTTATCAGTATCAGTAACATTATTCTTCAGACATCGTTTTTGTCTCTGGCCCGAGCAGCTTAGATAAAACAGATTTCCGTATGTCTACACAATTTTTGCTTCCCATCCAAGAACACTTGCTCGAGACATCGTTTTTGTCTCTGGCCCGTGCAGCTTAGATAAAACAGATTTCCGTATGTCTACACGATTTTTGCTTCCCATCCAGTAACACTTTCTCAACACATTCGTAAAAGGGTTTGGGAAGTGCCAGATTCTATCATAACCGACTATGTGCCCGAGCAATATTACTGCATTACAACCTTATCCAATAGTAAGGTAAGAATATCATTATGAAGTTCTCAGTCTTAGTTTTATCATGTTGTACGGTATTACAATCTTACTGAAAGTGAAGTCAAATTTATATGCCAAAATGGGCCCTGTTTGAAGAGCTAACGCAAGCACGATACACACTTTCACTTAATGCAATCGTCACAACTGTATTCCAATCGCCCAAATATTGACCTTTATTTCAGTAGTATATGTGCTCAAATGACACATATGGTGGACCGGAGGAAGTACAGTACTCCCAAGAATTAGTTACCTTAAAGGTTCTTCTTTGCTCTTCAGTAGGTCGGTGTATCAAGCACCCACCCCACTCGTCCGGACACCTACTACTATATAGAATTCTCGTCCGTACAATCAGCAACTCGTATCATCGTCCTCCGTATCAGCAAGCCCTCTCCTGTGATGGATCCGGACCAATACTGATGCAATCATAGACCTAAGTCGTACAATTGTGTATCCTCCGTATCAGCAGCTCCTCCTTATCAGCCAACGTCCTCCATGTCAGTGAGCCTCCTCCACATCAGCTGCTCATCTGTATCAGCGATCCGTATCAGTGATTTTTATCAGCGGTTCCGTTATCATATCATCGACTCGTATCATATCGGCAACTCGCAACATATCAGCATCTCCTCCATAGTATCGGAAACTCGTAACGTATCAGCGGCTCCTCCGTAACAGCAACTCGTTTCGCATCAGTATTAAGCGTCCTCTGTCAACCAATTGTTTTAGCATTTCCAATATCAGTGAGCATCCTCCGTAGTAATATCCTCAGCGAGTGTTCCCCATATCAGGCAGGGACTCATATCAGGACCATCGGTATCAGCGAGCGTCCTTCGTATCAGAAACTGCTGGTCCATATCAGGGAGCTTCCTCCCTATCAACATCCTCCGTTTCATTAAATCATCCAATCAGCGAGTTTCCTCCGTATCAGCAACTCCTCCATACCATGGAGCCTCCTAAGTATCCGCATCCTCCGTATCAGCGACTCGTATCCCATCGATGTAATCCGACGTAACAGCATCCTCCGTATCAGCAACTCGTACTATCATATCATTGTCCTCTGTATCAGCAACTCAAATAATGTGGGCGTGTAATTAGCTACAGACGGTGAAACAGAAATACGGTAGTGGTTAGTGTCCAATATCCCAATATTGTGAATTTTTGGATTAGTTCGAGGACGAGCAAGGAGCATGACAGACCAGCACAAATCCTACAGGTACCGTGCTACAGTACTTCATAGTAGTATCCAGGGGTCATAATTTAGAGGGGTGCGCATCGCGTCGAAACTCATATTCCATGTTAGGCACCAGTAAGAAAAATCCCCCCCCCAAGGGATTTTTTTTTGGATTTCAATTTTATAGTATTGCATATCACTGCAAAAAGTGAACCTGAAAGACCCCATGCACAGGAACACTTCCAATCACTCTCTGATTTTCGAACTTCACATGCACATCTCTCATATAGTTGAGTGTCAAGTAGTAAGTATATTTTCACTGTTATTGCTCTCTCCAGTTCAAACTTTAAGGTGCTGATACAGGGCTGGTGGTAGTAACAGCCTGGTACTGTATTTGCAGTAGAAATAGTCTGTCCTTTGTCCGGTCAGTCCCACCAGTCTAGTCCTTAGCAAAAATTCGGAACTGTCTGTCCTTCATCCGTTTCTCCAACTGATTTCCCAGTAGTAATTTCTACGAACAATCTAGTCAATATTCAACAGTGAAAAGGTACACTATCATTCCATTTGATACATTAAATATTGGCATAGTATTCAGAATCCTCATGAAAAATTGGGCTGGAGAATGTACTCAAAAATTCTTATGTTAGTATTTTTGATAATGTTGTAACCGTTGAGCAGCTCAACATTTCCATGTCACCACGCGTGCTTGGTTACTGCGCGGATACAAAAAACTAACACTAACAAACACTAGTTATTTTTTGCCTAAATACACGCACCTCAACATGGTACAAGCGCGCGAATTGAGTTTTTGTAACCAGAAATTGTAACCAAACCCTTCCTTAAGGAGAGCCCATATTTTTTACACGATACTACTAGTAGTGTGGTTACAAAAAAAAAGGGTCTGGTTACAAAAAAAGCGCACAGTGCGCTCATGTGCGCTTGTAACCAGGAGCACAGGCGCACCATGCACCTCAACAGGTACAAACTAAAAACTGTCGTCACTAAATACTGTACGTAGTTTTAGTACTAAAAAATGCGAGCAGTTTTCAGTGAAAAACTGATCTTGATTGCTATTCCAGTACAAGCTCGTGTAGAAAAAAGCGTAGAAATATTGATTTGCAGGGGAAAACTGCAGGGGAAAACAAGCAAAAAATCAAGCAAAACACCAGCAGCAGAGCAGAATGCCGTATCGTATCAGCAACTCAGCAACTCGTATCAGTGTCCTCTGTATCGTATCAGCGGCTCCTCCGTAGTAATATCATATCGGCGGCTCCTCCGTATTGTATCAGCGTCCCCTGTATCGTATCAGCGTCCCCTGTATCGTATCAGCATCTCCTCCGTATCATATCAGTGTCCTCCGTATCAGCGGCTCCTCCGTATCGTATCAGCAGCTCCTTCGTATCCTCTGTATCGGATGGCTCCGTATCGGAGGGAAAAGAGCCCATTCCCCTATATTGTGGAGGCAGTGCTGCCTTTCCGCGCAGTAACCAAGCGAGCGTGGTTACATGGAAATGTTGAGCTGCTCAACGGTTACGTAAATATCTGTGGAAGAGCTAGCGCAGCACAACAAGTACTATCTTCAGCAACACCAACAACAAGCTCTCGAGCTAAAGCTCTCGAGCTTGTTGGTGGTGTTGCTGAAGATAGTACTTGCAGTAACATCACTTTGATCTCGAGCTAAAGCTCTCGATCTCAGTGATGTCACTGGTGTAACCAAATTGTAACCAGAATTTTGTACCTTGTCGAGTCCGTGTTATTATCACGGGAAAATTTTTGTACCATGCGCTCTCGAGCTAAGCTCGAGAGCGCATGGTACAAAAATTTACCTATGAAATTTATGTACGTACCGTACATACTTCATCTCGTATACTTAAGTATGTCAGAATAGATCAAATACGGAAATTTCAATGATTATGAAAGCCATACCGTACCGGCCGGTACGGTAGTATCTTAGTTAGGCATCTATTTTTGAAACATACGTGCAATCTGTTATTCTCTATGCAATGGATACGTACGTACATGGAATTGAGCATACGTACGATACAGAATTAAGGATACCGTACGTACGATACGGAATCGGTATGGTTGGACATATCATTCCTACCTATGTATCATAGAGAACCATTCCTATCTACGTATCATACGATCCATCATACGAGTACCGAGTCATGCAAGAGGTCTAAGATATTTTGGTATGGAAAAGACCAATGATGTCACGAATCATGAATAGAAAGAACCTCACGTAGACTCAGTACCGGGATGTACATAGGGATCTAGTCGAAACTCAAGAACTCACAGTGACACCTCAAGATAGAATCGTAACATTTTTTTCATCATTCATATAACCTTCAAAATGTACGTGTGCTCTTTAGAGTTGTATTACTACGTGTTTACAAATTTCGAGGTATGTTTTCGGGAATACGTTTCAGTGGTACAGAAGACACAGACAGACAGCTCAACTTACATATTTTCCCCCCATTTTCGGAATTTGGAATCCTGTATAAATTGCATGCAATTTCACAAAATTCCAAAGTGGCAGGAACTTTGGGATTTTCACTAAACGAGACTGGATATGGTTAAGTCAAGGATTCCAAATAAAAAATATGTAAATGACATATTTTTTGGTAKTMGTGRGCCTACGACTACCAAAAAATATGTCATTTACATATTTTTTCGAGCCGGCCGGTCTCATTTTTACACAGATATATGTTATCGGGAATGACCCAATAAAGCGTTTAGAAAATCGTTACGAAGTTGCCAACTCATTAGACTTTTACCCAATAAGATGACTGCGAGTAATGTTTCAGCAAAACTCCGTGAATTAAACCTGGCAAAACTCTGAGAATTTGCGAGAACTTACTGTCTCTTGCCGTGCAAATACGAGGCTATTATCTTTAATCTTGCTTTTCGCACCGATATATTTCGTAGCACTAGCACTAGCACTAGCACTAGCACTAGCACTAGCACTAGCACTAGCACTAGCACTAGCACTAGCACTAGCACTTTTTATTCTCTCATAATTTCGCACTTTTTATTCTCTCATAATTTCTAAAGCTATTGCTAACATCAATACTTGACCACAACCACCATGCTCCTTCATGTAACCGATACTTCCCGCCCTGTGCAACCCCACGGTGCAGGGGACCTCTCGTGTGGCGGCGATTCCAGAGAACCGACCAGACAAGAGAAGATGTGTCGCAGGACTTCGAGTTTGCGAATGTCCATCAACTACAACTCCAATTCAAGCGCCCAAGCTCTCGGTTCATCGACCCTCACCCCCTTCCTTGCCCGTGTCACGACAAAGCTGAACGAAAGCCTTCCCAAGGGCGAAGTCTTCAACGTATACGATTACGGTTGTGCCACCGGAGGATCTTCGATCGCGCCAATCACCGCCATCTGCGATAGGATCGGCGATCGAAAGCTCCGTGCCAACATGGTGGATCTACCAATGAATGATTGGGATGTCCTGAGGATCACCGTCGAACCCCAGTTTCCGGACGTCGACTTTGTCTACAAGCCCCAAAGCATGTATCTCCCCATCGCCAACGAGGGAACCGTGCACCTCGGCTATTCCAGCTACGCCCAGCACTGGTTGGGGGATGGTGCGCCGATCGGTCTGCCCGAAGGTGCCATGTGGGCAAACCAACTTCCACCGGGTCACCAAGATCGCTTGGTCTGGGAAGAGTCCTCGAAAAGAGATTGGGAGACCCTGCTTGCCCTTCGTGCCCGGGAAGTGGTGCCCGGAGGCTTTCTGGTCTTCCACATCCAGAGCTCGTCGAGCTGTGGTGGTCTCGGCGAGGCTTGTGCCGCGACGATGCAGCAAGCAAAGCTGGAAATGATAGCCGACGGCGAGATCTCCGTTGAGCAGGCCCGGAAGATGGTGGTGCCGGAATACCTGAAATCGCCAACAGAGATTCTTGCCTCCGTGACCTCCGGTGCGAATCAGTTGCTCTGGAGTGTCGAGGAACTGCAGTACAAAAAGCTTCCCTGCCCCCTCGGAGAGGACTTGTGTGGAAGAAGCGAAAACGACCTGGGTGGTGATTTCGCAGACAAGATCATCAAGCAGCAAATCGATATGCTTCGCGCCTTCACGGATAGCTCACTCGAATTAGCTCTCGACAGTGAGCAGCTCGAAACCTTTTGGGCTCGCGCCCAAAGACTCGCCAACGGGAATCCCAAAAAATTGGAATTCGACGTGATGGGTACCTTTATCGTCCTGAAGCGATCATCCGTCTCCCCTGTCGACCACCTCATCTGTGCATGATCGATTGGGTGTGGTTTTATCATCGTATAGTTCCCGTTATTCCAGTGCAGTCCTGGCTTCGGAGAAGTCCCAGAATATATTTTTTTGTGGCGCGGCGTGCTGGTATTGACTAAACACCGCAGTGGCGAATTTCGTTCCGTTTCGGGATGCGGTTAGCGATAATGTCAGTGAAGAACATTATCAGTGATGAAGTGATGTGCGATCGAAGATCCGTTGTTACGGTGTAGTGGAGAACTTAATTTCATTTAATTTAATACAGTAAAATTTAATTTGATACCAAATATAAAAATGGTGTTCAATACGCACGGTCCGTTACATTCGGCATCGGAATACTGAAAAAAAGAGAAAGAAGATTTTTTACTGTAAGGGGTAGAGTCAATCTTAGTGAGCTTCCATCGAGTACGAAAAGAAGTACGGTACTTCGCACCGGGAGGTTAGGTCGGCCCCCCCGGTAATGACATTATCTGATGTTATCATTTTACAGGCATATATTTCATGAATTAAGAAGAACAAGTAAGTAAGTAAAAAGTAAGAGGTAGAAGAATCTCAGTACCAGCTATTGGGAACGGAGGAAGTAGTACAGTATTTCGTAACGAGTAATGCTGTTACCCGACTACCCTACCCCGATACGTACGGTACCGTATGATTATACCCTACGATATGGGTTTGCAGTTTGCAACAGTTTGCAACGCGTCAACAAGTTCTCGGTGCTCGGTACGAGTAGTTCATTGAAATGGAAGAAACGCGTCCCGCCAAGCCAGCGCCAGCCCTAGCCCTAACCCTAACCCTAACCCTAACCCTGACCCCAGCCCTGGCGCACGCGTCAGACATCGCAGAAGGACATGCTCGTTGCTCCCCCACCCCCGCCCCCCACCCGGAGGTCGGCACGAAAAATGCAAGCCAGGTACATGTACAGTACATGTACAGTACAGTACAGTACAGTACAGTACAGTACAGTACAGTACAGTACAGTACAGTACAGTACAGTACAGTACAGTACGCACGATACGCGTATCGGTGTGGTTGCAGTGGATTTCGCGGGTTCGGAGGGGCAAAATCCGAATCCATCCACACTGTTGTTCTTGGCAACCGCAATAGAGCCATCGCTGTCGTTCGTCCTGCCATCCCGGTTCCAACACTACATGTTAGTGACTCGATGAGCGTCCCGCAAGTGCAGTGCCATCGAGAGAAGAGAGATCCCCGTGTAGCTGCAACGCAACACGCTAGCAAGGAGGGGTCCGGCAAGAAGACCACCATCGAGAAGAAGAACACGTACCACAGGAGCCGTTGCTAGTACTACTAGGAATAGCAGCAGCAGCAGCAGCAACAACAACAACAACAACAACCGGCTCGGCGATGGGATTCCGAATCCGCGAGGCCCCCGCCCAGCAACAACAAGACAAACGGCGTCGTGGCAGTCGCAGTGGCAGTCGCACCAAGCCGTCCGCCCTCGTGGACATCACGAACCGGGATCGCCCGTTTTGTCGCCGTCCGTCTAGAACCAGGGCCGTGGACGAGGATTTTGATGCGGAGGTTTGCACCGATGCGGATGTGGATGCGGATGCGGATGCGGATCCTTTGGCGTGCGACCCGGACCCAAGCGGAGAACGAAGAGGAAAACCGAGAAGCACCACGACCACGTCAAAGTCCACGAGCGCCTCTTCTTCTTTGCTCCTTTCCCCGAAAAATATTACAACGAGAAGACGGAGGAGAAAGGCAGCAGCAGCAGCAGCGGCAGCGACACCGAGAGGCTCTTCTTGCGTCGATGGATTGCGGGGCAGAGAAAAAGAGAAAGTGCGGCAGCAGAATTCCCCGCATGAGCAATCGCAAGAGCAACCGCAAGAGCAGCAGCAAGAGCAGCAGCAAGAGCAACCACAAGATCAGCCGCAAGAGCAGCACCAAGAGCAACGGCAACAGCAACGGCAACAGCAGCAGCAGCAGCAGCAGCAGCAGAAACTCCAGCACCAACAGACACAAGACCGGAAGAAGCATCCCGCCAAAGAGGCCGCTTTCTCGGCCTCTCCTTCCACCGGAGCGGAATGCTTGTGGTCTCCGCCTGCGACGGCGGCGAACGATATGCCACCACCGAGCGACGAGCTGACCGGTCGCATCCTCCGCCACCGGTCGGGGCGGGGACCCCCGGACGCCCGCGCGTTCTTCCACCGCTGCCGCCAACCTTGCGAGGGTGCCCCCCAACCCCACAAGCGAGAACGGGGAAGGGACGGAACCAGAACCAAGGGCAATCGGCGGCATTCCTTGTCGGACGGGACCCCGGTCTATTCCTCCCTGCCGGTCTCGACGAAGGAAACCATAGCGGAAAACGAAACCGATACCGAAAACGTGCAGCTGCTGTTTGTCGATAGAAGCAGCATTGGTCCCCTCGCCTCCTCGTCTCGTCCGGCGGGCACCAGAAGCGATTCTACGGAAAGCTACAGAAGCAGCAACCACAACACCAACACCAACACCAACACCAACACCAACACCAACACCAACGTCAACAACTGCCCATTTGCCCATGTCATCCACGGCGGCGACCGGGACAACGATAGCGCGATCGAGGACCGAATTCGCAGGTGTGGTGCAGGGGACGGTTGGTGGTGCACGGACGAAAACGAGAACGAGAACGAGACAAAGAACCCCATTGTCGCGGAAGGATGCATCGAACACGATTCGAAACAGATGTGCAGCAGGCGCCGCATCCTTCCCGCGTCTTGCGATTCCTCTTCGTCGCCATGGGATCACCGACGGCGGTCCCCGCCTTCAACGCCCCTCGCTGCCGAGACGGCAACGAACCAGGCAGGCATCCACGGGGACGCGCCGGCACACAACCCTGCCGGCAGCAGCAAACGAAAAAGGTCCGGAGGGGAATCTCCTGGGATAGAACCACACGCCGGGGGACCATTCACCGGGAACGGAAACGATGCGGGCAGCAGCAGCAGGAGGAGGAGGAAGAACAACAGCGACAAAGACGGCTGCGTTCTGTTCAAGGACATCATCGGCCACCAATCGGCCAAGCTGCGGCTCGACGAGGTTCTATTGCCCCTGGCTCTGCCGGCAACCATCTCGGAACACATACTCAGGGGGATTCGTTCCCTGCCGGCATCGATTCTTTTCTACGGCCCACCGGGCTGCGGCAAGGCAAGTAATAGTTGTTGTTTAGGCTTAGTTTGCTTTGTGCATATGAGTCGTTTTCCGATCTCAGGGAATCGCGACTAATCTCCAAACGTTGCTGGTTCTCTATCCGCAATTCTCGATCTCCAGACGCAGCTGGCAAGGGCCCTGGCCGGCGAGGCCCGCGGGGCCTTTCTGTCGATCGGTCCCGGCGACATTCTCAGCAAGTACGTCGGGGAATCAGAGGCAGCGGTCCGCTCCGTTTTTGCGGAAGCCCTCCGAATGGCCAGGGACCACGGAGCACGACGCGGTGGGAACCCCTGCACCGTTCTGTTCTTTGACGAGATCGACGCCCTAGGGTTGTCCCGGGGCAGCCAATGCGGCGGTGGTAGTGGCAGCCGCGGGGGGCCGATGCCGGGAGGTAGCGGTGCCTACGGCGACAATCCATCGCGGCGGGTCCTGGCAGAGCTTCTCCTCCAGCTGAACAGGGTCGATGCATCCTGTGTAGATCCCGGCTCACCAGGGGACGGAATCGAGTCCGGCGAAGAAGATGCCGAGGACAACCAATCAAGTTTCTCGTCCAGCCCTGGAAGAGAAGGCAACGATCCATTTCCGGACGCGGACAGCGATTGGACCATGGTGCACCGAGAAAATAACGGTGTCGGGAATCCATACCAAGCCGAGCCACCGGGAGAAAAATCTCCGATCAGGGATCCCGCGCCACGCATCATCGTCGTGGCCGCTACCAACCGTCCCGGGGACTGCGATCCGGCCCTCGTCCGGCGCTTTGCGATACAGGTCCCGGTGGGGCTGCCGACGCAACGGGACCGCACAAAGATGCTCCGAACCCACGTCGGGGACATATACCACACCCTGACCGAGCGGCACTTCTCGGAGCTCTCGCTGGCAACCGAGGGCTGGTCGGGATCGGACCTCCAGAGGCTCTCCCGGGAAGCCGCCATGGCACCCGTCCGGGAGTGCATACGGAGGGCCGCGCTGATGAAACGGCGGAACCAACTTGCCGCAGGCCGCCGCTGTCCCAGCGCTCCCCCGTTCGTGCAGGGCGAGGGGCTTCCGAGCCAGCAGCGACCTTCCGGAAGCAGCGGCTCGCTGCTCCCACGCGCTTGTCCCCGCAGGCAGCAGCTCCTGGAGGAATTCCGCAACCTCCGGCCCGTGGGCCTCGGGGACTACCGGCGGGCCCTGGCCCTCTGGTTCGGCGGAGCGTGCGAAAGCCTGCACGGATTCCCCCCCGCGGGACCCAAAGAGACCGGGAGTGGCAGCGGCCGCAGCGCCGGCGGCGGCTGCCGGATCGAGCACTACGACAGCAGTTCCGACGAAGAATCCACCGGGGACGGGGATCCGCAAGACGAGGGCGATTGCCACCCTTGCTCGTAGTCGGAGATGTCCGGTCCGAGTTTTTCGACCAGGGACACCGGTTAGAAGGAAAGGAAAGGCCAGAGTCTTGTTTGTTCGTTTCTACATCGAGGGCAACACTAGTTCTGTATGTTCTTCTAATAATTATAATGATACCTAGTCCAACTAAAACCCCAAAAAAAGGCTACGGCTCCCGAAAGCATAACCATTCCGCACCGCGATGCGATCGCCGCAAGCAGGGTTTGTGTGTCGCCCCGCCGCGTTCCGGAACTCCGAGAGGGGATCGGAGGGATGGCTTGTCCTGCGCCGCGCCCCTTCCCGATCGATGCATGCCCGCGTGCGTGCGTGCGTTCCGATGGTTGTTTCCAGCTGCGCACCCGTTGCGGTGGTTCCTTGGGTTTTTTTCTTACATCATGCCGGGCATGCCTCCCATGCCACCCATCGGTGGGGCAGCGGCGGCCCCGCCCTCCATCGGCTTGTCCACGATCATTGCCTCTGACGTGGTGAGGAGACCCGCTACGGAGGCGGCATCGACAATGCCCGTTCGGGTGACCTTGGTGGGGTCGATGATTCCGGCGGCGTACATGTCGGTGTAGACTCCGTTTTGTGCGTCAAAGCCCGTCTCGATGGGGGTCTCGGACTCCGTGAGGTGGCCAACGACGACGGCCCCCTCGGCCCCGGCGTTGGTGGCAATCTGCTTCATGGGGGCCTGGAGGGCCTTGAGGACAATGTCGACACCGATCTTTTGGTCCATGTTCTTGGCCTTCTCCTCCTTGACGGCCTCGAGCTTGGTGGAGCAGTAGAGCAGGGCCTTGCCCCCACCGGGGACGATGCCCTCCTCGACGGCGGCGCGGGTGGCGTTGAGGGCGTCCACGACGCGGTCCTTCTTTTCCCCGACCTCGACCTCGGAGGCGCCCCCGACGCGGATGACGGCGACGCCGCCCGAGAGCTTGGCCAGTCGTTCCTGGAGCTTCTCTCGCTCGTAATCGGATTTCGTCGTCTCGATCGAATGCTTGATCAAGTCGCACCGCTCCTTGAGTCCCTCGGAATCACCGACGCCCCCGAGGATGATGGCGTTGTTCTTGTCGACCTCGACCTTCTTGCACCGTCCGAGCATCTCGGGCGTGGTGTTTTCGAGCTTCATACCGGTTTCTTCGGAAACGACGGTTCCGCCGGTGAGGAGGGCGAGATCCTGCATCGTGGCCTTTCGGTTGTCACCGAATCCGGGGGCCTTGACGGCACAGACCTTGATGCCCGCCCGGAGCTTGTTGACGACGAGGGTGGCGAGGGCCTCGCTCTCGACGTCCTCGGCGATGATCAGCAGAGAGCCCTGGCTCTTGATGACCGACTCCAGAATGGGGACAAGTTGCTGGAGGCTGCTGACCTTCTTTTCGACGAGCAGGATGTGGGGATCTTCGAGGACGCACTTCTGCGTCTTGGCATCCGTGATGAAGTAGGGGCTGATGTAACCCCGCTCGAATTTCATTCCCTCGATAACCTCCAGTTCGTCGTCGAGCGTCTTTCCGTCCTGGACGGTGATGACTCCTTCCTTTCCGACCCGCTCCATGGCATCGGCGATCAAGCCACCGACTTCTTCGTCCGAGTTGGCGGAGATGGTTCCGACCTGGGCGATCTCTTCCTTGCTGGTGATGGGCCGGCTAATGTCCGTGAGGGTCTGTACGACCGAGTCGACGGCCATGTTGATTCCCCTGCGCAGGTCCTGTGGGTTCAGGCCCGCGGCGACGGCCTTGCATCCCTCCGAGTAGATGGCGCGGGCCAGAACGGTAGCGGTGGTGGTTCCGTCTCCGGCGACGTCGTTGGTCTTGGACGCCACGCTCTTGATGAGCTGGGCCCCCATGTCCTCGAAGGGATCCTCAAAGTCGATGGACTTGGCGACCGTGACACCGTCCTTGGTAATTTTGGGGGCTCCGTACGGCTGGGCGATGATGGCGTTGCGTCCCTTTGGTCCGAGGGTGACCTGTTGGGTTCGGTGGGTCCATTGCGTTGCGTTGCATTGCACAGCAGGCACACACGGAACGAGATTAGTGTTAGATTCACGGCGAGGAAACAAAAAGGGATTGGTGAAAATCCAAAATTTCGTGGAAACCAAAACCAACAAAAAAGACACAAACACGAACCCAAATCGACGGCTGGGTTCTCGTCGAATCAAATCAAGATTGGATTTCGGATTCCCTTTTGCAATGACGCAATCGCGCAAAAACGGAATTTTCTCGTTACCGATTCCCGGGAAACACGAGTGTGACTCGGCAGATGGGTTTCGAAACAAAACAAGCCAAAACAACGCGGTGCAATACATCACCGACACCTACCTGGACGGCATCGGCCAGGGTGTTCACTCCCTCGAGCATTCCGTTGCGGCCATCGACTCCGAACTTGATTTCCTTGCTCATGAATCGCAGGGCTCCGGCATTGTTGTTGGCCTTCCGAGAGACGGCTCGGAGGCCGGCTTGTAGTCCTGTTCGCAGCATGGTTTCTTAAAAAAGGTGGTCGTCGTGGAAAAATTATGTGACTTGCGCACCAGACAGACAGTACGAGCCCTAGATTCGTTACGAAAGGGAAAAAAAAAACAAGAAAGCGACGAAAAAATCTTGCCCAAAGAGGCGCGATAGCAGGTTGGATGGTGAGAAAGCAGCTGACTGGAAAAATCGAAGAACTTCGAAGGAACGGCCACGGGACTGGGAACGATTGAGTCGATCGAGTCCAGTCGTCGCAACCGTGTTCCCGATGAGACTCGAACGGGTCGAGTCATCGTGCGTGACGCAGGAGGATTTTTTCGAGAACAAGAATTGTGATGTATCCCGTGCCGTACAATGCCGTAGACGAACTAAGGGTACGTACTGTGCGGTTTCGTGAAGTACGGTATTCGAGTCGGGAAACAGTTCTGTTCTCGTTTCTCGCATCGGGTATCGTACGTACCGGTACGTACATCAAATGCTGTAAGGACAGAATTCATAATTCATAACGTACCGTACAGGAACGAATCCGCCGAGGAATCGAGGGAGGGACAAAGCCACAACAGAATGCCGACAAACCAGTTGCACCACCCGTTGCGTTCGGTGTTCGCCGGACTCCAGCGACGGAACCACGGGAGCGGGGTGCCGTCTCTGCCCCTCCGCGGTTTCGCACCGACGACGCCTTCGGCGTTGCCAGCATCGGACCGGGAACGCAAGAAACGAGCCCACAACGCCATTGGCCGTAACTCCTCGCATCCATCGAAAGAAATCTCTCCAGTGGTGGGACCCTGGTCCACCATTCATGATTTAGGCTCACAACGGCAGCAATGCAGGTTGTCTTCCTCCTCCTGCTCCTCTTCCTCGGTCTTGTCGAAGCGGGCCGCCACCCAGACCCCCGGCTTTCCGCCCGGACAGCGGTGGAAGGCCGTCCCGCCCGCGAACCTTTTGCACCTCTCGATCGGCGGGGTGTACGCCTACAGCATGTGGACCCCGGCCCTGACCAGGGCCCTGGGGGTGGTTTCGAGCGCGCCGTTGGACTGGACCCACGCCCAGGTTCTCCCGGTCTTTTCCTGTGCGGCCCTCTCCCTCGGGGCCACGACGCACTTTCTGGGCTCCTGGGTGGAATCGGTCGGGCCACGCACGGCGGGAGCGGTGGGCTCCCTAGTGTGGTCGGCGGCGCTGGTCACCACCGGGGCGGGGGTGTACTTCCACCAGCTCCCGCTGGTCTACGCGGGGTATTCGGTGCTGGGGGGCATCGGGTGGGGCCTCATGTACCTCAGGTGAGTCTCGTGGAACGGAACGGGCCGGGCCGGTTTCCGACCGGTGCGGCCCGAGACTCGAACGAAGAAGGAGTGCTGTTTTTATGAAGTTGTTTCTAATGCGGTTCGATGCCATGCCATGCCATGCCATGCCATGCGGTGGAATGCAATGCTGTATCGAATACGTGCAGTCCCGTAACTACGGTCATGAAATGGTTTCCCGATCGGCGGGGACTGGCCACGGGAATCGCCCTCAGTGCCTTTGGGGTGGGCGCGGCCGTTGCGCCGGCACTGATTCACGGCGCGATGGAATTCTTTGCGGTGGCGCCCGACTACCTCGGTCCGCTGGCGGCCCCGGCGGGAGCCCTCCCCGGGACGGCGTCCCCCTCGTTTGTGGAACTCGCCACCCTGCCGGACGGATCCCAGGTCGTGGCCGGGGGCTCGTCCCTGGGGACGCCCGGCCAGCCCGTCGTCGTAGCGACCGAGGCCGACCTTGCCAAGGTGTCCGGCGTGCACACGGGACCGGGCGTATACGCCCTCGGCACCGGTGACACCGGTGCGGCGAAAGCCTTCTGGGCGGTCGGATCGCTCTACGGGGCCTTGGGGCTGCTCGGAAGCCGCTACATGATGCTTCCCCATTCCGACTGGACCCCCTCCGGCACCGTGGCAAAAGAGCCCACAGGGAAGGACCACGAGAGCAACCCGTCCGATCCCCCACACCGCACGGGAGACGAAGGAGCAATTACCACGAGAGAGACAGCCTCCTCGAACGACGTAGGCCTTCCCGCCTCGTACGTCACGACCTCCACCACCCAGTATCCGTTGCTCTGGCTCGGCGTCTTTGGAAATGCCACGGGCGGACTTGCACTGCTGTCTTCCAGCAAGCTCATGATGACCGACATCTGGGCCGGGGTGGCACCCTCCGTCGTTACGGCCTCCTTTGCCACGGGGTACGTGTCCTCCCTGGGCGTCGGCATGGCCGTGGGCCGCTTCGGCTGGAGCGCCCTGAGCGACTCGCTCGGAAGGAAAAACACCTACTCCCTGTTTGGCCTCGGGATCCCGTTGGTGGGCCTGGCACCGCACCTGGCCCATGCCGCGGCGGAAACCGCTTCGGTCGGCGGGATGGAAAGCGAGCAGCTGGTGGTCCCGTACCTTTGGGCCTTCTACGGTGGGAGCGTCCTGGCCATTACCTTTTACGGGGGCATCTTTTCGGCCCTCCCGGCCTATATTGCCGATCTGTTTGGACAGAAACACGCCGGTGCCATCCACGGCAAGCTGCTGACGGCGTGGGCCGCCAGCGCCGTGGTCGGGCCCATGGGCCTCGGGTACCTGCGGAGCCGCTCTGTGGACAATGCCGTTGGGGATCTGCTGGAGGCGATCGGGAACGGTGGCCAAGAGGCCGACGAGGCACGGAAATCCGTGTTCGAGGAGACCTTTGGGTGCGGGCTGGACGACACCGAAACGATCGAGAAACTGATCGATGCCAAGACGATCTCGATCGGCCGGCTGATGGAGCTGGTGCCGGAGGGTACGGTCGATCCCACCCCCTTTCTCTACGACACCACGTGCTACGCCTCCGCGGGGTTCATGGGGATCGCCCTGCTGGCGAACCTCGCCATCCGGCCCCTGGAATTTGTCAAAATCGGTGCGAGAGCGAGGGAACCAAACGACGAGAACGGCCCGCGGCAAGAAACCGAAAGCAAATCGTGATTTGAAGTTGGATCGACGCGCGGATTGTTTTGCCCTGTCCGTGTACAAGCTTGGATAAAACCGGACGTGCAAACAGTGGCCGTTGCGGCGCATGTGGTCTGCGTGCAGTCTGTATGCCTGCTGAATAATGTAGGTGCTGGATCCAACTCAGGTTCATGGCTTGCGGCCGTTGGAAATTGCGAGGTTCGTACGATCTGCGATCCGCGGTTGCCATCCAACAAGTCTCTTCTATGCAGCAGTCCTAGTGTGTTTCGGCAAAGGTTGCGAGAACAGCCGCTTCTCCGAACGAATGCTTCGCGAAGCGATTTTGTTTCCTTCCTTCACGGGTGCCTTGCTTTTGTTAGCCTGGTGTTGTTTTCGTTCGATGATATGATGCAATCGGATAAATTCCAGTTTGTTATCAAACGTCCCAAAATTAAAATAATGTATCTATTTGTTAGTGCTACCATTCCTTGCAAGTACCACTGACCCAACACACAATCCCATCGCAATAGATCCTGTACTTAATAGGAACGAGATGCAATCGCTCACAGAAATCGATGGCACTACCGCGAATAGAATCCAAATAGTTCGTTTCCCCAAACGCTCTCGATGTATTCTGTGGAACGACCGGGTACTCACACGGCTGAGATTCCACCTCGGAATTTGGATGCCGGTTCCTGAGAGTTTCTTTCTTCTTCTTTCCGTAGTAGAAAAGTCCATTTTGCTCAGGTTTTCTCCGTGAATGGAATCGGGTGCTTTCTCTTTGGTCAAAAAAGGCCCTCTCTTGGGTTGGTACGGCCCAACACTCCACTCGACTTGTTGTGGCGTGCTCGTTGTGTGGACTTGTTGGTGGGTTCCGCCCGTTGCCTCGCGGTCACAACCCGTCGAGTTCCACCAGTTCCTCGGCCAGCGCCTTTGCGTTGCTCCGAAAGAGCTCCGACGAGGCCCCGCGGTCCCCGGTCCCCCAGAGCCTCCCGACGGCGGGCTGGAGCATGAGCTTGGCTCCCATTTCCCAGAAGCAGGCCTCGTAGCCCCACTCGGCGAGGGCCCGTTCCCGGATGCCCCTCCGGAAGGCGGCCTGGGTGTCGTCCTGCATCGCGGTGGGAACCGCCCCCTTGGTGGACCCACCGGCGACGCAAAAGCCGGCGGGGGTTTGGCCCGCACCCCCGGTGCCGAAGGCTTGGTCGAGGATCCGAAAGACCGTGCGGCCGGTGTTCAGGCCCAGGGCCCATCGCTCGCTGCTTGCCATGGCCCCTTCGTCGGCAGCCGAAACGCCGATCGGCGGCCTCGTCTCGAAGAGGAGCTTCCCGCAGTCCACCCCCTCGGCCATCAGGGCCTTGGTCAGGGCCCGGACGGCGTTTTCCAGAAACTCGGTGCTGGTGCTGCCTCCGGCGGGCCGTTCGGGGTGTCGCCACGGCACCTGCAGCAGGACCAGGGGGACCATCCCGTGCTGCTGGCACTCCCTGGCGGCCCCTGCGAGGCGGCCCAGGAGCGTGTGGATCCGCTCGTCGCCTCCGAGCAGCTGCGAGGGGTCCGAAAGCGCCTCGCCGTCCCCGCAGTTGCAGTGGAGGCGAACGTAGTCGATTCCGTGTTCCGCAAAGACGGCCGGCTTGGGGCTTCGTGTCTGCAAGAGCCCGTGGTCGTCGACGCACGGCTGCCTTTCCCAGTCCTCCCATACCACCCCGGCGAAAATCGGTTCGTCTTCCGGTCGCAGGGCTCGTTGTTTCCGGAAGGTTTCGTATGGCTTTGAGAACGTGCACGATTCGCTGTGTTCTTCGGTCACCACGTAGTGCTCGGCGAAGGCCACCATGGAGGTGTGTTTCCACAACTCGTCGTTGTCGTACAGGTGTGCCATCATTGCGGCGCGCCTTGATGCGAGGGAATGATTCGCTTCATCGAGATCCGATGGGGATGGTTCTGTTCCTGGTTCTGTTTTTGTTTCTCGTTCCCAGTGGTAATCTTCTACGCACCGTTCGATCATGGCCTCGGGGGAATACCCGTCCATGTACTCGCCCCTCTCGCCCTTCTGCCCAAAAATGGTCTTCCAAGCGTGCGCCGACGGCGACAGAGACGATTGCTGCGTCCCCGAATCCTCGAGAACCTTCCACATGCTTCGGGTAGTCGTGCTCGGATTCGCGAGTGCCAAAACACCCGGAATCTGCCTCGGAACCTCGCCGTTCCTGTTGCTTTTGCTGTATCCGGCAACCAACACCAAAACCGCAGCTGCCGTCGCTCTATGGGATATAGTCATTCTTCGGAGACTCGTGTACTCAACAGCAGATGCTTTTGGAAGGAGCAATGCCAAAATGCAGGCATGCCGACAACGGAGGCAAACAGAAAAATATCTAGCAGTCAATCAACCCGACAGGATATCTTCCACGCGATGATTCCGATACATACGTACGTACTGTAGTACGTACCGTAGGAACATATCATATCTGTGACCAGCAACACATTCGGAACACATACAGTATGGTACGTAGAAAGTACGTTAGATAATGTTCATACCCAGACAGGTACGTTCATACCCATATCGGTACGTTCATACCCATATCGGTATGTTCATACCCAAACAGGTACGTTCATACCCAGATCGGTATGTTCATACCCAAACAGGTACGTTCATACCCATATCGGTACGTTCATACCCAAACAGGTACGTTCATACCCAGATCGGTACGTTCATACCGAGATCTGTACGTTCATACCCAGACAGGTAGGTTCATACCCAGATCGGTACGTTCATACTCAGACAGGTACGTTCATACCAAGATCGGTACGTTCATACCCAGACAGGTACGTTCATACCCAGATCGGTACTTTCATACTCAGACAGGTCGTACGTTCATATCTCCTGTTTTATGCTTTATGCTTTACGGTAATCGTACGTACGTACAGTTCCTAACGTACAAACAGCATCGATATAATGTACGATTTTCAGAAGCCAAAAGCCACGGTACAAATTCACTACAACAGCAACATATATAATAATTCCACGTGGAATATATTCATTGGCTCTAAGACATCGGGTTCTCTCCCCCAAATTCTGCTGAGAACCATCAACTCAAAAACTACTACGAGTAGCGTAGGAATGAAGACTGTGTGTGATCAGTGTCATCCGGTTTAGACCATCATCGGAATTACGAACACCAAAGCAAATGCACAAAACGAAAGTGATGCATGATCAATAGTCGCGTCGTATTCCGCAGCCTTCTTCAACACCTCCCGGATCCGATCTATCCATCCCGTATTCGTTCGTTCCAAGGTTGCTAGTTATTCAACGGTGGCACACCCTACAGCACATACTACCATCCATCCGCAGAAAACGACACTCACACGCACACATACACCGAACCATCTACTCGTGAACATGAAGAAGAACACCACAAAGCCCGTGGCACAACGCAAAATGCATCCCATGGCTTCTGCCCGCCACCGACCGATCTGTTCGAGCAGCAACGGCCGGCGGCGGCGTTTTATCCTCTCTTGTACTTCATCGGTGGCAGCCGCCGCCGCCGTGTCACTCTTCGCGACGCCCCCGGGCTGCGCCGTAGAGGCCTTTCGACCCCCGCTGGTCCCGACGCCCACCGCCACGGTTCCGCTGTCGCTGCCGCTGCAGGCAACCAGAGCCGAAGCTGCTCCCGATAGGAGCCGATGGAGCGCGCTCCGCACCCGGAGCCGCCTCTGCCTGTCGAACGGCGACAAGAACAACAACAACAACAACAAAAACCTGAGCAACTCGGAGCGGGGGCGGCGAGAAGAGGACCGCCGGCGAAAACAGCGCAGGGACGACGTGGTCATCGGAAAGACCTCGGCCAAGAGGGGCGCCAAGGACTATCCCCTCGATCCGGAGGCGACGGAGCGGGAGTACCTGCGGCAGGCCTCCCGGGAGGAGCAGCTTATCCACGCCTGCACCGACGAGGGAATGGAGGCCCTCAAGTCCCTCCGCCTGGAGGACGCGGACCGGTGCTTCGACCGGGTCTTTGAGCTCAAGCCGGACACCTACCTGTGGCTGGCGGGCATTGTCAAGTTCTACCTCGGAGACATGGAGGGGGCCTCGTCCATCTTTGCCAGGAGCGCGATCCACTTTGAGAAAAAATTCGGGCCCATGGGGATGGGCCCCGCCAGCGAGGAACGGATCTGGAGGAACGCGGCCGAGCTGAAGCACGTCCAGTCCCTCAAGCGGTCGGAAAAGAAAAAGTTCTACGCCGACAAGGAACGCGGGGTGCCCACTMCCCCGCCGATCGCCCAGATCCATGGCGACGGCGACGGCGACACCACAGAACGCGGGGACGACAGCGAGACGCTCCTCGGCCCCGAGACCCGAAAGATCCACCGGCTGGCCCGGGAGCTCTTCGATGCCTCGGCCAGCCGGCAAAAGGCCGCGGAGGCGGTCGCGCGTGCCCAGCTGCTGTCGGTTGCCGAGAGCGAGCCTTCTTCCGCGAGCGGCGGAAGCGGAAGGGCCTTCCGGCCGGACGTCAAGAAGCGCAAGCTCAACGCGTGCTACTTTCTGGCACTCCACTACGACGTGGTGGGGGAGGTGGCCGAGAGCAAGAAATGGATCAAGACCGCCTTTCGGCTCTGCCACAACAGCATGGGCAAGTCGTCCGACATTCTCGATACGCTGCCCCTCCTGCACATGACGGCCCGCGACTGGTTCGACGACGATCCGTACGGCGACGAGGACGATGAGAACGACGAGAACGGAGACAGCGAAAAAGAGGTCAAGGGCGTTGGTGATTCGACCGGAACCGCAGACGGAGACAGCGATTCCACCGCGAAGCCGATCGAATCGAGCGACGACGACGACGACGAGAGCGAGGAAGCCGTGAAAGCGTCTTTGGACGTCGGCACCGGCACAACTACGAACGCAGCAGCAGCAGCAGCGACGACAACTAGCACGCACATGAGCGAGGCCTATTCGGACCCCGTGCTGGAGGCCTCGATCATGGAAGACGTCGAGAAGATGAGGTTCGTGGAGATCAAGGAGGCCCTGCGGATACGCGGGATCTCGGTCACCGGATCCAAGGACACGCTGAAGGAACGGCTCTTTATCTCGCTCATGGACGATGCCGGCTACCAATCGGGGTTTGCTCCGTAACAACAGCAGCAACAACGATGACAATGCGGTGCGATGCGATGCAACTCCATTCGATTCGATTCAGTTCGATTGGCGGTGGGATCCAGCCAGAGCGGCAAAGGAATATCGATCGAACCGCACGTTCGAAACCAAGCCGTTTCCACCGTTCCAGTGCGGGATCGAATGTCTCACCGTTGGTTCTTGCGATGGGACGAATGGATCCGTTGCGGTGCGTTTTGGTGTGGTGCTTCATGGAGATCGAGGTGCGAGCGGCCCCAACCTCAACCTCATCGAACGGAACACACGAAAGCTGCGGCACGAGACAAAACGAATCGAATCGAAAGAAATCGAAAGAAAACGAACGATCGCGCAACGAAGGCATTGCGAATAATCCACACTACTAAACATAGAGACCCCGTTTTTAGATCTGGTTCCACCGTAAAAAATCTAGGAACTTCCCCTGTTTGTCCCATCGATCGAGAGGTGCGTGCCGAGCCACAACAAAACAAAATTGAACACCCTAGCGGTAGGTCACCGAGGTGTCACCGCTTTCTCACGGAGGGGTTCGTCGTCGCACGCTCGATGCGTTTGCCCTCCCACTCGAGCATCTCTTCGTTGGCTTGGTTGTTCTCGATCCGCTTCTGTTTGAGGATTTTGCGGAGCCTCGATCTCTGAGTGTTGCCGCGAATCGAATCGAATCGAATCGAAACCGAACAAAGCGAAACAAAACAAAACGAAAATTAGAAAACCAGCGACGCACATTCTTGGTTTCTTCTCCATGCAACGCGATACAAATCGAATCCAAATCGCAAACATGCACACGCACACACGCACGCACGCACGCACCCGTTCGATCAGCCCCCGGACGCGCCCGGACAGAACCGTCGTTTGTTCGTCCTCTCCCGAGCGGTCCCCCCCGCCTCGCTCTTGCATCGCCGCGAGTCGTCCGAGGGCCTCCGCGGCCTCCCGGCCCAGCCGCTCCTCCTCGGCCAGGGAGGCCCCGAGAGAACCCCGGGTTTCTTCCAGCCCTTCCTTTTTCTTCTCGGCGGCCTCTTGCCGGCAGTCCACCGCCCTTGCGAGGACCCTCGCGTAGGCCTCCATGTCGGCCAAAAGCGGCCCGTGTTTCTCGGCCGTCGCCCGGGTCCGGCGCTCGAGCAGACCCGAGAGGCGGCCGATAAGCGCTTCTTCCTCCGCTTCGAGGGCCTCCGCTCTCTGGTGGTGCCCATCGATGCCCTCCCTGACGTCGCACACCTCCAGCTCGGTGGAATTGCGCGAGTCCAGGGCTTCCAGGAGGCGCCTGCGCCGCTTTTCTTGCCCCGAGGCCTCGGTGCGGAGCCGTTTTCGGAGCTTTTCCAGGACGGGAAGGGTGGCCGAGAGCTTCCGGCGCTCCTCTTCGAGGACCAGGGCGCGGTCCCGGAGCTTGTGGGCGACGGCCATCGTCTCCGGGCGGACCAACAAGGCCGGTGGGTTTGTTTCCGTGCCTGCACTCGAGCTTGTTCTCGTGCCCGTCCTTGCTGAAGTGCCGATTCCGCCTACACCGCGAGCTTCGCTGGAAGACCGATCGAAACCGAGACCGAAATCTCCATTGGCAGAACCAGCAGCAGAACCAGCAACAGCAGAACCAGCAAGAGCAAAAGCAACGTCCCCGGTGGCAGCAGCAGAAACACGACCGCCCTCCGAATCGGTTGCCTGCCCATCCAGCACGAGGGGGCATCGGGGAGCGCCCCGATCGGGATCGTTGTCCTTTGCATCGGCCATGATTGTGGTGCTTGTGTTTGTTTGTGTTTGGTCGTGCTTCTTTTGAGGCCCGTCTGTCCTGTCTTTCTTGCTTCCCCCGGGACGAAAGGCTTTGCCTGTGCCTCGATGCTTCCGAACGCTGGGAACGCAACGAGAGAGGTTGKGTCGGATCTGTGTAGCCAGCAACAAATACAATCGTATCGATGAAACGAGAAGAAGCAAACCAACAAACGAAGCAATACTGTAGCAATCAACGAAACCACAAAATACGAATAGAAAAAGAAAAAATAGATCTACAGATTTTCCTTTTCCGTCTTTCGTCTAGTATGTACTTCGTACTTTACACGTACGCTTGCAAACAAAGATACCCTTGCCCCTGTTTTAGAGTCCGTACGTCGTACGTACGTACGCTCCTGCTGCTCGGGAAACCGCGAGCATCGAGCCGGCCTTGCCTGTGAGCAATCCAAATTGCGAGCAAACACCTACTACTAATAAATGTGGCATCCACCTGCGACCACAATGCGACCACAACGGAACGGAATCCATCGTTGGGTGACTCTTTACAGCATTGGAAGCCGGAACTCAAAAACGCAAACGATTTCGTGCACCCTTTCCTCCGAAACGAAACCAAATCGCAGGGGTTGCCCGCTGGCAACCCGAAATTCCGCATCGCACGAAACGAAACAAAGCCACCCAACTCCTCGTCCTCTTCGAACGTCCACAACCGATCCCCAGAGAAACGTCTCTCGTCCGTTTCTGCGTGTTTGCACGAACGGGAAATGGTTTTCGATCCGACCTCTTCGAAGGTCCTTTCGGCGTTCGCACGACCGGAAAATGGTTTTAAAACTGGTTTTCAAACCACTTCCGTCGTAGCTTTTCTACCAGCTCCACGCAAACTTGTTTCGAAACCACTCTTCGGCCATCAAAACCTTTTTTCTCTGTAAGTTTTCTACTGGCGCTACGCGAGCGGACGCACCGAGATCCTTGTCTCCTGTTGAATGTGTACCGTGCTCTACGAGAGGAAATCCGCAAAGTTTGTCAAAAGTCGATCAAAAAGTTCACTTTTGGCTCATTTCGGCCATTTTGCTTTTCATTTCTCTCTGCTCACAATCGCATTCGAAGGATGATCACCTCAGTGTAAATGCCTGAATCGACCGGCGGGTAGCGTTTGGGCAGGGAAGTAGCCTGGCAAAGACCAGGACGCTTGGGGGAGACGACCATGCGTGCGGCATCGGAAGTCTCTCAACGTGTAACACCCCTCCCATTCGCAATGATCCTTAGCCGGGAGACAGGATAGTCGTAAGTGGAACCCTGAGGGGCGGGATAAGGATTCGGGGACCCATGGCCGTTGAACCGGAAAGAGCTAGCCCTTGTTGCCGCTAGCCCCCTGCCGGGCGGAAGCCCATGGCCGATCCGACTCGAAAGAGTGCCCGCCTTAAACAAGGCCCAGACAGAAGCATGTTAATCGTGATCTGGACCACGCCGCCGGGAGGCGCGAGGCGGTGTGGTTCCGCACTTTGAAGGTGAGGGAGAATGTAAACGCCAGAACCACCAAGGGCCGTAGACCATTGCATAGGAAGTAGCCTACCACAGAGGGGGACGCTAGGGTAAAATCTGATGAGCGATTCAGCAGATGGAAACCTGACAATCCTATAGCAATGGGGCTTCAACTTGGTGGCTGGTTAGTCACACGCAAAAGCGTGCGAGACAGATGCATGGTGATTATCATATCCGGTAAATGTTTAGGGTAAGGTAGGGGTAGCGGTAGCCGTGCCTAGCACAGGGCCGACCCCTCCGCCCGCCGGAACAGTGTCGAATAGCCTGTGGGTACACACATGATCATCTTGTCCTGACATACATAATCTCTCTCTGGGCACCGAGGCAGTAGCCAAGGGAACCTAAACGAGCAACAACCAAACAAACAAACAAAAAACTAAAAAAAAAACAACAATCAACCAATGGAGCGGAGCGACGAACAGCGGAGCAATGGCAGGTGCAGACGGAAGTGGAAATCGGAACGAGCGAACGCTCCCCGTGGCGCTTGCATTCGATACGATTCCATTTGCGATTGCATTCGATGGGTTGGTTTGCCCGGCGGTCGTACGGCTCGGTGGCTGCTCCGAATCGATGCCGACTCGATGCGATGCGATACGATGCGATTCGCCGGTAAAACAACAAACGGCCGTGCGATGACTCGCTTGCGGAGCACACCACGGCACAGCGGGACGAACCAATGGAATGGCACGCAGCGGTGTGGTGGGAAGCACCGCGGACCAGACCAATGGGAGCGAGCGGAACTCGGACTACATCACATTCGTTTGTGTCGTTCGTCGCTTGCTTAGTTTAGTGCTAGTTGGCGCTTGCGTGTGTGTGCAGTCTTGAACCAGAGATTCCTTGATGGGACCAACGTTCTTTGTTAGCATTGGTGGTGGTGTTCTCGTCCGGAAAATCTTCGCCAGCGTCGGCTTTGGTAAGCAGGTCGGCGAGAATGCTTGCCAAGAGGCGCAGACAATTGTTGGGGAAGAAACTGCGTCTCGGAGCATCGACGCGTCCACCTACCTACGGAGCGGAAGGGATTTGATTTGTATGATTTGTATGCCGGTGACATGCATGTGACAATCAAACAAACAACGATTCGGGAGGAAGAGTACCAGATATCCCTCTCCAGGCGTCTGGTATCGTGTGGAACTCCAGCTAGGTTTTCCCTTCTACGCATCTCTAACAAACGGCTCTTCACACATACATAACACACACATCAAAGATTTCTCATGGTCAACATGGTCGAATCACAGGGCAAAGCAATTGTTTGGCTGTGATGCGTCTAGCATCAGCGTAAAATTGCGACGGCCTTGTTCCGTACAATAAGACCTCGCCGCAGATGCCTCGTGTCTCCCCATTATTTGTTCGTATCATCCCACATCCCACAGAATCAGGTCGCAGTGACTATTTGTCTGACGTTTTCGTATTTTTGTCACTGGTTGAGCAATGTTGTGCAACATGTGTTGACACAAGGGCTGCAAATAGGAGCACGTTGCGATTGGGTACTGAGGGGCTCTCTGAGGACGGAACTTTGAGCCATAACAACACAGAGTCGAAATGGGTAGCTCCCACGCCAAGTGCGGAATGTTTCTGTGAACATTCTAATCAGAGGAAAGGTCATGCCGGGTTTGCCCCCGGCATGACCGTGTGAAGATAAATTCGTGCTCTAAAGTATTATCAAGGATTACATTGCAGTTGCTACGATCGCAGCTGCGATAATTGACCGAAGATATGCGATAATATCACAAATCACAACATAAATCCAGTCGGTTCGATCATTGCTCGTATACATTACTTTGAAGCTAGTTGTAGGAGCTCGATTTGGGTTCGGTCTTCCTTCTCTTCTCTCGAGAACGAGTTCCATTGATCCCCGGCCTTTCGTTTTGCTTTCATCATCGCCATCGGATACATCTTTTTTGCCTTGATTGGGTCCAATTCAATGGTTCGCTGTGGTTCCTCTGCCGCCCCGTTGGTTTCCTCCACTCCAAGGGAAACTCGTGGCTCCTCTTCCTCGTAGTTCTCGTTCACGGTTTCGCCGTCGGCGTCGATGACGATGGAAGATTCCCGCACCTTTCGGAATCGGACGGCCATGTACATCCGGCTGATGCTCCATTCGTCGTCGGATATCGTTCCGTGCCGGTTGGGCACCTTCATGTTGCCCAGCAGCGCGTGTGCCGCCCGGTGCGTGCCCGGATCGCTCCGGGCCTGGTAGAACTCGTGGAAGTTCTGGGCGTACTCGAGCTCGAGTCCCGCTTCCTTCCCCAGGGAGACCAGGACCGGGATCGGGATCAGCCATTCCGGCAGGTTCACGGCGTCCCCCATTCCTGCGGCGTGGTCGTCTCCCTCCACTAGCGTGAAGGTGTATTCCAGACCGAATAGGTCTTCTTCCCCCCCGGTCCCATCAGCTCGGCACTGAAGAATTTTCTTCACGATGTGCGGTTCGAAGGTGAGCCTGCAGGCTCCCCCCCCGGTCTGAACCACCACCGAGGAAAACTCCGGTTCTTTCCCGTCCTCGAAGTGAAAGTTGAGGCCGAGGTTCATCATGTGGTCGACAACAACCCTTGCATCGATGGTGGTAAAGGCTAGGTTTCCGCCGATGTCTAGCAGCTGGCTCACGGTGTGAAAGAACCGCCTAGCGCGTGCCCCCGTCTGCATCATGTAGTGAATGGCAAACTGAATTGAGACGATGTCAAAGCTGTCCGAGGGAGCAATTCCCCCACCGGCAACCATGCGAAAGTCCGGGTCTCCGTTCTCGAAGGGTGCCTCGTCTTCTAGTGACCACGTCAAGAGCTTTTGCATCCCCCTGGACGAGGGGGTCCGCTTGCGCCCGGGCACGTCCGAGCCCAAATCGGCGCAGGCAAAGACGGCCTTGGTCAGCTTGTTTCTCTTCCGCAGCCCCCGGGCACGCTCGGCGGCATCCTTTAGCGATCCTCTGGCGACGTCGATGCCGACGTAGTTTCTTATTCCCCGCTTGTGGATGGTCCACTTGGTCAGATCCCCGCCCTTTCCGCAGGCCAGGTCGAGAACACGGAGGGGCTGCTTATAGGACCCTGTGCTAGGGTCGAGCTCGGCGATTTGTGTGGCCTTGACCCAGTTGTTAAAACACTTCATGTGGTAGAGAATGGATTTGTCTCGTGTTTTCTGGTCTCTGGTGAGACCCGAGTAAAATGCATCCGCCGCGGCCGCACCCTCGTTCGTGTGAAATTTGCTGTTGTTCGCGCCGTCTGTTTCTTCCTCCTCCTCGGCACCATTGTCGGCGTTCATGTCACTAAAGGATCGTTTGTTTGAAGAGAATGCATCGCTATTGGATGTGTCTGTTGCCCACGGCATAGGAGGGTCGGACGAGGATGCTTCCGTATCCCAGGGCATAGAGGAAGACGCCCCTACCCCATTGTTGTTGCCGCTTGTATCGTTGTCCTCGTTGGTCTCCCAAGGCATCGAGCTGCTAGTCTGCTCGTTGAGAGCCGATTCCCACGGCATGGTATTGCCTCCACCACGTGCGCTTTCTTCGTTGTTTTCCCAGGGCATACCTCCGGATCCTACTCCACCATCGGTGCTTTCTTCCGTCGTCTCCCATGGCATACCACCGTTTCCGCCGTTGTCTCCGTTGCCATTGGGTGGTGCAGCAGGAGTGGTCGGTCTCCATCCACCAGCATCGTTGTTTTCGTCGTCATCGGGTCGAAAGGTTGGCCCGTCGTCGTCGTCGTCGTCATTGTCCGGTCGGAAGGTTGGCCCGTCGTCGTCGTCGTCATCATCATTGCCATTGCCATCGCCATCGCCGTTGCCGTCCCAAGGATTGTTCCCACTGGTAGATGGCAAAGGCGGAGTCGTCGGTTTCCAACCAGTGCTTGGCAAGGGAGGAGTTGTCGGTTTCCAATCACTGTTGCGGTTGCTACCGCCGGAGGAAGATGCCACTAACCAGTTCATGACCTCTTTGACATCGCCAATGTACACCCTTGCAGCGAAGTCGTTGGGCCCAAAGCCGGTTTGCGCGTTCTGTTTTTGTGGGCCCTCAAAGGGGGACAGGATCCCGAACCGGTCGTATTTGTCTCTGGCCAGTATGGCCACCAGTCGTTTCTCACGGAGTTTCTTCATGTAGTTAGCAAAGGACATAGAGTTGACCTTATGCCGCTTTTCCAATCGTTCATACCGCTTAGGCTCGTCTGCGAGCTGCACCGCAACTGTGCAGGAATGCAACCCGTCGCATACGACCGTTTCCTCGTCGTGGTCATCCTCGGCGTCGATGATCTTGCGAATGATGCTCAGCGATCGATCGGCGTATCCCAGCACTAGTAGCGACCTGGATAGTGGGCCTGTTTGGTTTCGGCGTCGCGGATACGAGAACCACGGAACAAACAAATCGAGAGCGATGTGGGCATCAAAAGAGCTGAGAGAGATAAAGTGGTTCCATCTTGTACACAGCAGGTGGATGGAGTTATAACAACATCAATAGACGGACCACAGCCAATGCCAAGACTTACCCGGATATTCTGGGCCGTCTTTGTAGGAATAAAGAGATGTTTTGGATTCCGGTTTCCCATTCCTGACAATGTCCTTGTCGTCGTAGCTAATGACTTTCCGAAAAAGCTCGGACGAAGTCGAAAAGACAATCACCGAGTCAGAAGACAAAACCGAAGCCCCACGAACACAGAGCAAGTCGTGCTTGGTTTTGGGGGTTGTAACGGGGTAGGATGATAGCGGTGTGCACGTAGATGGATCCGGCATGGTCGGTGTTGGATCGGATGCTTCGTGACGTTCAGCACGGAAACTATGCTATTGCATGGAAAATGTGGGAGCTGTGAATTCTTTTTTKGTGTCGTTTTGCTTTGCTTCACTCGATACGCGCAGATTTGGCTAGCTACCCGTTGCAGTTATTCGATTTCGATCTTGAAGTTCACCCAAACGACTATTATTTCTGGGGCTGCTTACTACAATGTGCTGTTTTAGTGACCTGTCGATGATTCAAATACTTCGAGGCAAAACCGTAGTATCTCCATGGACTGAGCGGAAATCGTTGAATTGTTTGAAAGATGATTGTTTTGACGTCGATCTGGTGATGATTGATGATTGTTTCTGAGCTCTTGTGATGTTAGTCAAAATCGATGGTGTAATCGGCCGTCAAAAATCGAGTGGAATATCATTTTGAAGCAATCGGTTTGCGATTGTTCCGCGAGTGGGGATTGGAGAACTCGTGGTAAATCAATCTACTCTTTCATTGTGTTGTTCTGATGATGTTTGATCAGCTTGGATACCGGTAGGTGTCCTTTATTGCTCATAACCTGCGAAATAAACCCACTTGCTCTTTAGTGTCATAACACGGGGTTTACCATACCCTACGGTACCGTACCGTACGGCAGTAAAATAAAGAGAGAGGTTGCGGCTCACTCACTATCTACTCGTGATTTAGCATTTAGCCTCACATAACATTTTACAACACATATGTACATACCTTCCATATCGTATTATGATATACCAAAAAGGTAACCTTCAACCTTAGTGACCTTGGCAAAAAATTGAAAAACAAGTACGTGCCGTACTGTCGCAAGTCGATTGAGTCGAAAAAAAAATGAAACAATGATAACTTGGAGTGTACTACTGGTACTACCGTACGTCCGGATGCGGAGGTAGAATAGAAGTAGTGCAAGATAGTACGGTAAGGTATCTTCGTTCTATTTATTTCAGTATTTTTTTATGCTACGAATTCTTCCGATGCACGGTATCTGTCTTGGTGAGGCATATAAGGTTTTGCTAATTAATACACCCACAGTACTTATCATAGTTAAGCTTTGCTCAATAAATGAGATGAAATTTTTCGTTGAACCAAATATAATAGCTCCGTAACGGGACCAATATTTAGTTCATTGAAATCTTTTGTGGGAGACGGAGGTCTCCGCAACGCACAAAAAATCATTTTGATCTCCGATCTCCGATCAACCCGAAGCAAAAACATTAACATGACAACTGCAACAACAACTTGAAGTCATTCCGCTTTCTTGGTAGTACTTCGAACCTCTTCTAATTATACGGAGGTGTCGAAAATCCCCATGTATGGTAATCACTCCTTACCGTGATGTGTTGATAACGATACTGAGGAACCGACTGACTCACTTGCAGCATCAACTAATAGAATGAATACGTGCTGAAAAAGAAATCCATCGAAAATAAAATTAATAAAAATATAATTCTGTGCTGCGTAGTACGGTAGTAATAAGGTATTATCCTTGATACGCAACCTCCTGCTTCGAGGATTTTCGACTGCAACAACCAAGTCAAATTTGACCCACTCGTACTAGTACTGACACCATTGTACGGTACTGCAGGTACTGTTACGAATAGCACTTTCTGCAGTGCATTGGTGTATCTCTTCAAATGAAAAACCAAATCTTCAACAGCGATTATATTTCATCATGATACGACACGGAAGAAGATTTTTGAGATTTTAACAATAATGTGTCTTCTTCAATCATACGAGGACTTGAATAGAATTTGTAATTCAGATGGAACATCCGTTTAGTTCACTTTTCCGCTTGACTACTACCAATCTAACGTTTCGAAGCAGCGACATTTTCGTTTGCGCGTTGTCAAACTTCGCCGTTCGCTTCGTTTTCTGCTTCTCTGGCTAGTTCCAGAACCTCGTGCAACGCATCATCGAGTGCTTCCTCCGCTTCGTGTATAAAGTCCTCGAGAGATTCTGGTATTATTTCCACATCCGACAAATTGTTTTCGGGCGTTACGCTGGTTTTGTTTCCAGGCTCGTCGCGAGCGCTTGGTCTTCTGTAATGGTCCGAATCGTCCACCTCGGGTTCGCTGGATTCCGATTGTTGGCGATTTTCCCCCGACGACTCAATGCGATTGCAATCGTGATTATGCTGCGCGTGTTCTGCATCTCCCTGTGGGATGGTGATCTTGCTAAAGCCCATCTCTGCTTTTTCGCTGTCCTGGATGTTGTCCGGAACCTCTTCGAGGTCCGCAGTGGTCCGTGAAGTTATGGAGGATCTCCTTTCGAATATCTCGGTTCTCGATGTCATTGTAACAGTCATCTGTGAGTCTGCCTCATAGTCCCCCATACCCGCTGACATCGATGGTCTCCTTGTGCTTGGGTGGGACACCGTTATGCTCGATGATATCCTTCTGATCATTCGTCGTTCTTGAACTGTCAAAGGATCGTCTCCCCCCGACTTCAGAACTTTTACGAAAGCTTGAAACCAGGAGTAATCGTCTGGAAAATTTCTTCGCAGAGATACAATGTGAGGGCGACAGTAAATGAATACGTTTAGGAAACCTTGAAGCGGGAAGAATATAGATGACAGCAGGGTGAAAGCCTTGGGAGGGGGTAGATTCGTTGCCAGAGAATAGATGCTCTGAGCCCAGACGAAACCGTAGGATAGGACGTAACAACCAACATAAAGCAGCGCTTGTGTCGTTGTTTCCCGGATTCGGGTGCTGGACCGTCTTCTGCTTGACGAAGAAATTCTCTGGCTTGGACCCGGCGACATCTCCGTTCTGGCCGATTCTGCTTTTGGTTCCGATGGGCATTCGTTCTCTCCCCGCGATGCGGTGCCATCCAAATCAATGCCGGTGTCATTCTCGTTTTCGTTTTCGTTCTTTCGCGACAACGGAACGCAGAATAGGACATCAATGAACACTGAACCGATCCTTTTCAGTCTTCTCCATACCGGAGACGAGGCATCCGATACCTCGCCTCCCCCGTGCAAGGGGAACAAGTGGCGCCTCTGTCGTCTCTCTTGTTTCTTCACCGAATAGGTGATGACCGCCATGGTGGTGCACACGATGACGAAGATGATCATGCTAGGAAAGCTCAAAAACCTGACGCGGAATTTCGATGCTCCCTCCCCGCGATTGCACTCAACACCTGGAAGGATTTCACACGTTAGCGGTGAGGGGGCGACATAACAAACTGACCCGGCATTGTTGTAGTATTGATTTGCCAGGGCATAGAAGCCGACAGAGAGACTGTAGACCAATGGAGCAGCATGGAGAAAGGGTTCGATTTTCTTGAAAGTCCTAGCCTTCATGTTCAGTGGGATGGTGCAGAAGTAGTAGATACTCAAAGAGCACAGGTAGATCGGAACTCCAATTGCTCCGATGGTGGTTAAGAATCCTTGAATAGTACATGTCGAGGTGTTTCCGATTGCGTATGGTACTGGAGGCTCCACATCCTTTGGGCTCAGGAAGATAGAAGAAGTCAAACCCAAAGATTGGAACACATCGAAGACACTCGTCCCGAAGATTATACGCCTGTATGGGAGGCTCAGCTTCTTTCTCGAGCGCAAGATCGTGGCAATCAACAAGCACGATCCAACGAGAGACAGAGTCCCGGTTGTAATGGATAGGGAAAACAAGAGCTCCGGCTTAATCGCCATCTTGCAACGAGATTTTCAGGGATAGTTTTGTTTTCGGAGATGCTGGTTGTACAAGGAGCCAGAGATGAGGAAATGATAATTCTGCAGAATTGTGTACGGTGTGAACCAGGGTCTCCGAATTTTTTTGGTCCCACAGGTAATAAACGTATTGGGCTGTTTAGGTTAGTGCGTACCGTAGTCGACTCCCCAACCAAAGATAGTGAGAATAGTAAAGAGACTGATATTTTGAAATAAATATCGCGGAATACGAACGGATATATATGCCTTTCTTAAGGATTCTGATTTTGGGTTAAAAAGATGAATTTTTTTATCATTATATTTGTTTGATAGAGAAAATATGTCACAATTGAAGTTCAAGCAGAAAAGGGAATGAGAGTAATGACATTAGGGAAATGTCGCACGAAAACAAATACTTACCAGAAACAGAAAAGAATGTCTGAATCTTGATGCGGATGCGATAGGAGACCAACGACAGCCCTGCGTCGGCTTCTTTGGTTCCAATATCATTGAAGAAATTGACAATCGATAATGATATGATGACTATCATTTACGGCACGATATTCAACTACTCTCGAACAAATCTGATGTACAACTATCTTTCATGTTTATAAATTTACTAGTCCCGTATTTAATCGGATGACAGATGTAAATTGTCTTCTTGCACTAGAGTTCTTCTTTGAAACCTTTCAAAAACGGTCTTTGTCTTACCTGTTATGTAGAAATAGAACCCCAGTCATTGAGATTCTCTCGATTGGATGATCAGAGTACGTCATTCTGAGTCAGAAGAATCATAGGTTTTTTTACTTATGTTGCACCGGATTCTTCTTAATTACCTTATGTAAACCGTTTGATAATGTGAGAGGGCAAGACAGCCCCTACCTCAGTATGAAAATACGGGCACAGTCGAACAGCCCCGCGCGGTGAAGAATCCAGAACTGTACGCTGAGCTACGTACTTCTAGTGAATACGATAATCTTCGTAGAAAATAGTACATTTGTACCTTAGATACTACCAGGTACCGTACCGTGGTACGATGCAGAAATAATGGGCATCTGCCTTCTCACAATGTGTAGTACATACGGTACCATTTCGTCATGACATAGCACGACAAGTACGAGTACTTTACGTACTGGTACTGCAAGTGCTGCTAGAACAGCTCAGTGGAACTCGTGTAGAACTGTAGTACAATATACAATAATCTCTGTAGTAAATACAAACATTAATTCATACCGTAGCAATTGTACGGTACCGTACCGTAGATACCATGCCGAAAGAATGGGCATCTGCCTCGAGCGAGACCATGAGTAGTACATAGTCGTACGGTACCGTACATACTCGTACTCGTACAACGTCTTCGTGTCTCGACATTGCAAAAAAAGGGTAAGTGCTGCTGGCGTGCGGAGTTCCAACGATTTAACTTCGAATTCAATGGTGCAAATGCGGGGATACCACCGACAGGAATAGCACGTACGCTACGAACCTCCTCGTACAGTGTTGTAGGCACTCGGACTCGTAGTTCGCGCTCGAGGGACAATACCAATACTCGTACTTCTACTTTGCTGGCAGTACGTAACAGGGCTTATGTATCGTGCGTAGTGCTGTTGTTGTCACAACAGTCGGCAGACTCGACTGGTGAGGAATTGTGCGGTGGCAGCTGGCCAACCCGTCAAAAGTGCTAGCGAGTAAGCTCTCCGGTCTTCGATCGTACGTACCAGTACTGGTACTACGTACTGTATGTTTCATTCATGGTAGCTAATTGATTGTTGGTGATTCACTAGATATTCGGGATTCACGATCTTCCGTATTCTAGCGTATCCTCACGGTCCCAACCCAGAATGCAATGTTTTTGGGTCGGTGTTGTGCCGTCTGCATGCCGTGCCAGCAACGCAACTCTTGGGACCATAGCATACGGTATTTACAGTGCTTGCGGTAGTACCAGGCCCTTGGATGGATGGATTTGATTTGATTTGATTTGATTTGATTTGATTTGATTTGATTCGCTGTTCTTTCTTCCCATTGGAGGAGAACGAACGAATCATCAATCCAATCGTGTCCTTGCACTTCGATACGTTATGTACGTACAGTAATATACTACAGGAATACACAAGGACACACCAAAGAAGCAGCATCATCAGCGAAAAAAATCGCAGGCGAAAGAAACAGAATCCAAAAAATAGATGTGCTTCCACGTACTACGATATGGCAACACTCGTATTGAATTTGAATCGAAGCACGCCAATCAATTCGCTGTCCCTTGCTTCTCCGAGCGGTGCGCGCAAGAAATGGCTCAACGAACAGCGGTAGATACGAAGAGGTGCGAAACGAAATTTCTTTCGAACGGACGCTTTGTCCGGATTCCGGACAGGGGAACCCAGATGGTTTCCGTTCCGTTCGTTCCGTTGGTGGATTCCGGTGTGCGGAATGCGGTGCAACGCCTCGCGCCGTGGTCACGGATTCGGAAACCAACCAATGAAGCACCCCGCCCCACCCCGATCGATGGATGGATCTGTTTGCGTTTCACACACGAGACCAACCACGAAAAAACGATCCCATCGCAAGGCACCGCGATCCGCGGTGGACGATCCACTGCCAACCGCCAACTGCCCTCCACCTGCTCCGTTCCCCGGTGACGCGCGGTGCAAACCGATCCTCCTGGATCAAAATCGGAGTATCAAAAACAAATTGTGGTGGGTCCATACGAGTACAAGCACGGGTACGCTAGCTACTCCAATAGCACTCCGGTGCTCCGGTACGGCTGCCACAGCTGCGACAGTCACAAGAAGCAAATGTTCGAAGGCGTCGACGCTGCCAATCCAATTTTTCGAACGCAGCAGTGGCAGGTCCGGTTCCCTTTCGTTTCGTTCCCTTTCGATCCGTTCCGTCCCGCCATTGGACACCCCCCACACACGGCTCACGGACAAGCAAGCGATGCCATTCGAGTAGGAGAACTCGTACCATATCTTTTGTTTGGGATCCGTACGTCTAGTCTCGCCTGCTTGGTTAAGTGTGATTTGATATTGATATTGATATTGATATTGATATTGATAGTGGATACTTCTATTTGCTAGGGCAAGACTTTCCAATCGGCACGGTAGATTCATAGTGTTGTCGCTTGAATCGATGAAGTGAAGAGAAGCGAAGCGAAGCGAAGTAAAAAAGTACTCAAAAGCAAACAGAAGAGAAGCTAAGTGAAGTGAGAAGTAGCACAGTGAAGTAATCAGAAGCGAAGCGAAGTGAAGCGAAGTGAAGTGAGGAGAAAAAGTACAGAGAAGGAAAGGAAAGGAAAGGAAAGGAAAGGAAAGGAAAGGAAAGGAAAGGAACCGATCGATCGATCCATCGATCCATCGATTGGTTGTACCGCGATTGTGTTGAAGCGTCCTTCTCGATGCCATGGGAATGCTAGTGCTGCGTACAACACCGACGAAACACACGCACCATTGATTCCACGCCGATTCCGCCACGCCGAATTGATTCGATTCAATTCCATCCGCAACCAATTTCATCGCCCGCTGGACCATCCACCAAACCATCCATTGCTCGAGTGATTCCTTCGTCTCCAAAGACCGAGTCGATCGATCCACCGCGAGAAGAACAAACCCTGCACGGCCGCTTCGCAACGAACCGCAACCAGACGAGAACAGTTCGGACCACTCGTACTGTTCACGGAACTCTCCTGGTGACTTTTTTGCACCTCTTCTTGCACCTTCTGTGCTTGTTTCTCGGGCATGTCGCCCCCTTCCGCAGCCCCGGCATCCGCGGAACACCGCCGTTCCGCATCTTTGCCGCCGTCTTCTGCTTTGCACACGCAATCGCTGCAATCGTCGTCTCCGTCTCCGTCTTCTGCCAACATTAACGGCAACCACAACCGCAACCACAACAGCAACAGCAACGTCAAGACCACACCCAAGGCGTTTCCGAGACGAAGAAACGGCCCCGCCCGGGGGCACCACCGCGTCGAATCCCGGGACGAGGAATACTACTCGCGCTGCTTCGACGACGACCAGGACGCCCCGGACCAAACGGACGAGGAAGACTCCCACCACCACCAGGAATTCGCGGAGCAGACAGGGCACGGCAACGAGCATCCACACCAGCATCCGCATCCGCATCGTTCGCTCGCAGAGGACCTCCAGAACCACTGCCCAAGGAAACCACAAGCACCCACCGTCGCCAACAAGGATACCGGTGGGGCATCGTCAGTGCCATCGTCAGTGCCATCGTCAGTGCCATCATCGGCGCTAGAAGCAAAACCTGAAGCAGAACTTGAAACACCAGCAGCACCACCAGGAGCAGCCTTGCCATCGGCAGTGCCAGATCCCCGGCCGCAGTCCCCACCAGGACCGCAACGGCTGGCAACAACAACAGCAACCACAACAGCAACCACAAGACTGGGACAACCCACCCGGACGCACTTGGTGGAACAGCAGCCCTTCTTCGTCCTGGATTGGATGCTGGACGATCTCTTGCCCGCGGTTGGGGACGGCGAAAGCGGTGAGAACGCTCGCAACCTTGTCGCGGAGCTCCTCAAGCAGAAACAACACGGGCCCAGACATCAGCAGCAGAAAGAGAAGCAGAACCAGAAACTGAAACAGAAACTGAAACAGAAACAGAAGCAACGCAGAGTCCCCGCACCGAGCTACGCCGGTCGGAGGGGAAGGCCCTTTGCAAATCCAAACGCAACCGCAATGGAAGACGCAACTCCAATCGATGGTAACGACGACAACGACGACGACGACGTCGACACCCCACCGAACCCTCCGGGCCATCCTCCCTGCGAAACCACCAACGAAGCTGCTTCGCCGGTTCCCCCTCCCCTTTCGGACCTTCCAACGACCCCCAAGTCGAGCAATCGCAGGGCCTGCCGCATCCGCCAGCTGGAATTCGCGGGGCAAACGAAGGACGGGGAAGACGGCTCGAGAAGCGCCGCAGGAGAACACCAGGACCGCTACTGCGAAGGTCCCGTGGTTCCACTCAACCTGGAAGGCCTGCTGCTCGGCGAATGCAAATGCGAATGCGAGGCGCTGTCGAAGGAGCCACCACGGGGTGCTGGGGATCGCGGGAGCGACCCGGGGGAAAGGAAGACGGACACGGACAGAGACCCCGCAAGAAGGGACGCCGTTTCCGAAAAGGCTTCTTCGCTCTGGAGGAACGGACATGCAGAGGCAGCACTTCCTCCACCGGTGCTGCTCCCCCGAACGGCGTCGTCGGCTCCTCCGTCGCCCCTGTGGAACACCGGGAACGGCAACAGCTACGGCAAAAGCTACAACCATCGCAAGACAGCTGCCCCTGGCTCCGGAGAAGCGCAGCAAGGACAACTGCAAATGCAAATGCAAATGCAACCACAACCACAACCACAACCCTACGGATGCCACACCTCGCCGCCCACCCGAAAGTTCGCCTCGTGCCCGCAGCTCTCGGTGCACGAGGAGCAGCAGCGGCTCCGCCGGAAGGAGCAGGTCGATAAGCGGAGGGAACGCCGGAACAAGCTCACCATCGTGCAGCGTTCCCTCACGCTGGCCAAGGGCTGGAACACCAAGGGGCTGGCCCTGGCCCAGAGGGCCACCTCCCTCCCCCCCGAGCAGGGACCGAACCAGAATCAGAACCAGCAACAGCAACAGAACCACCCCTCGGGCGAAGCGCACGCGAACGCCGGTGCGATTCCGCATCCGGGGGAAGGAGCACGCCGAGGGGACGACCGCTCCCTGGCGATCGGAACCCCCCCTGCTCTGCTGCACGCTTCTGGTGCCACTCCGTGTCGAAGCCGCAACGAGGCCTCGGGCAACGACCACCAACAGCCGCAGCAGCACCAGCAACATCAACATCAACAGCTGTGGGAATCCGCCCTGGGCTGCTGGGACAATGCCCTCGAGGTGTACCGGTCCCTCCTCGGAGACTCCCACGAGAAGGTCGCCGACGTACAGAACAACCGGGGGATCGCCCTCGGCAAGCTCAAGCGGTTCGGCGAGGCAAACCTGGCCCTGGAAATGGCACTCGCGTCCCGGACCAAGCAACAGAAGCACTGCCGCTCGCAGCTCGAGGCGCTCCAGCAACAACAACAACAACAACAACAACAGCTGCTGCTGCTGCCCCGGCGACAGGCATCGTTGTCCGGCAAAACGAATCCGGATTCGATTCAAAACCCGACCGAAGGTGCCCTCGGTGCCGCCGCCGAACGCTCGGCGTCCGCGACCGCGGCGATTGTGTCCACTCTCCACAACCACGCCAACGTCCACCGGGACGCATCGGAGCCGGTCCGGGCACTCGAGGCCCTGGCAAAGGCAAAGGCACTCCTCCGGATGGAAGACGAGCGGGAGGCCTCCCTATGGGGACCGGGTACCACCAGCGTCCGCCACTGCGAAAGAGATGGCGAAGGCAACGCCCCCGGTCCCCCCCTTCGCAAGGACGAATTCCACCGACGCTACCGTCTACGTTGCTGCCACCGGTGGCACCAATCGGCACGCCTGAGCACAACGATCGGCCACGTCTACTACGAATCGGAATCCTGGAGGGACGCGGGGGATGCCTACAGGGACGCCCTCTCCGTCTACGACCAACTCTCGGAAGCCCTGGCGGTCTCGGTTTCGCTGGAAGTGCAGTGCCCTGGCTACTGCGAGGGCCCGGTCGACTCCGATGGGCACGGTGGGGTCCACCGGGCAGAGCAGCAACAGCGCATGTTGGTTCTGCAGCAGCAGCGCCAATCGATTCGGATGGAGGTCTCCATGCTGGAGGACGACCTCTGCGACCTCGATCGCCGCCAACAAGCGGGGGAAGGGAGCCGCACCCTTGTGCTCCAATCGCGGCAAAAGGAGCACCGGCCAAAGCAAGAACAACAACAACAGCAGCAGCAGCATCGAGCGCTGCTGCTGGGCTTTGTGAGCCACCTCCGCGCCTGAGAACGAGCGGGCGTGTCTGGCTCTGCAACAAACTAATTGCATTCCGGGAAATCGTTGACCCGCCGTCTCGCCGACGCTCCCCGCGTGCGTTGGGTAGGGGAAGAATTCCATCGAGTCGCACCGGAGAACAACACAACACAACACAACTCAATACAGTATAGAACCATTGCAACGACATGGAATTTATGGGGAACGAAGAACACAACGCACAACGCACAACACACAGACGCATAAATTACATATATAATTTACAAGCATACATAGATAAACCAATGGCAACATTATGTCCTGAACAATCTTATTCTGATTGCATGATACAACAGACCGTGCTCTCTCATCCCTCTTCCTGCGCTCGGCATCCCAGGAACCCACAACTCCCTTTGTGTCAAACCACAGGGGAGGATGGGGGAATCTTGTGTTTGAGTTGCGCTCCTCCTGGACGATCGGAACGCCACCGCAAGTGTTTCTGCGATGAGAGACACCGGGATCGCAAGCACGTCTACCACATACAGTACCAGACATCGCTCCCGTCATGAACCGGTAGGTGCGTACCGGTATGGTACGGCAAGAAATCTTAGCCGGAATCTATGTTCCTCAGAGTCGCTTCTTGCAAACTCACCTACGTACCTTACCTTTGTAATTCGTAGTACGCATGTACTCGGTCAAAAGTCGGACGACACGGGATTGATACCCGAACACTTGATACATTCTTTCCAATCCTTTTCAATGGTTTACAACTGCGTATCTAATACTTTTATTAGCATTATGCATTATACATCATTGCCATTACCTAGATTTTTTGCTTTGTTCGAATACTGGTGTCACAGGTCGCATCCCTCCAGCCGGAAGGAATCTGCCGCTAGGGGTTTCAGAGGCGTCGAGTCATTCTGGTCCGTCTTGGCGAACAGAACCACCGCGTAATCGCTGCCACGCCCTGCCAGATTTTGGGTCGGCATCTGGAAACCACCCCGGGACGTCCAGGTGTGACAGGTGGAACTTCCGCACGACAAAGACTCCTCGAGAGGAGAGTCGACGACGTCTTCGTCGATGACAAACGAATAGGGTTCGTTCTCGTCCACGTCTTCGGCTGCGTACAACCGGATGGTGATGTCCGTCCATCCCTCGTGCACGTGATCGTAGGTAACAACCAGGGTTTCGCCCACGCTGTCGTAGCACATCTTGTCGACCCAAATCTTGGTTTGCCCGTCCGGCGGCTCCTGGTAGGGCTTTGGCGGCGCCCTCGATGGGGAAGGTGAGGGCGGAGGCGTGTGGTCTTCCACGGCAAAGTGGCTTGCACCTTCGGATCGGGGGCGAAACGTACAGACCCGGTCCTTGGGACAGAGAGTGTTCGGCCTTGGTTTGAGGTGGTTGTGGCCGTGATCGATCAACAGATTGAGGACGTCCCGGAAATCCGTCAGGAATCCACGGGCGTCGGAGTTGTATTTTTTGACGAACGGTAAGAAGGGTGTGGCTTTATCTTCGTCGTTTGTGGGGGGACAATCCTTCAACAAACCAAAGCCTGGCCCGGCACATCCAACGCTTCCGCTAGCGTCCATGTCCGGAAGGTTTTTCACTAGCGAGACATCAACGTTGAGCATGGCGACGGTCCTCTGTTCTCCTCCGCCTGACCCATCGTGCGATGGAAGAATCCCCCTCCATTGGTGCCTGGTAGGAATGTTCGGCAAGTCTTGGTTGTCTACGGTCTCGATAAAGTAGTCAGGTGGATCGCCAACTAGGTTTAACCAGTATCCACTGTCCAGGGAGCTGATGGAAAGGTCCCAGGCCCCGCGAAACCCAACGTTTTCTCGGGCCATTTTCCCTACCGAGTGGGCACCCATGAGGGCTGTGGCTTGCTGCGCATCGAAACCGAATTCCTCCTCGAATAGTTTTTGGATGGACTTCGTGCCTATGAGTCCATGCGGTTGGTCCACGTGGGGCCCACGCTTCGCCGAGCACTCAGTGGGGCTTCCAAAAAAATCGACTCCACAGGGGGGGGCGACGCCGGTGGCGGCAACCTTTGCGAACTGAAGCTCACAGGTTTGTCGCCCGATCCAATGCATCGGAAAAAGCAAATCACTGTTCTCGAAGGGAAGTGCCAGTTCGCTAGCAACCAAGGCAGACAGCATCCAGACGTCAGTTCGGGACAGCCCCTGCCCTTCAAATTCTTGCACAACCGGCAGCAATGCGTCGATGGGTTTGTCCAAGCCATTGTTTTCGGGATTGGTCATGTCAACACATCCGTTACACCCTCCAACGCAGTCATGAAAGACCAATCGAAGGAACTACAATGCGATGCAGTCAAGAATAATGTAGGAAATTGAAGTGGTAAGAATGATTCCACTCTCATTGAACCGAGCCGAATCGTATCACGTCACATCACGATGAATACCGTGCAATGATGTCTGCTCAAGCACTACGAAGGAAAACAACATTCGGCTTACCTTTCCGATCAAATCGTCATCGTCGAATATCATCAATTCGATTTGTCGTCTTGCTCTTTTGAGGACGTCATTGATGGCATCCATGTCTTCAATTACAGAAATCGGAAAAATGGGAGGCGGTGTTCTAGGCACCGTGGGAGACGCCGTAGGGGGCATGACGGGCATTGCAGTTGGTGAGCTAGTAGGCGATGCTGTCGGCAACGAAGTGAGAGAAAGCATCGAAGCAGTTGGCGACGAAGTCGTAGGGGTATTGGTCGACAATAAAGCCGACGCAAATGGAGCTTCCGACGGGGACAGTGAAGAAGACGTTGTTTGGTTTCCAACGTAATCATAAATAGCAGATCCGTCTTGGATGACGGCATCCGCTTGCCCTTCGCTACTAGGGGACGATGTTCGGTATGTCTGCGGTGACAGAGTGGGAGAAAGCGTAGGCGATGAGGTAGTGATAGAATCGTCAAAGACAGAGTCCATCTCTACAGGAGCACCCGATGGTGACAACGAAACACGCATTGTTTGATTGTTCGCATTTTCGACGTTCGAGCTGTTATTGCTTGAAAGGCTTGAAAGGCTTCCATCGCTTGCACTATCCAGGGCGTCGTCTCCAACCATGTTGATTGGGTTCTGATTATCGTCAACGACATTCTCGCCAGCGAAAAGTTCGTCGGTAAAAGTCCAATCATCCCCGACGCTTTCATTGTCGAGATCATTCGCATTTGCGTTTCCCTCTTCGCTAACGATTGGATCATCATTCGTGCTAGAAGAAGGTTGAGAAACACTGCTGCTATCGCTGTCGCTAACATCATCAAACCACAAACCCGCCTCGTTTAGCCATTCTTGGGTGCGCTCTTCTTCGGTGGTGCTTTCTCTATCCGCAAATCCGACATTGGTTCGTCCTGGAAAGGAACTGCTTCCGTCCCCAGCGATACCAAATGTGCTGTCCTGGTTCTTGTTGTCCTTTGCTTCGTAGGAATAGTAGAAGTCATCGTCGGTGTTCGTGTCGCCCATTGAGCCATCACGTCCAACCCTAGTAATCTTGTGCAGGACAAAAAAGGCCGCTACACCAAACAAAACCCCGACTAAGACGCCGAGAATAGCAAGGTGATCTCTGCGAAGACCTCTTCCGCTGCCACAACGACGACGACGACGATTGGAATTGTTGCCATGGCTGTTACCGTTGCGTTTGCCGCTCTCTAGGTCTTCGTCGCTCGCGTCGCAATCACGAGATTGGTGATAGTTGTCCACCACGCTGCCAAGGTGATGTAAACCGTCACTGTGCTCACTGCCGTTTTGGCTGCTAGTGGTGCTTACGGTTTCCACGTGCAGCGAGATGGGTAGTTTGGCCACAGGGCTGTTGCTGCTGCTGTTTTCATATGGCATGGAATGCTTTTGAGTTGATTTTTGCGACGGAGGCGAAGACGAGAGGACCAACACCTCAAAGATTTCTTCGCTGTTGTCACCTTCGAGATGGTCTGTGTCTCCCGGTGGAATAGTCTTCTTGGAACCTACAACCACGACAGGATTTGAGGCCATGTCTTGATCGGATGATTCTGGCTGATTCATTCCGAGGCGCGTTCGGATTGAATTCCACAAGGACGGAACAACGGCATCATTCCTTTTGCTTGTGCTGCATTCTTTTTCTTCCAGGGCGTTGGTTTCATCTTCGGGTGGACTCTTGGTGGAGGCATCTTTCATACCGTCAGCTTCTGCTTCCGGTTCCCCTTCCAACAGCTCGATTTCGATTCCCAACTGGTGATCGACGCGATTGTTGGTACTGCTGTCACTGCCGTCGGCTTTGTAGCTAGCGCTATCTCCATCGTTGGTCCGGCGGGGGGTCATGGTGGCAGTCGCGGACGGTGACGGCCTCAATTCCAGCCATGTAGCTGCTGCTTCTGCCGCTTCATCGTTGCGTGAACTGCCATCGCGGTTCGAAACTTTGGCGCCCCTGTTGTGGTTCGTGGTTGTGTTTGACGCGCTGTATGTGCTTCGGTGGGAACCTTCCTGCGAGGGTGGGCTTTCGAGCTCCGATTCGGAGTCTAGGGTTGGCAGGTGTGTGTGCTTTGGAGACTCTTCGTCCTCCGTGACTTCCTCCAGTACCGGCATGCTGTGGAGGCTGCGGGTGTATCGGCTATCGTCAATGTTGTCGCAAATATCGTCGGCCTCCTCTGCTTCGTCGTCGTCATTATTTCTGTCGGTATCTGTGATGACAGTGAGACCAGAAAAAGGAAGCAACGGGCGCTTGGGATCGCTGCTACCTTTACTGGCAGCATCGCTGGTGGTGGTTTTCATACCTGCATTCGATGGTGGAGGCGTAGACATCGGAATTGGAGCGTAAGACGATTGGCTCTTCCCGAGGCGGAATTGAAAGGAATCCCACCAGGACGAGAGGGCGGAATCTCCGCCTTTCGTGTTCACCTTGTTGTAGGGGATGCTTTCATCTTCCGGAGTAGCGGGAGCGACGGAGGTGACAGAAGGGGTGGCAGGAGACATTGGAACCATGCCGAGGCGGGGCTTTTCCGTCTCCGTCTCCCTGTTCCTATCCTTGCCGTAGTTGCTGTTGCTGTTGCTGTTGCTGTTTCTATCGATCTCTTGATAGGTGATTGTTCCATCGCTACCAATGGTGGCAATTCTCTCGGGTGCAACAACCATGTCACCTTTTGCAGCAGGAACAATAGCATGAGCACCATCCTCCCCGCTGCGGATGCCGTTGTGCAGAACGATTGCGTTTGCGTAGCTGTCGCCGAGCGCCGTCGAGACGCTATAGGTCCCGTCGCTGTGGACCGTTGCCACCCTAGACAAGGGCCGCAGTGACTCTTCGTTATACTCTTGGGTTGGAACCCGTTCAATGTCCATGTAGATGCTGTCGATGTCGCCCATTCCGTTTGACTTGGAATTTTCGTTTCGATTCCCGCCAGAGTCGTCGTTACTACACTCGTACTCGGTGATATCGTTGGCCTTTCGAATGGCGATCATTCCATCGCTCTGGATGGTGCCGATAGCCGTAGCAGGCCTATGATTTTGAATCGAAGCGAGTGCTTTCTCTTGTGTTCCATGGCTCTGAACGACAGATCGTAGTTCCATGGTATTCCGCAGTTGATAGTTTTCGTTTTCTTTAGTGTTCGTGTGGGCAAACACGACGCTGTTGCTCTTCTTTGCGGCATCGTTGCTCCTGTAGTAGGTATTCCCGTGACCGTGCTTCACGCTCTTCTTCATGCGCACCGCCAGGGGAGAGGAATCGGGCTTGGAGGAGAGAGGGAGGGAGTCCATGTGCTGGAGCTGCTTCAACTTGTTGGCGTACGAGCGCTGCTGTGTGGTTTTGTTCGTTCGATCGTCGAGGGCGAGAATGAGAGCGTCCTCGTCGATCGTGTCATCGTCCTCGTCGTGGCTGTTGCTATTGCTGCTGCAGCTCGTGTCCTCTACGGTGGATGCCATGGAATCCAATGGCTGCAGGCCAAGGTGGGAATTCAGGCTTTTGGAACGAGCAGGAGGACTGATATCGTCGGGGTTGTAGTAGTTCATGTCGGCGTCCGAGCCCAGTAGGAGATCGTCGTTCACCGAATCGGAAATCCCGTCGTCCAAGTCGTCCAACGCGTTCCACCGATAGATGGCACTTGTCCCGGCCGGAATCATTTTTTCTCTCTCTCTCTCTCTCGGCTACGCGATGGGTGATCGGTGATCGAGGGCGTAAATTCGTTCGTTGGTTGATTGGCTGGTTCGTTGCTTGCAGTGGCAGAGATTGCACCGGTGTCTTTCGATCGAATCCGATTCCCTTGGCTACTGTGTATCGCTTTTGCCTTGCTTCGATTTGATTCCGTGTTGTTTGGTTGTTTATGATCAATACTTTATGTCGAAAAGAATTATTTGAAAAGAATGAGTGCGGTTGTGATGCCTAGTAGAGGTGTTAGTAACTACTATTACAGTATGGGTTATATCTGCAGTCGTGTAAGTGAAGGTTTATGTGCCGGTTCGTTGTACAAAAGCATCCTGTCGATCGTGTAGACTTTGTGGAAAGTATGTGCCTTCCTCGCCAACCCTTTACGATACAGTTGAATGTACTTTTCTCGGAGGGAGTTGAGGCGGCGCAGGCGTTTGGAAAGTGGCACCTTCCGAATTTTGAAAATTTAAAAATCGAAAACCCGCTTTGGGTGAGATTAGATCAAAGATTGCGAGTAGGAGGTACGAGTACAAGGTACTCGAACGTACTACTCATAATACCCGGAACAGGCATATGAAGAGTTGCTGTAAATAGAGCTATTTATATCTAGAGTAGTACACATGATACGTGGAAATAGCACTGATGGTACAGTACTTGAACCTTCTATTTCGCGAGCCGGCAGCATTCGGGTGGGATCGTAAAATTAAAGTTGTGAATGTTATTATTATAACTTTGAAATAACGTAGTAAAGTGTACCAAACATACGTCCGATTGGTCTAGAGGCATGATTCCTGCTTTGGGTGCAGGAGGTCCCGGGTTCGATTCCCGGATCGGACCTATTTGTTTTTTGTTCACTGCCTCCCTCCTTGCTTTATTTGTTTGTGAAAGAAAAGTGAGCAGATGTCGATGGTGGAAGTATCGTGCAAAAAAGAATTTGTCTGACATTTTGTTAGAATCACCACATTGTAGCACACGGGCAACAAACAATGAATGCCACAAAGGAGATATGTTGGACAATTCTTTCTTTTCTCCACCCTTCCCAGATCTCCTCCCATGGCCCATGATGTTAGCTGCACAACTAGTACTACTAGCTACTAGACAAAACAACCTCTGGACTACAGTGAAGACAACACCACTGCTGTACATGGGTTTGATGCAAGACTGCTGGTTGATTTTCCCTCTGTCATTGAAATTTGTTCATCTTGCTCCTCCTGCATCACAATTTCTCCTTTTGTGTAGTAGTAGTAGGAAAAGTGATTTGCAGCAGCAGTAGCTTTTACAGGAAGAATGGGATATCTATTTGCCCATTATTATTCCTCTTTGTTTCATTCTTACAGGGCTCCAAAATAATTCTCTTTGGTGGTGGTGCATGTTTTCCCAGCATTTATAAAGTTTTTACTAGTACACTAGTAGTAGCAGGAAGAAAGTTGGGTAACAAGCTATTTAGTAGGTGTGATATCCTTATGTAGTAGCACCAACAGCTCATTTCCCATACTGAAGGATTTCCTACTACTGATTTCTTTTACTGATCCAGGGGTACCATATAGTTTTGCTTTGTACCAGCCCTCCTAGTGCAGTACTGGTAGTCACATTCTGTTGCCTACTAGTATGAGCCATAATAAATAAATTGATCCTCACATGGTACTACTCCATTTTAAAAAGTGGATTGCACAGAAACTTCTACTGCTGCTGGCTAGTAGTAGTATGGAATGTGAAGTAGTCCTACTACAAGTTACCAGTTTGACTGATGAATCCTTCTTTATTGTAGGATGTGCTTTGAATTGAGCTCATTTTGTAGTTGTGACTTGTTGTTTAGTAGGCTTCTTACTCCTCCTGCTGTGGCATGTGTAATCATAATAGTAGTAAGAATTACTTTCAATAGGAACCCCCTTAGTACCCACCAGCAGTGTGACCAACACACTCATTCTTTGTGTTCAAAATTTGTAGGTCTTTGTCTGGTGATAGTATTTAGTTGCAGAGACACTAGACAATGTTAAAAGTACCCTCCTATTGTGTTACTAGTTCAAATGTCATTTTACTAGTAGTACTGATGGTCTTTAGTGAACATTTTTTTAATGTACAAATTAAAAAAATTAAATGAAAATTTCAAATTTTTCACAGGTTCAATTTTCTCATGGGCATAGTGGTAGTAGTAATAGAAGCACTACAAGTGGTGGAAACAAACTATTGTGGATAAGGTAGAAACTACTACTACTACTAAGAAGAAGAAAGTTGTTTGGAGTCTATGAGAAAACGATTCTGGCAAGTGTCACCAAGGCAACACTTGCCTCTGTCTCCAACACCCGCCCAATTACCCAGTACTTTACATCATTGCCACATAGTAAGCAACCACAACCGGAGAGCGTCACACAAGATTCACTGGTCTTTGACGCCTACTCCAAAAAGARGCGACACAAACAACCTGCCGTGCCAGAGACTTCTTTGGCTCCTCCTGTCMATTCTTCCAGTTTACKTCAAACCAAGCTCAGTCAATACTTTCAATTCCAGTGAAACAAACCCCTGGTCGCACTTCMAYTAACACTCCTCGGAGGGAAGTGCCGCCCCTCGGAGCAGCTAGTAGCATTCTTTCTAACGAAAGCTATGGTTCTGGCCATGTATAGTGCCTCTTCTAGTAGCTCACAAGGTTAAATATAATATTAAGATTTTTTTTAAGAAGAAGAAAGTTGTAGTAATTTCATAGAAGTAGTAGTGTACTTCTTGTCATTCCTCAGGCCTATTTTGAGGATTATGATGCAATCATGTTCTGTAGTAATTTACTACTAGGACTACTACTACTAGTCTTTCCCTAGTCATATTTTATTAGTAGAATTATGATGTGATTTTGAAAGTTGAAATAACACCACACACCATAACTACTACTAGTATGAATGAAGCAAGAATATTTTTTGTACAAGCAAATAAGTATGAATTATTGTATCATTTTTCCTCCAGGAGAAAGAGGGGGAATCCATGATGAAATTTCCACCAGTACTTTTTCCTTCAGGCATAAAGGGTCAACAAATGGATGATTCATATTGTTCTTCTAAATCATCTATTATTATTGACAGGCATACCATAAAAGAAATAGATTATCTAACTCAAAGCTAATTATTGTGAAATGGGTTTCCCCCCCCCCATTCTACCACATAACACCTAACCCTTGTGGTAAAGTGGAGTTCACAAATTAAAAAATTAGTGCATGATTCCATATTTTCTTCAAATGCACAGGAAGCATATGCCTACTACTAGTACTAATAGTAGTCTTGATGGCCTTTGCTATCAAGATTGCTTGTGTGCTAGAAGTGCACTCCTTAAGTCTATCTTTCGAAAAAGTGGTTCTTGTTGTTTCTCTTGCCCAATTGTTGCAAGGAACTAGTTGAGACTTTCCATACTTTAAACATATTAGTAGCATAACAGTAATTTCCAAGCACCTGCCTCTACTAATATTATGACACAACCAAAGAATATCTCAATAGTCAGCAGAAAGCTGTTGTGGATTATGACCTGTAGTACCAGTAGGCAAAACAACTAATTTTGTAGTAATTTGTTCTAGTGTTGTGGTAGTTTTAGTTTCTATTTTGGGCTGCACTCATTTCTTTATCACAGATTATCAGACTATATTTTCACTGATTTCCAACTAGTAGTACTATTGATATTCCTTTTTTACAAAGAAGTAGTAGTACTACAACAGAGCAATAGGATATAGTAACCAGCTACTACTACTAGTAATTTAAGAACACCAGTGTTCTGTAAAACTGCTAGCCATAGTAGTACTAGTAGTGGTCCTGGCAAGTATGCAGAAATCATGTATTTTGAAGTTGCACTTTGTAGCTACTACTATTGTCTTGCAGGGTTGGTAGGAGATGCAATTGCAATCCACCACCAAAGCTTCAATATGATTTTTGTAGTTGATAGCACACCCACACTAACCCAATAGGACACCATCATTACTAAAAACACCAATAAAAGTGATAGGGATTTTACAGCACTACTACTATTTCCTCTACTATCATATTTTTTACTACTAGATCAACAACATACTATTATCATGCTCATCAGCCAATACTCAGAAGGCAACATCCTCCCATAGTACCACCACTAGGGGGCTAGCACAACTAGTAGTGGTAGCAGCCCTGTTCAAAAACTGCTTATACTAGTAGTACTGGGAGAAAGCAGAGAAATGGATTACCTCTTGTTCCTTCTTCCCTGAATCTTGATGATCTACCTTGCAATTGTAGATGGCAATTTGGTTTTAACCAATCTAGTACTACTACTTAAACTCTTGTCTGCAACAGGTAGAGTTCTTGTTACAAGGAAAGTTTGGTTTGGTTACTGGTCAAAGACAAGAACTGCCAGTACTGGTACTACCCATCCATGCCTTCTTGGCACACAACCAAAAATGATTATCTCCCAATTCTTCTAATTTGACAGAAGTACAATTCATTGCATTTGAAAGCAACAATGGTAGTACTAATAGCACAACAAAATATATTTAGTACACAGAGCATGGAAATTCTAAGCAAGTACTGTTGTCATGGAAATTCTAAGCAAGTACTGTTGTTGAGGATACTCCTAGTAGTACTAATAGATACTAGATCTAGTAATACTGCTGGTGGTACTAGGAGAAGAGAATTGAACAAAATGATTCCATAGAACTGGTTCTGCTAGTTCCTGCAAAGGTGCAGTACTATCATCATATTTGGTACATTGGAAAGAGATCAATGCTTCCCAATTCTATGTTGCATCTCTTGAAGAACTCGGTCATAATAAAGAACAAAATTGAATCCATTGATGCTGGATACCAATCTATCTAGAATCCCTCTTGCACTAGCTACTACTACTACTACTAGTCAATTGCAAATACTATGTAGCAAATAGCACCACCAGTAACAACCTACCAAATGTTCCCACCACATGCCACCAGCAGAAGTGTTTGTGGTTGGTAATAATAGTACTGATGGCAGGTGCATGTCTGCTCCTTTTCAACCTCAAATTGTCATGACATTGTTAAGAAATTTCAGAGACTGCTGCTGATTCTTTTCTGTCTGCAACCTACAAAGACTGTCTGCAAGCCACTACTACCACTACTACTACTCATAGTAGTACTAGTAGTACTACTCATGTGAAATTATCAGAAAGCTATCACCAGAAAATGAAATTACTTTTGGGGAAGCAGGATTGCTTCCTTGTTAGCACTACCATAATTGGTAGTAGTACAAACTCTGTCCCAAGTTGTTGTTGGAGAGGAGTAGCTACCAGATTTTGATCATGATATTGTTGTTGCTGAAAACTGCTAGTATCTGCTACTAGTACTACCTCTGTTCTTCAATACAGCTGTAGTACAGTTGGCCCTCTTCTATTCTTTCCAAAACAATTGTAAAGTATTGACTTCATGATAGTTTTTGGAGTTTTTGCAAATGATGATGTAGTAGAATGCATAAAATCAACACGACTACAAAAATAGCATGTGTGTGATTAAAATTATTTTATTTTTGACACATGAAAATACACTGCTGGTGTAATAACATGGCAAACTAATGGTGGCAAGCACTTCTTTTGAACAAAAACAAACAATACACTAAGAAAGTCATCTATGATAATGAGAAGTATAGCCTCATAAATTGTCTACTTTTGGCTATTCTTGTTGCTGCTGTGTGCAAGTATCAGCATATCTTAATGACCACTAGCATTCATACTAGTATGCAAAAGTGACTATAGTGAGCTACAGTCATTGATAGAAGCAACTTAATACAATTTAATAAGTGTATTACTATTGGAACAAATGTATCTGTAAAAAGAGATACATAGAAATTGCCCAAATCATATTAACCTTAATCCAGCTCAGGAGGTGCAAACTCTACTATTATGCAGGACCAGAGGTAGTACTACTTTGTGCTATTCTTGCTAGCTACAACCAATAATACTAGTAAATGTGGTAGACACCAATGCATTCATTGGTGTCACCTTTTAGTAGCACTAGTTCTTACTAGTAGTCTACAACAAGAAGCAATCTGCTAGTAATCTGGTTGCTGATACTAGTTCTACTACTAGTAGTAGTAGCACCACCATTAGATCTCCTTACTACAATTACTAGTATGCTGGTGAGTGCCTACTAGTAGTAAAGAAATACTATTAGTATGTGTCTGAAGGTTTGAAGGTTTGATACTGACAGCAGTCTTGTCGATGTGCTACACACCACCACTGCAACCCCACCAGCACCAGGAGGGAAGTTATGGTTCTGGACCACGGTCACATTGTGCCTCTTCTACTAGTTCACAAAATTAAATATATTATTTAGATGTACTTTCTAGCAGCACTGCACAAAATAATGTGTACTGAATTGTTTTAGTAGTAGTAGTATTTAGATTGTTATCTAATTAGGATTGTGAGACTAAAACTAATGAATAATACTACTTGTTAGTAACTCAAGGAATCCACTGGTCTACACAATAACTCATGCCATGTACTGTTGCTACGTACTTGTTGCAAGCATAGGCCTTCCACATCACCAGCCATTCTGCTAGTAACCAGCAGTACTAACACCAACACTGAAAGAGGAATGATCATACTAACTCCTCCTCCTCGTCCTCCTCCTATTATATCATATTCTTCTGACTGCTGGTAGTTCTTCTAGTAGTATTTGTACAGCACCAATGCCACCACCACTCATCCTCAGGAGCATGGAAACTCCAGGATGAGGAAAAGGAGGGGTAGAGCAGAACAAGAACAACAAGAAGAAGGACGACAGTGGTGGTGGTGTTTTTGGTTGGAGAGGAGGAGAGGAGCAAAAAATCTTAATAGTAGTACTACTAGTTTTGAAACAGCAGCCTTGTAAATTAGGAGAGCAGGAGGTGCTCCTACTAGTGTGTATGTTGGTCAGGGCCAATGTAGCTAATGACCACTGCCACCACAATGATGAGGAGACCCCCACCACCATCATTTGTTCTTGGTGGAAGATACTGCTGCTAGCAGCAGACAGGAGGGGGAGGAGGAGGACGAGAGGGAGGAGAGCATCTGCTGCTAGTACTACTAACAGTAGTAGTATTTGGAAGCCCAAGTAGCAAACTTCCCAACACATCATGCAGTGATTTCAACTAGTAGTTTTGATTGAATAATGTACAGGGACAGGTTGGAAGGTTATGTGTGTTGTCAAAGTGAAGTACCTTGTCATTTGTAAGAGTACTGTACGTACGTATGGTACTAGGAGTACTAGACATTGAAAATACTAAATGATCCTGAAGGACGAACTTTCTGATTCCTAATTTTGTTCTATGATTTTGTCCCACTTGCTTGAACCGAAAGCGTGCCAGCCTCCGGGAATGAATCAATGAATGATCGATCCCAATCAATCTTTCAAAATCCCACCGCACATGACATTCATGAGTCGAGGTACGGGTACCGGTAGGACGCAGTACCTCGTACCGTTCCTAGAATAACGTAAGCGTTAGTAGCATGGTGGTCGCGTTCCTCATTCTCGTCACATCACACACATGATAGGGAGTGAGACGCATTGCTGAAATTGCGCGCCTTCCAAAATTGTCCCGCCGAAATTTGAAAGAGCCCGCCCTCGTTGAACGTCAAGGGCTTCGGTCCTGCGCGACCTAAAATTTTTCCGTAGGGGGAAGTTAGTACTCGTATCAACGAGACTCGTACCAACTTGCTCGTACGGTACGAGTATGTCTCGGTTGGACGCAGCCGGATGCAACGCTATGTGTTCCGGGAATCGACGACGTTCGTTCTTCCGTTCGCGGGACAAAGGAGGTGCCTCCTCCCTCCGCGGGCCGAGTCGGGCACCTTTGCACCATTGGCACGACGGACAATTCAAACCTGAGCTTTACCGTGGAGGTGCGGTGCTTGCGGATGCGATCCACCGAAGGAACGCCCGGTCGAAGCAAATCGAATGAAATCAAACCGAAAATCATTGAAAACAACGCTGAAACAGATTCGTTGTTGGTCTTGTTAGCGACGAGTACGATACTAGTACGAGTACGAGTACGAGTACGAGTACGCTACGGCACGATACTCGTTTCAACCCGTTGCCGTCCATTCTTGTAAAGACGATACGGTACCGCACAAGCACAAGCACAAGWACAAGCACAAGCACAAGCACAAGCACAAGCACAAGCACAAGCACGAGCATCACGCAGCACGGTTCCTCGCCGGAGAGTAGATAGTTTCTGCAAGCAGCAGTTCCTTGTGTGAATCGAAACGGAAGCACCTCTGAAACTCAACCCAGTTCGCTTCATCGAATCGCATTGCACCGAATCGCATTGCACCGAATCGCATAGCACCGAATCGCATTGCACCGAATCGCATTGCACCGAATCGCATTGCACCGAAGTCACCAGACGCTGTGCGGAGCAAATCCGAAGAGAGCAATCTGCCCATAGGCATTCGATACAATACAGAATCAAGGAATAGAACAGAACGGATCCTCTCCTCGTCTCTTCTCTCCTAGCAAGCAAGCAAGCAAGCCAGAAAGTTTTGCTTCGCTTCAACGCATTGGGCACTCTCCAATTCGTCCATATCCAATCAAGTCGAAACAAGCACCATGGCAACAACCAACACMAACACCAACACCAACACCAACACCAAGACCGATCCCAGGCACTACCTCAACTACCTCAACGGGGAAGACGGATCGGAGGAATCCAGCATCGAAGACATGTCCCGGGACATTGGTCACGGCGGAGACTGCGAAGCGATCAGCTACGAAATGATCAGCGACATCGAAATGAGCGGGGTCGACGCATCGGGCATCGACGCGGTGGCGGACGTTGACGAGAGCTTCTTCGCCGAGAAAGACGATGGAGGAAGCCGTGGCCTGCTCGACGACGTGAGCCTGGGCAGCCACCACGGTTCTCTTGGGCACGCTGGGCACGCTTCTTCTGCCAGCTCCCACTCCGGAAGCATTCTGGCTCCTCCCCCTGGAAATGGCCACGAAAGCCTGGTGGACCTCGACAGCATCGAAGGAACCGACGGGGACAGCGAGGCCGAACAAGAAGCGCTTCAAGACGACGACGACGAAGAAGAAGTGGAAGACTACGAGAACATCTACGAGAACGTCTACGAACCACAAGACGAACGCCGAACCTATCTCAACCTGAACCTGAACCCAAACCCGAATACTAATACTAATACGAATACGAACACGAACCCGAACCTGGCCAACGCCCAAACCCTTTCCGTCGTACAGAGGCTCCTGCCGAACGAAGCGGAGGAAATGAGCGTGTCGTCCATTCCCCGGTCGGCGCTTCCGAGGATCACCGGCAATGGCAATGGCAATGGCAACGGCACGGGTTCGGTGCCTTCGATGCTGTCTTCGAAGACCCATCCGGAACAGGAAGCACAGCGAGAAACGTCGGGTTCGCTCGTGTCGCTCTTGGACCCCCCGGACGCTACGGACTACGCGCCCGCGGATTGCTTCACTCCGGGAGTATCCATCCTGCCGAAGTCCAATGTTAACGCCATCGCCAATGCCAACCGCAGCAACAGCAACAGCAACAGCAACGCCGACGAGAGAAGAAAGAACCGAAGCAAGAACAACCGAACCAACGGAAACTGGAGGGTGGCAGAGATGACGTCAAGAACCGCGGGGAGGGACACGGACAGAGCAAGCACATCCCGCAGCAGCAACACCAACACCAACACCAACACCAACCAAGTGCCGAACAACAAGCCCAGCAAGAGTGGCGCAACCAGAAAGCAGGAAACCGCGGAGCAGAAGCAACAGCGCGAGCAGCAAGAACGCGTGGTGGCTGCGAATACCATGGCAGCCCGGGAGCTTCCTCCCCCACCGCAACAACGACCGAACGGCGATGCAGCCAATGCGAATGCGAATGCAAATGCAAATGCAGATGCAAATTCAGATGTAGATGCAGATGCAAACGCAAACGCAAACGCGAATGCAGACACTTCCTACCACAACAACTACAGCCACCTGTTGTCGGCGTACGAATTCGAGCACGATCCGTCCATTCCACCGCTGCCCCCACCGGTTGTAGAGCTCGTTCAGAGCCCTACGGACGAGCGCTATTGCAGCACCACTGGGAACAACCAAAGCCCCAACACGTCCTATGAGAGCGACATCGAACTGGGGCGAAACGAGGACGACCAAGGGGTACAGGGCAAAACCAAAACACCGCGCGGCACCGATCCATCCGCAGATCCGTCCACCTCTAAGAAAAAGAAGACTCTCTTGTCGGTCTTTTCGCCAACCTATTTTCGTCCCAACGACGACAACGACAACGCCGACAACGACAACGCCGACGCCGACGCCGACAAGGACGAGAACAAGGAGGGTAACACCCCCGAGACGGACACGAACCTGTCGCCCTCGAATACCTTTGAAGAAGGAAGCATCGCCCGTGGACGAAAGCTCTTTTCTCCCGAAGAACCCGGAGCCACCCGGTCCAACAACAATGCTCATCGCAGCAGCGACCGAAGCTTTGACGATCTCTATTACGACGACGAGTCGGGACACAAAACCGGCGAATCCGCCTCGCACAGAGACGGAGACTCCTCGAAAGCGGTGTCAAAACAAAACCAACGAAAAAGAAAAGGAAACCCCCGCTGTCTGTGGATTTGGATCATCGTCTTCTCGGTCTTGGTCATCGGGGCCGCCACGGGGGTTATCGCCTATTCCATGATCAAGAAATCCAGGGCCATGAACGCGGAGGCCGAGCTCGAAGCCTCGAGCGCAAACGACGTTGCCATCGACKGCATTGCCAACGTTGCCAACGTCGCCATCGACGGCGGCGACCAGAGCGAGAGCGAGAGCGAGAGCCAGAGCGAGAACACCAACCTCGGTGCAAACACTCCGGACGATCCGCAATCGCAGGAGGTGTTGGTGGTGCTTCCCCCCGTCCCTCCTCCGACCCTGCGCCCGGTCACCCTCAAGGATCCCACGGGTGCACCCTCGGAATATCCCACGGTTGCCCCGACGTTCCCACGTCCCACGATGTTTCCAACCAGCACCCCTACCGTTAGCCCCACGATTTCCCCAACGGTCGCAAAATCGGCTACCGATCAGCTCACGGAACGCCTTGAAGGACTCCTACAATCCCGAAACTACGCGAATGGAGGCGGAGGGGTTGGCGACGAAACACAGGAACAAGCGCAACTACCACAGGAGCCCTTCTCTTTTGACTTTTCCGCTCAAAATATTGCGTCCGGTGGCATGAACGATCCGGCGCACAAGGCCCTGCTTTACATGGCACGAGAAGCCGAGGCGACTCATGGATTATCACTATCCCTAGCAAACGCAAACGCCAACAGCAACAACAGCAAAGACTCTTTTGTTCCGATCGATCTGGCTTCCTACGACAACCCGAAACTAATGCAACGGTTTGCCCTCTTGGCGGTCCGATTCGGAGCCACTTTGAGTAGCGGCAGTGCCGTGGCAGAAGCCCAAACACAAACCCAGGTTCCCACAGAGTTCGCCACCGCGTGGATTGCCAACTCCCCGGGTTTGGCGGTGGCACTTCCCGCAAAGCGAATCGTCGTCCCCGGGGGAGAGGCCGGCGAAAACGCTGGTGACCTCGAGGGCGGGGAGGTCCAACCCACAGTGGGATCGGCAACTGCCACCGCGGTGGCGAATGCGAACTCGAATGCAAACGTGGCGGGTGGCTCCGATACCAGCTCTGCCATTGGAATGGTCACCGCGCCAACCACGGATGGCGCACCAACGCAGGCCAATCCACTGCCAAGCTCGCTTGCCGATCCCGACGATCCCATGTTCTTGGTCGACGAGTGCTACTGGGAGGGTGTTGTCTGCGAGGCGGAAAACGAAACCGAAAATTCGAATTCCACCGCCACCACAACCCCGCGCATCCCCGCCGTGGTTTCCCTGAAGTGGGGCTATCTCACTCTTTCCGGAACGATTTCCCCCGCCGTCGGTTTGCTCAGCGGACTGACCTCCCTCGATCTAAGCCACAACGAGCTTGTTGGGAGCATTCCGGAATCCCTGTTTGATCTGACATCCCTACGGGAACTCTACCTCTACCACAACAATCTCACCGGAACCCTCTCGACACGCATCGGCGACCTCGACGCATTGGAGCGACTACATCTCTCTCACAACGCCCTGAGCGGAAGCCTCCCGACAGAACTCAAGTCCGATGCCGGATCGGTCGGCGGGATTCGCCCACTCCGTGAGTATCGTACCGCGCATGCTCTCACACACAGCGTTCGTGCTTCCCGGACGGTGAACCAAGTTTTGTATTGGCCAAGCCGAACCCCAACCGCTATATTCTTTTCCTCCCCTTTCACCCGTCTATCTCACATGCAACGTGCCTCGTCGATTTCTTCTCTCCCTCTCCAGGATATTTCAATGTCTATTCGAACAAATTTACGGGCACGATTCCCTCCGACCTTCGATGGCGTCAGTGCATCCACTTCGACGTCGGTCGCAACCAGCTCACGGGTACCCTGCCGGAAGACATTGGCGAGAAATTCGTCGATCTCCGCCACCTCTACCTAGACCACAACGCCTTCATCGGGACCCTCCCATCCTCCTACAACACGGTTGGAAACGGGAGGCTCAAGGCATTGGCCATCGATCACAACAGGCTGACGGGAGAGGTTCCCGGGGCCCGTGACCACTACGACAATCTCGTCCAGTATACGTTGCACGAAAATCTCTTTCGCTCACTAGACCAGCGCAACTGCCAGAACCACCTACTGGTAGAATTCAAGGCGGACTGTAATGCCAACGTTTGCACCTGCTTCGGAGGCTTCGAATTTTGCGAGCGTTGGTGTGGGTACGAAAGCGGAGGACGAGGTCCCAACAATCCGGCCAGGAATCCAACCTTCGATTCCAACCCGAACCTCAACTGGCAGCAGCAGCAACAGAGACCGCCATGGCAACGACCGCCACAGGATTGGTCCTTCTAGTTGGTCGATTCATCTAGTTTTGTTGGGTTACTTCGTCAATACGTCACTTCTCAGCGATGTTTTGTTGTATATTGTGCATTCTACATAACGCACCCATCGCTGGCTCGTTGCCATTACGGCAGCACAACACGACACAAAATACAATCACTCAAAAAAGAATTTTTCCAAAACTAGAGTAATGATACGTAATCATTGTATGAAGGACATGCCAAAATTAGTAAGATCCCGTCTTCTAACGTACCACACGGTATGGTCTATGGTCCGGTGCGGCCATCGCCCCACACGGAGAACAGCACAGTTCGTGCTCTCCAGCAGGTTAAGATACAGTTGGGTTTGGCCACAATCCCATGTCTATTATTAGACGTACTTTCCAGGAACACACCTTCTTATTTGAATGGGTGCGGATTCGAGCTACTGATGCGACTTTTTCTTACGAACACAGTGCGCTCTGGCCATTTGAAGATACAATACCGTACTATTCTTAGCTATCATCAGCTTTGTTCATCATAGTCAGTGAAGCAGGAGAATTTTTTGACTAGCTACTGCTAATTTTATTACTCCACACGAAGTACGGTACTACTACGAACTCGTATTCCTTCTCCGAATATTTGGTTGTTTTCTCTTTATTTCAATCGGGCCTCCAACCCCAAACCCTTTATGGAAAGTTGTTGAGAAAGAACGACAGTTTTTTGTTTCTAAGATTCAATAAGTAGGTAAATCAGCGAACCGTACCGGTATGTTGCATTTCGGCCGGCGGAGTGTGAGACGCGGTATTTAATAATAGCATTACTACAGTACAAGCTACGATGGATACGGTTGAGAAGAATGAGAAGAAACAAAAATTATTACTACCTACCGTATGTGAAAGATGCCCAAGCGAGATTCCATGTCCAAACACAAACACAGAAGTTTTCGATCAAAAAATGTTGCCAACACTAGCAGAAATTCCTTCTGCATACTTGTGGTGACACTCAGGTATTCTATCCCGTACCTTGATCAAAACATTTTTGTCTACCCCCAGTTGATCGATAGAAGTAGATATAAACAATTAGTACCTATCGTCGAGGCCCGTAACTTTTGTAGAGAACGACTTGAAAGTTTGATTACATCAGAATGGGCTTGAGAACAGGGCAAAGGTTCACGTTTAACGAAGTAAGCGTTGCATTCGTAGGAGCAGGGGGCTACGTTTCCGCCCGGCAACTGTTGTGCTATTTCTGTTCGGCCCGACTACTGGCAGTGAGTTGTCTCTGTTGTTCAGGTGAAGAAAATGTGACAATTATCTCGTTGACCACATCTATCGGGAGTAGATTCCCTGGCAGGTTTGCCCAGTATTGATCCCTTAGGAACGATTGAAGCGTATTATTGTCGTAGTCGCTGTTGCTGGGATAGTTGTTGTTTTTCTTTCTATTACGGTTGATGCTTTCAAAATCGACGGGATTCGGAGAGAGTATCGTCTGATCGGTAACTTGATTCTCGGAAAAAAGAGCATCGTCACTGTTTTTGATATTGGTACTGCTGCTGCAGTCATTGGCATTGTTCGACGGCGAGTGGGAAGAGCAGATATTTTGGGATGGCTGTTTTTCTCGTGGTAATTTTCCTGTACCGGACATGTTCGCTTTCGGCCTGTATCTGTGGTTGATATCTCGAACTATCTTGCTGCATAACATGCGTTTCCCCCTCACAAGAAACTTGTGACTGTAGGTCCGCGACACACGATCTTGGTAAATGCCATAATTGTTAAGTTGCCTACGAAAGGATCGATAGGAAGACATTCCTTTGAAGTATATCGGCAATATGGTTTTTTCGAACGATGCATGGTCGTGGATCCGAAACGATTTCCCATCAATCGTCCACGAGATAAAAATTCCGAGACCATTTCTATCCACGTGTTGGAGGAGATCGTACAATTCGTAGGGGAAGGAATTTGATGGTGAAGACAATTCTTGTTCTAGTTGTTGCTGACGCTGTAGCTCGAGTTCTTCCACGGTGGCTTTCACCAGGGGAGGGAGACGGATGCTACAGTGCGCATGAGACTCAGCTGTATCCCCTGTCGGAGCAGCTGAATCTGGTGTGTTCATATGTCGAAAAGCAAATTCCAGAGATGTGATCAACAAGGCTTCAAAGCAATTCATTTCCCTGAGTATAGCATGACCCTATCGAAATACTAGAATATAGCAAACAGTTTGTATTGAATCAGCGAATGTCACCTTCCGCGGAATCTTTAAACCGTCTGTTCGCTTTGAAAAGAGATCTACGACGAACATAAATTATCGCTCGGATCTAAGGATGCAAACACAATTTGAAAGGGTACCTGCGAATATGCATAGGGGGAAAGCGAATGAGAACAGCTTGTTAGGGCAAACCAAGACTATACACGATAGCGTTCATTATGATTTTACTCACCAGTCTGTGGTGCATCGTTATTATCTCAATGATATTGGTAGAATTGCCTGAGCATGAATTATTTAAGAGTGTTTTGATTTTGATAAATGTAGTAGATACGATAGACGACTTCGGATGACCATCTCAACCTATTCGAATGCCCGAGCAAGATTCAGAAATTTTGGAAACTGTTAAATATTACTCGTACCTAGTTATTTTTGTAAGTTACAAGTACTATGTACGACTTTACCGGTATTAAAGAAATAAATTTTAATTCTTAAGTATTTATACCGTATTCTTTTTGACTTTCATGATTACTGTATTTAAGAACAGGGGTCATAATTTTGACCCCTGATTAAGAACTTGTACGGTACCGTGTTTCGTAGAAAAATACAAAATCATTGGGAAGACAATGAAATTTAATTGGACAGCTAAACAGTAAATGTATTCTAAAAGAACCTGAGCATTCCTACGAATATCATAACAAGTGATCGCCACACTAAGAAATTGTTCTCATTGTTAATGAAATGATGCCATCCTTATTTTTCAGTACAAATTCTACAGAGCTCTACTGAGTTTTGGTCCCAAAAAATTTCAGCATGATTCGCCTTCTGAGAAAGAGGCAGGATTGGTTCTGCGCCACCTGAATAGTTGCAAACTACCTCAGTAGATTTTGTACTATGTACTACTGTGCTAAGGATGGCATCAGTAAATGAACGATGGGAACCAATTTCGTAGTGTGGCAATCACTTGTTATGATACTATATTCGTAGTATTTTCGTTTGAGTCATAATACTGATATAGTAGTATTATGATAATTATTTAGGGTCATGACGTGTCGCATCACCAGAGTTCGTTATGTATTCAGCGATCTACTGTACCGGTACCGCTCGTGCTATCCTGCCCAAGAACAATCAGCAATCCTGCCCAAGAACAATCAGCATTTCTGTGTTTACAAGTATTACTACTAGAAGTACTACTAGAGTCCTCCTCAGCACTTTCTTCCCAGTTGTTGTACCGTTACCGGTACGAACTCGTACTATTAATTCGGAAAGAAAGTACGATCAGTCGAACTAGTCAACTTCATTGGTTTCAATCCGCTTTCTGCCTGGGCGAAGTGTGACTCGTGTTCACCCGCGAGCACTACCCCACCCTTCAAATTTGACACATGTTATCTCAGGGCGGCCGTTCATTCGTGTCAATCTGCTTTCTGCTTGGGCGGTGTGTGACTTGTGTTCACCCAAGACCAATAGATTAGCTTTCAAAAACGAGGCACTACACGGTTTCTAAAACGGAGCGTCCCTAACGAGTACGAGTACGTTCCGCGTACGGTAGGAGCACTGCTCAAGCTTCCTTAGTGTCGATTCGCACGAGTCGCGAGCAACGCGGTACTATCTTTGGTATTTATTCGATGCTCACAATTTTTGGTATAAACCAATTCTATCACAAAAACGTTGAGATACACAAGTGCGCAGTAGTGCCAGCGAGCCAACAAACAAGAAAAAATGGTAAAGGAATACGAGCTTCTTTCCTTTGTCCCAAGCACTGTACCCGCTTCTAGTCATAGTGCTACGTACTCCTGCACGCTTACGAATCAATGGTCAGCGGCAACCCATCCAGTCCTTTACAGCAGTATTTCTCAGAATGCTCACTGGAGTCCCCCTGCCCTTGTTGCTCATAACGAAGCCTACAACCTGTGGACGCCAAATGAATTGGCATCGCCGGGTGTTGAAAACGTAGCGGAGGTATGTAACATTTCGAAATTTCGGTTGGTAAATCGATTCGGACCAAACAGAAACGAACTGAATCGAATCCAACCTAATTTATTTATCCTTTTTTTCTCTGCTCACACAATTATTCTGCAAAAAAATGAAATAAAACACCTATAAATACCCACCCCAGACTGGTTCCACCTCCAAGCTGGAAAAGGAAATCCAGAAGGCCCAAAAGAAAAAAAAAGCAGGAGATCTCGTCGTCGGGAACGGTCAATTCAACAGAAATGACCCCCCGCAGACGTTCGAGAGCATTACGTTGACGCCCTACTTTCCATTGTTTTCGGCCATCACTATGGCAGCTCCGAGTCCAGATTGGTTTACCGGGTTCTACGATGTCGCTCCGGTCGACGACGGCGAGACGGGTGTCGTTTGGTACAAGATGTTTGAAATCGCAACCTTTCCGTGGGATGGTGGAACCGAGCAGGGAAGCACCTATTCCATCAACAACGCTCCCGAGGATCCCCATGTCCCGATCCAGCAATTGACTGCCGACACCGTTCCCGACAACGGAATTCTTTTGAATCCGGACGGCGACGAGGTCTTGCCCATGGCGAAGTGGACTTGCGAACTCGTTGATTCCTCCTGCAGCAACAGTGACAATCTCCGCTTCAAGAACTTCAAAAAGCGGAACTGCGCTTGGGTGGCGAAGAGAAAGAGAAAGAGATGCGCTAAGGTCTTTAGAGGTATTCCGTTGTCTTCCTGGTGTCCCGAAACATGTGGAAAGTGCAACTGAAAAGTGGATTCCCATGATTGTGATATTTTGTCGATCCTGCAAGCATCTGGATACTACTATATACTTCTACCACGGTAGGGAAGTCGGGCGCCTGGTATAGTAGGTGTATAGGATTGGAGTTAGTTTCGGCGCGGAGGCCGAGAAAATTTTTTAGAGCAGAAGTGCTCATTCTTGAAAGAATCAAGTGAGGCGAAGATTCTTACGCATAGTGAAACAAAGTACGTAGAATTGAAAATTTCAGTAACGATAATTTTATGCTAAGCACGAATACGTTCCTTTCGTCACAGAACCGTTCAATAAGTGTTGCGAATAGATTTGCTGTACGTCCCTGCTACCTATCAGCACAACAGTTGCGTCTCTGCCTTTGCGTTTCTGCCTTTGTGTTTCTGCAGTGTCATGTCGTACTGTTTTCATCGTGTCACGGAAGTTCGCCTGTCCAATTGTTTCCACCAGGAACTCGATGCTACCACCACAGCCGGGAGAGGCCCACTATTTTTGAGTTCACTCGCTGTTGTTGTTTGAGACTGTTTGTTTGTGGTAGGTATTCTACCCCAACTGCATACGACAGGCATATACAACCAAAACAAAACCCCCCATGGAATTCATCGATTATCGATGAACACAATCGTCTTAGGCAGACACATTTGTTCCGCACGATCCAAGCACGGTGTAACCAAACAATTGAACATCAAGGAAGACAGGCGTATAATTACTTGCAAGAAGGTCGTTTGGCTTTGATCGGGTGCAAGGATGAACATGAGACGGCGACGTACCGGTAGGCACGACATCGCACGGATTCGAAAATTGGGCTCGGAAAGCTCCGAAAAATGAGCTCCGAAAGCTCGGAATTAGGAAATGTTTGGATAGAACACACGAACTGTACAATACAGTAGTTTTTAGTTGGTTCTACGTGGAACTTCGAGACTGGTTCTGCACTGGTCGGTTTGAATTTCGAAAAGTACGGGTAGATACGTTACGGTACCATACTGTGAGAGCGGTCGAGGCGAGAGCTTCCGATTGAGACTGCGCATACTCGAAGCACAAAGACGATTGGCTCACGTACCGTACCGTACGTACTAAATTTTTGAAAATTGTGATGAAAGGGCTCCATATTTTGCACGCCTTGCGCGAGCACCACACCACCGCCAGTATGAGTGCGTACGAGTACGACATTCTCTTACTGTTATAATTGCGCGTTGTTTTTTGAAAATCTGGCACTTTTTAAACCTGTACGGTACAACACAGTAATAATTGAGGACCAATGCACAGTATTTGATGTACCGTACGATAGCGTAAGTTTGTCGTGAGCCAGCCCGACCGACTGAATGACTGACCAGGCCGGGAACGTAGAACTATGAAACTACAGTACGTTATGTACATTACGTACAGCACTTGTAGGTACTGTACTGAGCGGCACAGACCTACCGTCCGGTAACCGTGCGTACGGTGCAGTATGGCACATGGTATTGGTACCCGTACCCTTACCAGAGGAGGAGCCGAAAATGAAAGATCGCATCGTAAACAAACATCGTCATGATAAATAAATAAACAAATAAATAAATAAAGGAGCACGGTAAATCGTAGTACTAGTACTCGTACGTACGGTACAGTCGTTCGATGCATCGAGGGTCATTCGTAGCTCTATTTCTATTTCTACTTCTATTTCTATTACCACTGGTATTGCAATTGCCATAGCCATAGCCATTGCTATTCCCATTCGTTCTGTACCGACAGTTCGTCGCACTCGCACTCGCAAGCAACCAGAAATAGGCCCAGCAGGTCCGGCACGGCTCGATGAACCACCCCATGAACGGCAGCGGATTCATGGAGCAGCAACCGCTTCCCAACAAAACGGTTGGCTCTGTCTCCCCGGGCGGTCCCCCGATCGCAAAGAAGCAGCGCGGGGGAGCCACCCCGGGAAGCATCCGCCAGCGCCCCCGATCGAGGGGCACGGCGAGGAACGGGATCGCAGGCAAGGGGTCTGCGGCATCGGGCGCATCGGGCGGCCCACCGCTGTCCGTGCCCCCGTCTCTGTCCAAGCCTCTGAGCAACCCGTTGAGCAACCCTTTGAGCAACCCTTTCGAAAAGTCTTCGGCTTCCTCCCCATCCCTGGGCGGGGTCGACGATGCCATTGCCCGCCGCCGAGCCGAGCTCCGTCGCCTCCAACAAAAGGCCAAGGCCCGCAGCGGGAAAACCACGTCGTCGGCATCGTCATCGTCTGCGGCATCGTCTGCGGCTCCCCCGTGCCCCCCCAAGGGCGGTGCCCCACCTCACAAGCGGAGCTCGGACCTTTTCCCGACGGTCCCCAAGTCGAAATCGAATGCGAAGCCGAAGCCTCAACTGGATTCGCAACCCGAAGAAGGCGCAGAAGATCGAGCTAACTCCAACTCTAACGCCGGAGCAAGGACCGTTGGAACCAAGGCGTCTGTTCCCCCTCTGAATGCAAACATCGACACGAAGACGAACACGAAGACGAACCCGCACTCGAACACGGCCAGAAGCAACCCCAACGCAAACAACCCCAATCTTCCACCGCAGACCCCCTCGGCCGGTGCGGTTCCTCCCACCCCCGCGGTCGGACGCCGATTGGAATTTCCCTCCGGAACCAAGCCAACTGCCGCGGACACCGCAGCCGCATTTGCACCTGCAACCGAAACTGCACCCGGACCGCCCGTCGCTGCTCCACCGTTACGGCGAGCGCGATCGAAGTCTCCCTTTGTGCGTGGCAGTTCGGAATCGCTCTCTTCGAAGGGTCTCTCCCACACGCCAAAGGAACCCTCCGGATCGGCAACGACATCGGCTTCGGCATCGGTGTCAGCGGCGCAGCGGAACCGAGCCAAGTCGGCTCCTCCTCGCCGACCGCCCGGGCCCCCTCCCGGTGGCCCCCCAAGGAGCAGCGCTGGCAGCAGCGCTGGCAGCAAGGGGGCAGCAGTTCCCGGTACCAAAAAGACGAGATCGTCGAGGCGACCGGCACCGATCGCTCCTTCGAGTCTCCTGAAGGTAGGCAAGGAAACGAACAACCAGCCGGGGCCAGCAAACGAAAAAGAAAACCAGAAGGCAGACCAAAAGGCAAACCAGAGTGGAAATGCCCGGGGCAGCTCAAAGGCACGATCCAACTCGGTGGACGGGACCACCTTGAATACAACAGAAAAAACGCACTCCTCTCCGGCTCGTGACAGCAACAGCAGCAATGCAGAGAAGATGAACACCAAGGGCCCATCTGACATGCACATTTCGGGCCTGGTCGAAACAGAATCGAAGTCAAAAATTGAATCTTCGTTTGCCCCCCCTCCACAGCTGGTGACGGAAGCAGAAACTCCAAAGCAAGCGACAGCGTCTCGAATCGGTACGGATGCGAATGCGAATGCGAATGCCAATACGGATATGCATACAGGCGCGGGTGCCGGAACGGGTACAAACGGGAGCCATACCAACAATGGAATCAAAACGCCGCCGTCCAGTGGATCCACGGCCCGACGCCAGAAGCTTCAGTTGATGCGGGAACAGGCGGCAGCCGCCAGCGATATCTTGTCGAAGCCGTCCGAAACAACGAGCAGACCGGACGGGCCGAACCACAGAGATGCACATGTCAACAACAACAACAAGAAGAACAAGGCTGTGTTCGGCATCGACGTTACTGCCGTCAGCAACGCGCCCCCCGCCACCGAAGACTTTGCGAGAGCCGTCGGGCTTGTACCTGATCCGAATGCCACCTCCGCTCCACCGATAGGGAACCGAGCGGCGAAGGACAAAAGACAAGAATCGACCACTCAAACCGATGAGAAACAAAATCAAGAACAAGAACAGAAACAGAAACAACCGGCCCCTTCGTTGGTAGACGGAACTAGAACCGGACCGCTTGCATCGTCACCATCCACTTCGACGTCGTTGCGCAGCGCAGCCCAATCCAGGCTCGAAGATGCCTACCGAAAGGCAGAGAAAGAGAAGACAGCGGCCCTCCTTAAAATCAAGCAACTCGAGGATCAACTGTCCCAAAAAGCGAAGGAAGGAATTCAAAGGGCTTCTTCTTCCACCAACAATAGCGATAGCCACAGCCATAGCAACAACAATAATATGCAGCATCTGCTATCGATCGCGGAAACCCAGGGTCCGGATGCCGCTTTGCAGTGGGCCAAATCAATTTCAACATCTTCCACCGGACACAAAGGGCCTGGGAATTCCCGTTCCCCCCTGCGCCCCGCTGCACAAATGGGGTTCCATACCGGCATGGGATCTTCAACCCCGAGAAACAACGGCAAAGGAAGAGTGCCAAGCCTGGGCCTGATGAATGCCGAATCCCCGATGCGGCGGGCAAGGATTGCAAGCCGCACCCTAACGCCACACCGGGGTCTTCATTTTGCCAGCGATACTACCAACAACAGCAACGACCCATACGCCAACGAAACCCCGGAACAGACCGAACGACGGCTTATACGCAGCTTCCGCGAGGCTGCAAAGTATGTTCCATTCGAATTTTCCTCCGAACTGGCAACCTACACTGTCCGAAGGCCTTACGGGTTGCCTACTAATCCAGGCTTGTTCGATCATTGCCAACCTTCCGGAGACGACCACCCGAGTGTCTATGCCAAGCGGGCCCACGTCTCCGACAAAACCACGTTGGAGGTGGCGGTCGTGGTCAAGGCGGACCAAAAACCCTGTCTAGTCTTTGCCGCGGCCGGGATTCGATATCCGACAACATCAGCCACTTCGTCCTCTTCCACCGACACCACCGGCAACTGGAAACACTTCGACAACGTCGACGCCCTGGATCGTCCGCTCGGCCACGTCACTTACATCGATGCACGAGCCAACGAAAAGGAATACTCGATGGACGAAATTCTTGAAGAGGCTCTCTTGGTTAGAGAGCAATACTGCGGCACCCTTACGAGCACGGCACTTGGTCTCGAGAACCGGCCGCCCATCCCCGAAGTGAAGACGTTGCCTTCGGAAAAAAAGGAGGCAGAAAAAGGAACCACGAAGCGGGAAGGATCGAGCACCGGTCCGCAAGGGCAACGCCAACAGCACCAGATCCATCCTCCGACCCAAGAATTGGACGAATCAACAGGGGCGTCGTCGGACGTCCTGGTTGTGTTCTTTGGCATGCTCGCATCGCTTCTCTTCCGATTCGTATGGGGGGCGGTTGTTGGCGTACCGTTCCGCATCCTTCGTACTCTCGTAGTTCTAGTAGCGGCTGTTGCGATCCTTCAAGCCCTCCATGGGTACCTAGCGGACGATTACACGGCATGGGCGCTGCGCGAAATGAATGCAGATACGGCTGCGACTGGCACTTCCTTCTCCTCCATGTTGGCCAGTGACCTAGTTTACTACTCCAATAGGCGACCGGGCATTTTATAACCAAAAAGAACGCAGTGGAACAAACCATTATGCGCTGCGGAATGCAGGTCCAATGGAACGAACGAACTCAAACTCTACGAGCCAAGAAAGCAACGACGGAAGGAATCAATTTAATTATTCTAAATCGAATTCACTGGAAAACACCAACCAAGTTCTGAAACGCGTAGATAGAATCAAGTAGTCGTCAATTTTTGCATCCAAGAATCATGACCAAAAACTGCTTTGCCATGGGTCAATTATCGTGGCATTATGGCAGCGTTGTGTGTCGTTAAACGAAGCATCAAAACGTGTCACTCCGAAACCCGCTAGTATTGTTATCGACCAACGAAACAGCGTCGGTTGGAATGTTGACGCGCAATTCTTGGCTTCTACGCAAATCGAATCGAATCGAATGGAAACAAAACAAATCGAAACTTTTCAAAACGAGGTACTGTAACTATTACAATTACCCCTAGCTTTGCTGTCGTGACGGTACAGGTCGTCTGAAAAAAGACTAGGGGTATGGGTGAAAATAAGAGTACTTTGGGGTTAGGGTCTAGATTAGTGTTCTTGAGTTGCAACAAGTTATTTCGAATCGATCACGAATGAAATGTCTACGGATCAAGGACATGTAATAAACATTCAAAGAAGATTTGCGAAAACAAGTTTTTTTCGATTCGATCGCGGTCACGATGAGATCCTCAGCGCAACATTTTATCTTTACTTCGTACGTAGTAAACACTTCTGTCTTCGAAGCTTCAACAAGTTGATGACAGAAGCGTGAACACGTTATTTCAAATCGATCACGAATGAAATGTCTACAGATAAAGGAGCCATAATAAAGAATCAATGAAGATTTGCATAAATACAGTAATTTTTTCGATTCGATCGCGATCACGATGGCAAATAGATGAATTGATGGAAGGAATCTAGTCACTCTAGAGTAATCCTCATTCTTTATAATTTTATTCAGTTAACAGTGGTGAATGGCACTTTAAGACTTTCTATTAAGACTTTCTATGTGTGACAGCGATATGACCCCAACCCCAAATTCATAAAATTATTAAGAATCACAGTGGAAAAGAATGAATGAACAAGCAGGGAAACATCCCGGGTTGTGGGTTGTGGTTGTGGGTTTCTCCCCGGCAAAGGCAAATCACTCAAAGAAAACGACTATTGCATTTTTCATATATGATTAGTACTGTACTCATGGTGTCCAATAATGGGTAGTAGATAAATATGGAGGGGCCTCCTGTAGTAGCAAATTACATGTAACTCGCGCGGCAGTTCGATGTAGAGGGCGGCGATCAAGACGGGCATGGAGCATTGCTATCAATTCTGTTGCAGTAGGGGTCTACATTATGTACTACTAGTTGTTTATATTTGATGGGTTTGAATGCAAAGAAGTGGAGTTTACGAAAGCCGATAGTGGCCGCAAGTTGCATGTTAATGCATGTTACTAGTAGATCTAACAGGCGATCGAGTCCCGTTTTAGATCTAGCACGGGACTCGATCAAACATGGGACTCGATCGCGTGCTTGACTATTCGAAGAAGATTTCCCTTTCTTCCTCCCAAAATCCTGAAAGCAGAACGCTTTTCTATTGAAATTTCGTACCAGTGAAGAAAGCTGCTTTCAAGTCGAATGCCGAAGAGTCATACAAGCAGTTCTTGTGAGAATTTAATGTTGTAAGCTACTCGTATCCTACATGTTGCAACTGTCACGTCTATATTCTAAATCCTTTATTCCGAAGCAATTCCAACAACCATGACGATCGCTGGAAGATTCGTTCCGTTCGTTCGATCAACAAAGGCCTTCAAATCCTTGTCGAGTTCGGTGACTTCGAGATTCAATTCGAACACAGGAGGAAGAAACAGACTCTTCGGTACTGTTGCGAGAAAATCCGGCACGTCTGTGTTCCACCAACTGGTATCATTTTCTAGGCGGGCTTTATCCTCCTCCGCAACAGTCATCCATCCGTTGGATCCCTTGTTGCCAGACGAAATTACACGAGCGTCGGATGCTGTTCGAAAACATCTCGGGTTGACTCCCGACAATGCCGTTCAGAATCTTCGATTTGTATCTATTTCGTTGCTAGAGCCACCCAAAGCCGATTACATTCAGGGAGTGAAAACTCCTCGTAAGGCTGAATGTATCACATTGAATCCGCAAACGGGAATTGCTTCCAATTTTACCGTTACGTTGGAAAACAACGAAGCAAAGATTGTGGAATCAACAGAATATCCAAAAGGAACCCAGCCCCTGTTGACGCCAGAAGATTGCGACTTGGCGGAAGCGATTGTTCAGTCATCACCAGAGGTTGCCAGAGCATTACGCGATCGATATGGCATTATAGACTCATCTCGTGTTGCGTGTGATCCATGGTCAGTGCATTTGGCTTCTCCTGCCGATCAGGATCTCGTCAATTGGAGAGACGACGGAGTTCCCGGTCGATTGGTGCAAACATTTCTTTATCATCGACAGTACGGTGATGGATTGGAAGACAATCACTACGCACATCCAATCGATATTGTACCGGTCGTGGATCTGAACGCACGAAAAGTCGTGACGATCCACGGAATGGAGCGTTCCCCAGCCCCCGAAATTCCAACGTCATCGGTGCAGTATCACAGAGATTTAGTCTCGATAAACTCCTACCTCGAGTCGGAATGGCGGAAGGATAAACTCGCACCGCTGGATGTTCTCCAACCCGAAGGCCCTAGCTTCACCGTGACGGGAAATCAAGTCGAGTGGAGCAAATGGAAATTCCGTGTTGGTTTTAATAGTAGGGAAGGCTTGGTTCTTCACGAAGTCGAATACGACGGACGGCCAATTATGCATCGTGGCTCCTTGGTGGAAATGGCGGTCCCATACGCCGACCCAAACGAACATTTCGCGCGAAAGTGTGCCTTTGATGTTGGAGACTACGGATTGGGTTTTTGTGCAAATTCCCTCAGCCTGGGTTGTGACTGTCTCGGTCACATCCACTACTTTGACGCAATATTGAACGACTCCCAGGGGAATCCTGTTGAGTTGAAAAATGCCGTTTGTATGCACGAAGAAGATACCGGCGTCTTGTGGAAGCACGTCGAATATCGAAATGGTCACAATGAGTCGAGGCGCTCGCGGGAGCTCATCATTAGTTCCATCGCAACTGTCGTAAACTACGAATATCTTTTTTACTGGCATTTGCGTCAGGATGGTTGTATCGATTTCAAAATCAAGCTTTCCGGGGAATTGTCGACAAATTTGCTTTCCGATGGTGAAAGTGTGCCTTCCCATGGTGTCATGGTCGCACCGAATGTCAACGCACAAATTCACCAACACATGTTTTGTGCTAGATTGGACATGTCCGTCGATTCCCATAAAAATAGCATCAGCGAGGTCGACATGTATTCGGAACCATTTAGTGACACCAATCCCTACGGCAACTGTTTCAACGTCAAGGAAACCATTCTCGAGGACGAAGAGAGCGCCAAACGGGTCTATGATGCGAACAAGGCACGAAGTTGGAAAATATTTAACGCGGAAGGAAAAACCAATGGCATGACGGGCAAACCCGTTGCGTACAAATTGCTTCCTTTCAGCATGGGACCATCTCAACCGATTCTATTGACAGATCCATCGTGTGCAGTAACAAAGAAGGGAGAATTCGCCACAAAACATCTATGGGTTACACCACATAGCGATAAAGAGCGGTATCCAGCGGGAGAGTGCACGGTATTGGGAGATGGAAGCGACGGTCTTCCTGACTGGACAAAGGCAAATCGAAATTTACAGGGCGAGGATCTCGTTCTATGGCATGCCTTTGGAGTGGCCCACGTGCCAAGAACTGAAGATTTCCCGGTCATGCCATGCGAAACAACAGGATTTACGTTGAAGCCCGACGGGTTCTTTGACGGAAATCCAGGAATCGATTTGGAGCCAACTGTCAACACAGCCAGCGAACTCGCAGAGGGTTGTTGCCCAAACACTAAGTAAAGAAATAAGAATGAGTAGCTCATGACTGTGTAAACCGTAACATTTACAAGTCTTACTGTTCGTGATCTAGACGTTTCGTGTGTTACTGGCTCACACAGTTTTTTTTTTTTTTCGTTTCCCTTTTGGGTTCGAAATGGAGACACAAGTAACGTGGATTACATATATCTTCACTAACCATCTTCTTGTACATTTGAAGGTTATCATTTTCCCAGATGTCAAAACCGTGTTGCAACGAAGAGTTGGGGTTGGGGTTGGGTTGGGGTTGGGGTTGGGGTTGGGTTGGGGTTGGG